ATAAAAAAAGTGAAATTTTTAGAAAATCTGAATTTTTGATAAAAAAGCTGAAATTCAAGAGATAAAAGTGAAAAAAGCGGAAATCAGCTAAAAAGCGGAAAAATCTCATCCCTGAGTTTTTTACTATTTCAATCAATATCTTGGACACCACTAATATATATAAATAAAAGGGAACTTTCAATAAAATTGTAGAACATTACAAATGTTTATATTTCCTTCGAAAAGAAATTCTATTTATTTATTAAAATTTAATTAATTAGACTTTTTGTAAAAAACTTGAACCAGGTCCTTGGATCAGAAACCTAATTTAAGCTGTCGGCACAAGTGATTTAACATGGGAGGATCCTTGTTTACGCTAACGCTTTTACTGCACTGCTGAAGACTATTTTTATTTCGTCTAGCTGCGAAGATGATGTTTGTTTCATAATGTCGAATAACAAAGAGCGAATTGAATTAGAACTCACAGTTTTGAACGAGGATCAGCTTTAAAATATAGAATGAAATGCATAGTTTATTTATGCACCTTCTTTTTTGCTACGGGATTTCATATTTTTTTAAGATTTGTTATTTTGCAATCACTGCATTTTTCATAAGATTTAACGTTTCTTGTATAGTTAATTTTTCATAAAATAAAATTGGGCTAGATGCAATATATCTGCTTTGAGTGGCTCTCAAAATATGTAAGACCTAAAGTCGACGTACAACTATAAAAGAAGAAATATAGTCACAAATCCAAAATTTTAGTTGCTTTCCCCTAGAAAACTATATTAATACAAACCTGCAAATAACATTATTTAAAAGACAATTAAATATTAATAAGCACTTGTCTGATTTTTTCATAAACGCCTTTGTTTATGCTTACTTAACGTTAAAAGAAATTTTTGGCATCATCCATCCAATATTAAAAATAAATTTAAACCATCTGAAAAAAATAAATGTGCAGTATAAAATTTATTAAAACCACTAACCACATAATTTCATTAACTCACGCTCTTGTGGGAAAAAATCCATAAAATTTTTAAAATTAGCGAAGCTTATTTCTCCTAATCTAATAAAGGGAATCTTTTATTTTTCTTCATTTTAAAAAGTATTGTATTGTTGAATAAATCCCATCATCAAAATATTATTAAGTACAAAAGAAAGCGAAGTAGAGCCACTTTTCAAATGTCTTATACATGGATATCTAATAGTTTACAAAAGCTTATAAAAGAAATTATAATGAAACTTATCAACTATACATATCAATAAAAAAATTTATTAAGATATTTACCTTGAAATACAGAAAATGCATCTTGAGGTCTTTTGAAGTGTAAAAAAATATCAATAGCTGCATGTATCACTGTTTCTCTTAAAACATAGCCTTCGACAGAATGAGGATATAGTTTTATAACACCATTAGTGTCAGAAAATGTTAATGGTAAATGTACTTCCCAGTAGTTAATATCATATTTATGAAGCAAGTAAAGAATAGGCAGAGAAGAATCCAATTCATTATTAGTATATGTTTCAAGTAATAGAGATATTCCAAAATGTGCAACCAGGACCATTACTTGAGCTGGCAAGTCACTAGGCGAATCTAAAAATATCAAAATGCAATAAAAAAGGTCAATACATATAAATGAAATTTAAAAAAATTGAAAGCTTTTATGAGACTATAAAATATTTAGCTCTGTTTGAGCACATAAATTAGAGTTAAAGTTGTGTGGCCTAACTTCTAATTTTATTAGCAATCTGCTCCCAAATAGAACTAATCATATCAGAAATGATAAAAATCCTAATAAAAAGGAAAAAGTTTTCAGATTTAAATACAATTTTTTGTTTTATTAAATCAGAGTAAAAGGTCAAAACAAATTTTAAAATGCATATTGTTAAAAATTTATGTCGAAGTACATACAGAAAAATAATGAATTATTCAGAAAACAGTAGAAACCAAAACATTGGATTTTTCCTTAAATTGTGTTCGATTTAATATCAAAGATGCGATAAAAAGAACATACATTATGATCAGAGAAGTTTTTTTTTAAAACCAATTAAACCCTATATGCAATCAAGCATTTATAGAAAATATTTATTAACAACTTTGAAATATATATTTAAAACTATGAGCATAAATAAGAATTAACAAACCTATTCATTCTTTATTGATATTGTAAATATAAAAGAGGTTTTTCATTTTTTTTAAATTTCTTAATTCTTTTTTTTTTTAGAACATTATGCTTAAACATTATGGCTTAACATTATGATTTTAAACATTATGACTCTCAAAATGGACATTAAAGAGGTTCAAAAAATACTAAACAATAAGGCAGTAAGATTAGTAAAAGTTCTAATGTTTGAGTTTTCATCTCAAAAGATTGAAGAGAAATCTAATGACGAAAGTTAGTACTTTAAATGCAATATTGCATTAAAAGTGCTAACTTTTGCCACAAGAACAATGACAATTTTTAAGATAAAAGGAAGGTCTATGTTTGAAAAAAAAATTTAAAGAACACGAAAATATAATCTTTATACACAAAACAAATTTCATATAGTTAATTACAACTAATGTAATTTCGTAAGGAAAAAAAAATACTTACTAAATACAGAAGCAATAAATTTTTCATAACAGTCACCTGCTTCATTTAATGGAAAGGCCAAGGCAAAATACAAATTTTTCAGGATTCCATGTCGGCCATTCTCTGCACATGAACAAAACATTCTATTTATCTGAAACCATTGCTCATTTTCAATACAGTTTCTGAAAAACCCTTTCAAAAATGCATCCTCTAAAGTTACTGAATTAATGTCAGATATAATTTCACACAATTTCGTAAAATCTTTGGGTGATATTGATTTGTCATAAGCACAAGCCTCTAATAATTCTTGAAATAGTATATCAGGTATCCTAAAATAGTTTATGTTTCCAACAGGAATTAAAAATGTTAAAATATTAGTTGCATCACCTTTATGTTTCAAAAATTCAGCATACTTTAATATTGATTCTTCAGATAAAGTAATTTGATTTTCCATACAATGCAAAAACACTTTTGTAGTAAAAGATATACAGAGTTCAGATGCGAAACTTTCATAAATTATCATTGAACAGACATCTGATTGATATAAATTGTTTTCAACAAGTATTTTATTAATATCACCTAATGCAGTATCATTCCTTTCACTTTTGGGATTCAAGTTAGAACTTTTAAAACATTTAATAATATTGATGAATAAAGTTCTGAAAATATCTGCTTTCACATCAGGTGTACTAATAGGTATATATTTATCAGCAAGAGCAATGGCTTTTTGAATATCATTTTTATTGCAGGCACTTTTAATACCTTCAATTATTTCTTGAAAGCTCTTTTGAAAATTCTGAAATAAAAAAAAAACTTAATTGAAGAAATTGATTTGGTGCATAAAACAAAATTACAATTTTAAATTAATTCTTTTCAGGGTTGCCTCAAAGACACTGGATGAAAAGGAAGTAACAAAAAACAACCTTTACAATTGCTCTGATAATGATTGTAAAAATTTATTAAAATAATTTAAAAGAAAAAGTTAAAAAGACTTTCATATTTACTTCAAAAAATAAATAAATGTTTTTATATTATTTATTATAACTTTATGCAGAATTTGAAAAGCAATTTACTTCCTATTATATCACGGAGTGTAACCAAATCTTTCAACAAAAAATAAGCACCTTTTAAGCACTCAAAAAATATTTTTAAACACAATATACATTAACTAAATGCAAAATAATTTTCAAAGACTTTACATGATCATGATAAAATAACTAGTTTCTGACAAAGTACTCTTTTCTTGATTATATTAGCCATTATAAAATAATCAAAAGATTCTCTGATTCGATATTAAAGCAATATCTTGCAAAATGGAGCAGAGCTGCACGTGGGGATTTGCAAGTATTTAATCAAACTTATAAAATGATTGGCACCTTCTCACGCTATGTACCCGCTGTACACCAAAATAGATTGTGGTTGAATGAATTGTGAAAACGTTGATTAGAACAATCGAAAAATCTCATCTTCGAAAAAGGAAAATAAAGCACTTTTAAAAAAATCCCAATGAAAAAAGCACCTTTAAAAAATGCTACTCACCATGTATATATAATAAATTACCTTTAAATGAAATATTATTGTTTTTAAATTTGGCATTATAAAATAAGAATGGCATAATTGCAGCTATCAATGCTACTAATTAAACTATCTAGTAATTATAAATTGTCGAAAATAATCATTTTAATATTTTAATTTTAAATGTGTTAAAGATTGTATTGATTAATAATTTTTTTCCCCTTTATTCATTTCTATTAAAAATTATTTTATTTTATTTTTTAAAAATTAAAAAAGTTTCTTTAACTTGGGTTGGAAGAAATCTGAGGCTACTTTTTCCAAGGAGGAAGAAACTGGCAATCCCTTTTCTTGGTATGAATCTAAATTCATCAATGAAAATGATAAATATATATGAAGATGATTATTTTCTTATAAAACATCAACAGCTGGTTACAAGACATCATTAATTCATTCAATTTTTGCCATGAGAAATTAGCTTTACAAAATATTACTGTACCATTTTGTAGACATAGAATAAATGCACCCAGCTTAATATATCAATAACAAGTCTCAAAAGCAGACGTAATTTATTAAGAAACCAGAGAATGGAGTGAATTATTACTATGAATGATAAATTATTGGTTTTTCACTTGTGTAAGTATTCAAAGCATATTTAATAGTGAAACCTTAGACCTCGATGTCAAAAAGGATGTTTTTGTCAAAGTAGTTAATGAGTATTAAAGCTTCAAACCAGCCTGCATCGGGGACCAGTCAGAGCTCAATTTCGAATGATTAGAGCGCCCATCAATGGTGATGCCAGCATAGACCGTCACTTCCCCACCACCAAATCTTACACTTTCATACATGAGTGCAGGATTGTTTTTAGTGACACGTTCCCTCCAGATGAAAATAAGTCTGGCATCAGGATGAACAGAAAAACAGGACTCTCCAGAGAAAAGAATATTGCATCATCCATTTCTCCTCCAGTTTATACATGCTCTTTTACCCACTCCCTGCCAGTGTGTCCGTGCCTTACTGTTAAAGTGACACACATCATTGTTCAACGAGCAACGTGAAGGCAGTTTTGAACAGTTTGTGCCGAAACTGTGGTGCTAGTTGCCGAGCAAAGGTGTTGTTGAAGTAGAGTGGCATTCATATTTCGGTGTCTTTGAGACGTTAGTGATAAACAGTCTTCATTCGGCGCTGTTGCACGTCTGCACCCCAGCCCAATCTTCAGCCAGCATTTCCAGTCTCCAAGAAAGGGTTCCAGATCCTTGAAATCACACTTCGTGGAACTCCAATGGCTTCTGCTACTTCGACTTATGTTTGGCCTCCTCTAGCTGGCCAACAACTCTCCAAGCTTCTGATTCGGTTAAATGGCTTCATTGAGACACCACGCTTATCGAAACAATGCCTATCATTTTTTTCTCCTACTTTGTCTTACATTAAGTTGATAACCAAATCGAATTTGCTGACGCTTTTAAGTGTTTTCTTTGACGTTAAACTAAAAATTCGCATTTGTGACTCTCTTTTTTCATTTTATACAAAAAAAAATTTTTTTATCATGACCGCATTTTATACAAGACTTAAAATATCCTATAATTGTTTTGAGCAGTGTATATTTATTTAACAATGAAAAAATCACAAACTTAAATAATTTTTACTACTGGAATTAAAATGTTGGCAATAATGGTTCAATATTTAAGTTAAAAACAAAATTTTAAACACAGAAAGAAGAAAAACACTTTGAACTGTTGGAAGGAAAAAAATTTACCTCATCCTCTGAAAGATAATCTGGATCTTGAAAATGTTCTACAAACTCAGTTGAATTGAAAAGAGAGCATGATTCTTTTAAATCTGAATGTGTAGATGGGGTGCTGCATGAATGTTTACGTGTAAATGAACTTAAACTTGAAATAGAGCTATAGTCGTGGGAAGATTCATCATTAAATTCTCTATTTTTATCATCAAAGATGTTTTCAGTACTAATTGATGCCAGTTGAGTACTACTTGATGACTTTCTCCTGCAAATGAAGTAAATTATTATAAAAATGTAGATATGTAAGCTAATTCTCTTTCTTAGAAAAGTGTGAGCTAACCTTTTTCTGATTCTTTTACCAAATATAGTTGACTTAAATTTTTAAATTCGTGATTTAATTATCATGGTGAATGGCTCTATTGCAATACTTAAAATTTTTATTGCAGTGTTCTTAATGAAATTGCAGGATTTGTTTCTCACATTAAAAGTTCAGTAACTATTTATCGCTTTTGTTGCAATATAAACATTTTTGGGAGAAGTTTTTGATTGCTAGGTAATTATTTTTATTTATCAACAACAAATAGATTATTATACTAAAATTTAAAATCATTCAATTAAAAGGTTTCAAAATTTTTTTATTGCATGAACATGGTTTTAGTTACTACTTTGATAAAATTTAATCTTTGCTTGGTTACTATTGCTAATTAATTGACAATTTTGCTTCTTAAATTTTTATTGAACTTTTGGTTACTATAAACTATTTAACAGCCATAAGAAAACCCGGACCAATTTTTTTTACAAGTCAGGCACATTTTGGCAAGGTTCTTGTTCGGACATAAACAAGGAAGATCCTTTTGCATTCTAATCAAAAAAAAATATTTCACGTTAAATGTTTCTCAATGAAAAAGAGTTTCTTCCATTGTGGAAGAACTTAGCCATCCTAGAGAGCAAGTTCAGCTTTTTATTTTCTTAGCTAATTGTCTATAAATTCAAAAAAGAAAGAGTACCACATAAGAATGCTTTATTAAAACAATCGGAGTCAGAAGCTGTTGAAATTCTTCAGCAATTTACATTATTTTCAAGGCCTTTGAATTATAAGTCGTTTTATTAGAATTGAGGAAAAGAATAAAGCAAAACTAAATAAAAAAAAGAATACAAACTGCTTCAACAACTTTTCAAAAACACATATAATAGAAAAAAAAACAAATTGAATCAGATAACTAATAAGAATAAAATATAATAAGATTCCTACCTTTTAAATGATGATTCTAGATCGCTGTCCTCACTATCTGAATACTGCTTAGAATAACTATTGACCATAGTAGTTCTGAAATTGGTGCTAGGCTTCAATACATCAGATTCATAACTAAGACTTTTTTCAGAAAATGACGGAATTTCCAAATCTTCATTTAATAAAATGTCCTCAGGCAATTCTAACTCAACAGGATCATTTAGGATATTCGATAAAATGTTTTCTTCATCATCAAATTGCTCAGCGCTTACCTTGTCATTTGTCATAACTTTATCTGTAACAATACCAGAATCCACATTTACACTATTAGAACTAGTGTTTTTCATATTATTAATTACTTTTCTTTTGGGGGGTTTTTTGAGTTGTGATACTTGCATTGAATTTTTATTAAAATTAACTGCATTTAATTTAGTGCTGGTCGATTCATTTTTATCATTGATGTCAGTTTCATGAGAGAACTCTAATGATGCACCAGAACTCTGAGCAGAAATTATTGCATTATCTTCGTTAGACTGTATTGGTATGATTGCTTCATTACCAAGGTCCAAAATTTTAGAAGGAGAAATAGTTAAAGCCAAATTTGTAGAAGTGAGGTCACTATTATTTTTATTTCGAATAAGTTTTCTTTTAAAAGTTTTTTTGGATAATGGCACTTGATTTAAATTTTTATTAAAATTAATTTTATTTAATTCAATATTTGTGGATTCATTTTTATCAATAATAGTATCATGAGCAAACCTTGAGGATGCAATTAGATTTGAGGCTGAATGAACAAAATTTTCTTCACAGTGCAGTGGTTCAACTACTTCATCATCTGGAGCCATATTTGTAGAAGAGGAAATAACTCGAGTTAAATTTGTCAAAGAGAAGTTTTTATTGATTATATTATTTTTAACTAATTTGCTTTTCAAAGAAATTTTAGATGAAGGATGAATTAAAGGTTCATTACCAATATGTTTACTAACTGTATCATTTACTTCAATAACTTTAGAGTAGTTTTCTGTATTTGGAACTGATGTATGACAATTGGTAAACGTATTTTTATTTCTTAAACTTCTTTTAGTTAATATTCGACACCAGCTATTACCGATTTTTCTAAAAGATTTTTTATTAGTAGCATTTTGTGTTTCGTCTTTATTACTATTTTTATTGCATGATACAATAGTCAGTTCATTTTTTTCAATATTAGAAGACTCTCTTAAAGTTCTTTTTGAATCTTCAACTGTTACTTTCATAAGTTTTGCTTGCATTAAAAAATCTAATGGAGCACTCTCAGTTAAGTCATCATCTGAAAATGGATTTACATTTGAAGTTCTTGTACTGGTTTTATTATTGACAGAATTATTATCAACTCCTTTTAGTTTCAAAGGTCTTTTAGTTACTGGCTTTGAATTCCCAGATTTACTACCCACATCAACAGTTTGAATTGAAATTTCCTTATCAACATCATTAAGAGAGGCATTTGATACCTTATCCTCATCATATAATCCATCTCCACGAGAAAACTTTCGCTTTGTATCACTAACAGTAACTTTAAATAGTTTTGCCTCTTTAAGAAAATCTGGCGGGACTCTTTCATTTAACAAATCATCAGAACAAGGATTTATATCCAAGTTGCTTGCGTTGTTGAAGTCAGAAGTGCTTTTGACATTGACCTGTGCGTTACCAATTTTTTTCAATTTTAAAGATTTTTTAGGAGCCACCATAGATTTTACAATACATTTATCGACATTTTGAGATGAAGTTTTCTTATCACTAACTATATCGAGTGGTGTATTTCCAACTCCATTGCTTACTTCATTTTCATCAGACAACCTTAAAGTGCTTTTTGTATCCTTAATTGTTATTTTATCAGAGACTTCTTCTAAGACTGATGAAGTTTGTCCATTGATTTGATTATTGGCATAATGGCTATTAATTCTTTTTAGCTTTAAAGATTTTTTAGTTACTAACTTGGATTTTGCAGAAGATTCACTGACCGTAGCAACAGTTTGATTTTCATTAACGTCATTGAGAGAGCTATTAGTTGCTTTATTTTCAATACTTAATTTATTTACAGGAGATAATCCAAATGTTTGCTTTGCATCATTTACAGTAATTTTAAGAAATTTTGCCTGTACAAGAAAATCTGATGGGACACTTTCATCAAATAATTCATCAATACATGAATTTGTAGTCAAGTTACTTGTTTTTGTGAATTCAGAGGTGTTTACATTTTTAGCAGCTACATTAATTTTACTGCTTTTTTTTCTTTTCACAGATTTCCTTGAAATTAATGTTTGTATTAAAGAACTATCGTTACTTTCATTGACCAATTTATTGTTAGAATTATCTTTAATTTTAGGAACTGATTTTAATTGTTCAGTTAAATGTTGAGAAGATATATTTATTTGGCCAATTCCTTGTGGTAACGATTCTTTTTCTTTATAGAGATTTTTTGTACAAGAAATTTCAGAGACAGAATGGGTAGAATTATTAATATTTTCCTTGAATTTAATAATATCAATATCATTAGTTTTCTGAACTAATATTTGATTACTAACAGTTTTACTGAAGGACATTTTAGCTTTAGGAAATATCTTGAATTTTTGCTGATTATCCACAAATTTGGTATCTTGTGTGTCGAGCAAAATGCCACTATCAGGGCATAAATTCAAACTTGAAACAATTGTACTAGTTAAATCAGCAGCATTTTCTACAAAAACAGATTTAATTTTAGTATTCATTTCAGTTTTTTTAACTATTTCTAAAGACATTTTTGAACTATGAGCAAAATTTGCAGTATCATCTTCTGGTAATGACTTTTCATTTTCCTCAGATTCACTCTTAGAGACATAACCCGAAGATATTAACACTGCTTTAGAATCATTTAACGTGCTTTTTAAATGAACTGAATTTATATTTTCATTTTTAAATGATTTTTTACTTAATAATGGTCCACTAAAACTATTAAAATGAGTTTCAACCATGACTGTTTCATTTTGAAATTGGTTTTCAGAGGAAATATCAGATGGATCTTCAATTACTTCATTAGAGTTCACACACATTTTCTTTTTGATATAACCATAAGCTGAAACAACATCCTGTAACGGCACGGCACAATTGAAAGGAACACAATGTTTACAGCTGGATGTACAGTTAGATAATACATTTTGAATACTCAGACTATCTACTGTGACTTTTGATGATTGTAACAGAAAAGGTATTGAATCTGCTATGGAATTTATACACAATTTTTTAGGAGAACATGTACGATGTTTTTTTATTTGCTTATGATTATTTGATTTAGAACTAATCTTACTAGTGGTAACTGATGATGTAGTATCACTTTCCTTGAGCTTCTTTGACTGATGCATTTCAAAAGGATTACAAATGTTTCACTTCGTCAAATACCAAAAGCTGGATTTAACAATAGATATCTTTTAGATGATTATTAATACTCATATTTTTTGCAATTAATTCCTCTCAGTAACCTAAAACAAAATAAAAATATTTAGAGAAAAGAAAAACAATTTTATGAATGTTTGAAGATTTCTCTTGTGACAAAAAAATAATTCTGCTATAACCATAAAATTCCAATAAAACGTCCAGATTCGAGAAAGCGGCCCCATGTAGTTTCACACAAATACTGATTGTCAATCACAACCAAAAAAAGTGCCCTTTTCTCAACAACACAATTTAAAATTTCTTATTTTAAGAATTTCTTTATGAATTTGTTTCTAAAAAATAGTTATCCTGATGTTTAGGGTAGAAAAAAAATTTCTACCCTAAATATCAGGATGATTATGTTATATGATACTGCCTACTGTATAACATTAACATGAAGATTAATGTCATACAGTAAAAGAGCAATGAGTGGGGGAAAAAAAAAAGAAAAAGTAGAGGATTAATTAATCAAAGTAACCGAATTGAAAATTGCTAAAGAAAGTGCAGGCGTTTGTAAAGTCCGGCGGGAAGAGAGGGAGAAGAAATCCTTTAAACACCTGGTCAACATTTTCTCTCTTCTGCATTTAAATCAAGGTCAGGGTTGGCTTTTTGCCAGTAGAAACTGGTTATAACCAGTAAAAACTGGCAGAAACTAAAAAAACGTCTATATTAGTTCTAGTAATTGCTTAATGACATTTTGTTTAAGAAAACTGAAAAATGTTATTCCATATAACTGTAACAAACATTTTAATTCATTATTTGTAAATATATATCATTTTGTTTATGTTAAATATAAAGAGTGCAGTATATCAAATATTTTTAAAGAATCGGCCCCCTTTCCCGAAACTTATTTTTCCAGTCAAGTTTTGACAACTACCCCAGCTGCTACATGGCGATCCAGTTTTAAAAAATATGCAACAGATGAAAGTTTCACAAATCTTGCTTGTTCCTTGATGGCAATGCCTGCTAGTTCTGCTGGACTTGAGAGAATCTTCTCAAATTTCTCGTTTGTGCATAGCAAATTGAGAAATTGTTGATCCAGTTTTAAAAAATATGCAATAGATGAAAGTTTCACAAATCTTGCTTGTTCCTTGATGGCAATGCCTGCTAGTTCTGCTGGACTTCAGAGAAACTTCTCAAATTTCTCGTTTGTGCATAGCAAATTGAGAAATTGTTGAGGTTTAGAAGCTGCATCAAAACTTGTCTTTTGCTATAGATTAATGCAGAGTGCAGACAATGTAATATTTGATTTTGAATGATGATAATTTTGTAAATAAATTGTACTTTGTTTAACATTTAATTGTTTTTTCTACAAATTATCCATAGTATGTCAATCTCAGTACTTACTTTATGTCATTTACTGAATTTCAGCCACAAATGTGGCAGAAAAGATTTTCTGCCATGCCAGTTTTAACCGGTTTCTACCAGTGGTTTTAACCACCTCGGCAGAAACTTGCCAACCTTGGTCAAGGTCACCTTGAATGGGATGTACACTCGTCGGCAAGAAAGAGGAAAAATTTTAAAGTGTCCTAATGAGAAAGAAAAATGGGATTAGAAAGTGAGTGGAATTGAATGGAAGAGATATAGAATAAAAGAGAGTTAGTGCTTTTTTGGAATTGTTCTTAGAATCCCTTGTTAGAATTGCCTAAAAATATCAGACAACGTTAAGGAACAGATGACGACTAGCTATAAGGAAAGTTGTCTAGGATTTAGGGTCTGAATGATGATGACGTTCAGAGGTTAATTATTTAGGATCAGGGTTCATCCCTAGAACCTCCAGTCTCTCTTAAGAAGTCTAGACACAGATGTAGTTTTAATTTAGGTCAGGCCACAAGTCTACTGCAGCCAGCGGATGTTCAATGGATGTCCCCCCTTATTAGTGCATTAAGAATAGAATGAGTGTCCCTCATTTGGAACAAATAAAAGACCCTTACAGAAATTTAAAAAGATCAAATTGGCAAGATACAACTAGTTTTGTGTAGACCGATAGGGAGACGATCCCCGTTGTATTCCTCTAAAATGAACTACAACAATAGATCATGTTCAGTATATCAATGTCAACTGAAATCGTGATGATCACTAATGATGAAATTCATAGTCTATAAATTCCTATTCAGCTGCGCATTATCTGAATTTCATGCTTGCTTTTATTTAATAGAATATAAATAAAATCACTAACCTATTTTTAACTTTCAAGATTGACAGGCAACAAAACAGCAATGACACAAATCTAATCACTCCACATGCACGCAAAAAGTAATGGAACTTGTAAATTCTATTAATACGCGAAGAGAGATTAATAACAACTCCATTTGTTACACGTATGTGAAGGTAGTTCCACGGATAACTGTTTATTTAATATGAAACAAAACACTTAAGGGTGAAAACATGTACAGAAAATTTAACAACAGAACACACAAATAACAATAAAAAGTTTCTTTACTAAATGCGAAATGGCAGGAAATAAAAATATTATGAATAAAACTGTCTGTTTCTGCCCGACCTTGCATTTGATTAAGGATTTTATCCCATGGCTAGACACGGTGAAAAAAAATTTTTTTTGCAAAGAATCTGGCAGCAAAACACTTTCAAAACAAAGAAATTAAAGAAGCATGGCGCACTTTCGGAATTTCAATCTTTTTCCTGCGTAAATTCTAATGAAGAATTTAATAAAAAAAAAATTTCTATGCATAATGTGAATTAGAATAAAATCTCTCTTGATGCAATTTCGATGTGTTTAATTTATATTCGCAGCATTTCATTCATTTTCTTCATATATTTTCCTGTGAGTACTATTTTGACAGAATTAAAATTTTAATTTTCTTGTTCTATTGTGTGGAAACATTTATTTTTATTACGAAATTTACTTCATATTATGATAAAAATCGTACATCTTAAAAATTTTATTACTTTCCGAGTAAAGGTTAGATAATTTTCGGTTTTATTTTAGAATTTTTATAATATTTACAGTAATTGTTGTTGTAGATAGTATTTATGTATCAGTTATAATTTTACATACATGTTATAATAATAATTTTTATAATTCCTATATATATAATATTTAAAGGAATATATAATCTTCTTTCGAAATAAAAAGAACTATGTAAACTACTACAAGGGATGTAAAAGGTATTTATATACAGTGGCATTAAAAGGAGATGACAAAAATGGAGGAATGTTACGTTTTGCTGTAAATAACTTGAATATTTCCCCTAAATATTTATACATTTTGATTTGTGATAAATTACAATTGGGGAGATTTCCATATCGTGATCTGTGGCAGAATAATCTCCAAGTCTTGGAAACTTCCTGGCACTGGTTCGCAAGAAACTAAAACAAAACATCTCAGAAAGGGACCAACTCGAAAGGTATAACTTGTAACCACTCCTGGGCAAACATCTACATGTTAATTTTTTAAAATGTTGCAAGCTTAAAATCTATTTGGCACCTTGGCGATTACAGTTGACGCGACATATAACAATACGGAAATATCCCCGATGTTTCCATATCTTGATCTGTCTCGCCAACTACAATCGCCAAGGTGCCAAATAGCAGCTTGCAAATTTTTTTTTAAAAAAACATGTAGATGTATGCCCGGGGCTGACTAAGAGTTATACATTTTGAGTTTGTCCCTTTCTGTGATGTTTTATTATAGTTTCTCGGTGGCCGCTGCACGGAAATTGCCAAGACTTGGCAATTATTCTACCACAGATCAGGATACGGAAATCTCCATTTACATTTATAATTTTACCCTTGAGTACCAACCCTAAAAGGGCAGCTAATGCTTTTATTGTGTACAAAATAACAGGGTGGCCACTAGGGCTGGGCAATGTCAGAATTTCGATATTGTGAGCTTCATATCACGATATTATGATATACCGCTTTAATTAAATTGTTATGTATATTATAAATGCTAAGACTATTTTGCAATTAAAAATTAATGTGTTTAAAGAGCATCATTTAAAAAAAATGGGGTACTTATCCTATATTAGCTCGCAGCATAATTATCCAATGGAATCAACTAATTATAAAGCATCATTATTTTAAAACAGAAAAATTTTATTAATATAAACATCAATTACTAATATAAACATCAACACAATTATAAACATCAAAACAGTTATAAACATCAACACAATTATAAACTTCAACAATTATAAATATCAACACAATTATAAACATCAACAATTATAAATATCAACACAATTATAAACATCACAAGGAGATCCGACAATCTCGGATATTTTTAAAATCAGAAGCACGCTATTCTCAAAATGAAACCAAAATCAGTAACTAAGTATACCATGGAGGGTTGATATAACGCGCGGGTGTTTGAAATCCGATATCGCCAATACCACGGATATGACGCATGCGCTTTAAAGTCAAATGATACCACAATATATTGTAGGAGAAATTTCTAGCTGCCGAGAGGAGGTATCGTAAATATTACGCGCCATACCAATACCTCCTAGATACCATACCATACCGCCACTTCCTCGCCGCCGGTCGGCCGAAGATATTGGCTAGCGGTGAGTACCGAGAGGTGCAGGCATACCGAAGTTCAATAACTCGGTATTGCCGAAGAATATACTTCCGAATATCATTATCGCGGTATCAAAGAAATACCGGTAAATGACGGTATTACGGTATATTGCCCAGGCCTAGTGGCCACCCACCTTGAAAACCTGGAATTATCAGGGAATTTTATTATACTGGAAAAAACCTGGAAATATCAGGGAAATTTGGATAAAAATCTGGAAAAATCAGGGAATTTTAAAGAAAAGCTGGAAATTTTTTCTTTGATAATTTTTTTAATTTCACTAATTTAAATTATTTACTAATTTTCTTAATTTAAATTATTTCATCCATTATACCCACTTTTTTTAAACGGAAATGTATCGCCAAACAGTTGAAATATCATCAACTTAGCTATACTTTGCTTGCATCAAAATTTGCTCCATTACAGCTCTGTTAAACTAGAATGCCACATAAAATTCTCACACAGTTGCTAAACGAATGTAGAAACCTTTGACTGCTATGGGACTGTGCAATTTAGGCAAGATTCTGGTGGGGGTGGAAAAAGGGATTAGGATATTAGCTTCTTTTTTTTTTTAAATTCTCTCCTTGGGCTGAATCCATTTATGGCTCAACTTTGTTCCAATGCTTTGGTGGTAATTTTTTTTTCTATTTTGACAAAATGTTTTTGTATTTTTAACTTTATAAAATTCTCCAAAAATTAGTTGGTTATAATTTAATAATAGATTTTATATCGCAGTCTTTTTCTGAAAGCTTTTCTACTCCCAATCAAAGAAATCTGAATTATTTTTCTCAGCAAACCAACCAATCACACATTTTTTTACAATCGCTAACAGCAATGTTTGTCGACAAATCGTTACAATTGTTGCATTAATGCTAATTTTTTCTATTTCATTTTAACCTTTTATAACATATTTTAATTTTAAAAAAAATGTTTTTTTAAGAACCAACTATATATTTATATTTAATTTTACTCTTTTGTTGGTCAATATGATTTTTGATTCGATATTTTGTACCAAAACATTAAAAAATAAATTTAAAAAAATCTTGAAAATTGTCAAAATAAATTATTTTTTTCAAGATGATATGTTAAAAAAATAACATTTTGAATAAAATATTTTATAATATAGACACTTTTCTTGTACACATCCTACACTTTATACGAAAAAAGAAATAAAAACCTGGAAATTTTAAGATTTTTATCTGGAAAAATCAGGGAAATTTTAAATCTGATTTGAGTGGCCACCCTGAATAATTAGCATTTTTAACAGCACTTAGAAAAAATTTCTGCTACTTGAAACAATTAGCACTTGAAAGAATTAATAATGTCCCCATAGATGCTGTACGCAGATGGCAGTAGACTTGAAGGTGTCAGATCTGGCAGTGGCATTTATATTAAACTTAGCAATCAAGAAATAATAATCAAGAGAGGAAATACGGACTTTTGCTCAGTATTCCGAAGCGAACTTATTGCAATTCTTGAAGGTCTGGACTCCATATCGCTTTTGCGGTTAATTGATATCTGGATCTTTTCGAATAGTAAAAGTGCTATCCTGCTATTTAATTATTTTTTCAGTTAAAACCATTTAAGTAAAGCCTATGCATAAAAATGTGAACTTTATTTTCCTCTTGTTTTTAATTCTTATAAAATTTTATTACTATATGAAAATGGTATAAATCCATTCAGCATTAAAAAACATCATACCTTTTTTTACAATTCTAGTGATCAGTATTTCTTCTTAAAAGTTTAATCGTATTATAGTGTTAAAAACATCACCAAAATTGATTAAATTTTGCCAATATTTTTAAATTTATTCAAATGCTAACCTTAAATATTCTTATGCACCTTAAATATCATAATTTTTGAAAAAAGTGACCTTATTCCACTTTTAAAAATAATGACTCATTTGTATAATTTTTACCGTAATCTTAATATAAATTTTACCGTATTTATGTAAATAAATTGTTTTTTTATTGTTTTATTTTATTTTTTTTACAGAATTATGAGTCCTCGAAAAGACAAACCTTCTGTATCCCAGGATGTCAGCATAAGTAAATCTAAAAGGAAAGGAGTACAGAAAATCAAAATTTCCTCTAAAGTTAAACCAGTTAAGCTTCGTAAAAATGTAGTTGGAGAAAGTTTAGAGAAAGCAGATCTTAAAACAGTAATTTCTCCAAAAGCTGTCAGAAACAAAGAAACAGCTCCCAAAAATCTAAAAAAAATTTTATCTACTGAAATACTCCCAAAATCTTGTGAAAAATGTCTGATTTCAGAAAAAAGTGCATCTTGTTCCAAGCAGGCAAGTTCTGAAAAAATAAAAGTTGCAGTTACAGAAACAGAAAGTACACTAAACAGAAAAAAGCATCCCAAAAGTAAAATATCTAAAAGTAAATTGCATGAAATTAAAAATACTATTACTGATTCAAGAACTAAAGTTATTACCTCTTCTAAGAATGAAATGTGTACAGGAGAAAATTTAAGTACTAAAAAGCCTGTTACTCTTAAAAAAAGGTTAAATATTAAAAGACACCCCAAAGTTAAAGATCAAATAACATTGCCTGTCGATGTAGAGGAAAATTTAATCTCTTCTAAGAATGAAATGTGTACAGGAGAAAATTTAAGTACTAAAAAGCCTGTTACTCTTAAAAAAAGGTTAAATGCTAAAAGACACCCTAAAGTTAAAGATCAAATAACATTGCCTGTCAATGTAGAGGAAAATTTAATCTCATCTAAGAATGAAATGTGTACAGGAGAAAATTTAAGTACTAAAAAGCCTGTTACTCTTAAAAAAAAGTTAAATATTAAAAGACACCCCAAAGTTAAAGATCAAATAACATTGCCTGTCGATGTAGAGGAAAATTTAGAATTGGTTAAAGAAGACAATTCAAGCCTTCAAATTCTTTTAAATGAAAAAAATTCAGAAAGTCATCAAGATTCTGATTCAAACTCCAGTCTAGAATCTGCTAAGATTAGCGATTCCTCTGTATTATATTTTCCTTTTGGAGGAATGGGGGGAAAATTATCGGCTTTTAAAAGCAGATACAAAACTAAGATGTTGGCTTTAAATTCTCCTAGAAGAAGCCATGGAGGAAATAAGGCACTTCCGCTTCTAAAAAAGAAGCAAAATAAAGGAAAAATTCAAGCTGAAGTAAACAAAAGTAATTTTAAGTGTTTGAACAACAAAATTTCTTCCAATACGTCTAAAAATATCAAAAGTGTAAAATGTATTCAAGGGAGGAAAAGATTAAGTAAAAAAATAAATAACCATCAAATTTGCAAAGTAGAAAATATTCATGTAAAAGAAAATTCTGAATTTAACACATCAACAAGTGGTACTAATGAATGTAATCAAGCATTGGTAGAAAATGTTCTTGCACAGCGTTTAAAAGTGTTAAAGAACATGATGCAATGTTCTAGTGTAAAATCATGTGAAAGTGATTCCATTGCAGCTGAAACAAACTTGATAGTGAGTGATAATCTTAAAAAAGATCAACAAAATGACTCAAACTTATTTCCCTTTAATACTAACATGACAATTTATGAATGCAGTCCAGAGGATCTGGGAATAGTTAAACCTAATTTGCCAAAGTATGTAGAACCTATTGATTCAACATTTAATTGCTTAAATGAAAATTTCCAACAAAGTATAAGTCCATCGAAAAATCCGATAAATAGTTTATTTAATAATGAAGAAATTTCTTATCCTTTTAAAGCTGATCAAACAAATAATATATGTAATCTTAGTTTTGATCTTTTTGGTATAACAGATCCTGATATAAATAATTATTTGCAAAATGAGTTATTGTATGATGAACCTTTTGATTCCACGGCTGAATTTCTGACAAATTCCTGTGAAGAACCAGAAGATTTAAAAATTGAGCCTGTTCTTAATTATGATTTGAAGGGAGAAAATGACCCTTATGCTAACCCAGTGGATATGCCTATGTTAATATCAGCTTATAAACATTTTGTTTCGAAATATAATCCAACTATTACTACTACTGATTCACCTATATTTAAAAATTCACAAACTCCTCAAGAAAGTTTAGAATCACAAGAAAATTTTAATTGTGAACCAAAGACAATGCTGGATACTTTAAGTGAAAATTTCAATAATGAAATTAATAGCAACAAAATTGATGTAACTAGAAGAGAAGAGAGTATACAGGAAACTCTACATGCTTTAGTTAGTCACCCTATTTCTCAGGTAAATAATGAGAAAACAGATTTTAATTATAAAGGTCTAGATTTAGATCAGGGGGACATCTGTATTAATAACTGTGATAAACTTGGTGAAGTTGAAAATGAAACTTCAAATCTTGATGATGGCACTTCTAATAAACAAGTGCCTAAACAGTGTGTAACTCAACCAAGAAAGAAAAAGAGGGAAATCTGGAGTTATAAAAAAAGAAGAAAAGTGAAATCCTCAAAAAAGATATGTAGGTCTATTTGCATTGACAATAATGTATGTAAAACTCAGAAGTTAAACAAAACCAAAGAGATAGGTGAAATGAACACTGATTCATATTTAACCGTTAATTCGGTTCTGAAACCAGATGAACAACATATGTTACTTTCAATTTCTTTAAATAGAAATAAAACTAGCACTTTAGCTAATGTTAACCAGTGTACTCCAAAACATGTTGATACAAATTCTATTGAAACTTTCAAAATGGAAAATAAGAGCAAAAACAGTAGTAATGTTTTAAAAAACTTGGTTCCTGGAAACATGTTAACTCCTGAGATGGATAAAGATCTTATTAACAATTTAAATCAGTGTTCTATGTTGTCTGAAGAAGTGAGTAGTAATACCAATTCTGTTGGCCTAAACATTTCTGGGAACATACCTTGCTTTAATACAGCATTTACAAGTGAAGATTTAAATAATTTAACTCCTGTTAGTGAAATTCATGAACCACAATTCTTTGTTGAAAATATAGATGTTGACCAATTACAAGATAAAATTACACCAAAAGTAATTCAAGCTATTGGTGCAAAGAGACTAAGTCAATCTGAACTACAGCCAATGTTGAACAATCATAATGTTGTAAATTCAATGAATCCTAGTCTAAAAATAACTTTGGCAAAAGAATGTTGCTCTAAATTAGAATGCAAAGAACTTCTAAGTTCAGAATATTCAATGACTTTTTCCAATAGTAATGATGTCTTCCTTAATTTTACTGAAAGTCAAAAGCAACCTCTTTTAACTGACATTGAATTTCAGCAAAATAAAGGTTTATCAGTTAATGAGCATTTACAGTGTTCTTCATCTGAGGAAAAAGAAAATTTATTTTTGCCAGAGAATTCTGAAGGAACTTCAGAAAACTCAAAGCAAGTGAGAGAAACTTTAACAGAAAGGCAGTTGGAAGAAATAAACAGGCAAAAAGAAGCTTCTGAAAATGTTAGTCAAAAAGAAACCTTGGGAATTGTTAGACACGAAGAAGTTTTAGAAAGTTCTATGCCAGAAGATACTTTTGAAGGTGGGCTTAAGTTAATTGCAGATGATATTAGATTGTCTGAAATTAATGGAAAAGCTGAAAACCTTGAAGTCAAAGAAATGGTTAAGACAGTTAAATTAAGTAGTGAAACTGATTGTAAAGGTGATAAATATTTCTTTTTAAATCATGAAGTGTCTCTCCCGGACAATGATCATTTAAAAGTTACATTTCGAACTACAGAAAATGACTCAAAAATAAATCAATTTAAATTACTAAATTTGAAAGGTGTTAATAAGCATATATTTTCTGCCAAACAACTCTTGAAAAACAAGAGTAATTCTGTAGATGATAATATAAAGGTGGTAATAGATAATATGCATCGTAAAGTTAAATATGATTCTGAAAAATCTGATGCTGGTAGAAAAAATTCTAAATCACCAAAAAATCTAATTGTGGAAGAAAATGAAAAGCAGCTAGTCTATGAAAACCAAAACATGGGAAATCAGCTTTTAAATGTGAAACAATTAATGAGCACTAAGTGTTCAAATGAAGAATCGCTAGAACAATTGCAGATATCTTTGTCAGGAAAGCAAGTACTAACTGAATCAAAAGACAACAGAGCTTGTGATAAGTCAAAATTTGATTCTGAAAAAACTGATAGTGGTAGAAAATGTAAATTAGACACAATTCAAAGTTGTGTAGAAAATGGGAGCTCTCCAACTTATGAAAACCAGTTTATAGAAGAAAAACAATTGAACGAAACTGTATGTTCAACACATGGAAACCAAAAGCAAACAATGACATCGATATCAGACAACCAAGTACCTGCGAAAGAAAATAAAAAGTCATGCAAGGCTAAACCTTCATTGAAAATCTGTAGCCTTTTTGATTTGGCTGTTGGAAAAAAACTGACCAAACCAAAAAGTAAAATTTCAAAGAAAAAATCAACTGAGGTAAAAGACACTTCAGATAATCACAAGGAAATTCCCAATGACAATAATCTATCATGCAAATCTAAACTACCAAAAAAGGTTTCTGCAAGTAAGACAAAAACATCAGAAACAGTATCTGACAGTGATATTCTAAAATATATTAAATCATCTGATGCAGAAATCAAAGTAAAAAAGAAAACTAAGTCTAATAATGAAATTCTAAAATATAATGGGTCATCTTATGTTACACAAAATCACCTGTCAGAGAAGTGCCAAACATCACCATCCAAAAACAACCCATCAAGCCACACTTCACTATTATCAAAGAAAAATGGCCACTCTGAAATATTCAACAACAACCAGTCAGTACAAGATGATTTGAATCTTGTCACTAACTTTTATTCTGATGAGGATTCTTGCCAGAATTGTTATGAAACTTCTGTCAGTGTTCCGCAGGCTCATGTAAATGGTAATGATCCAGTTCCTAAAAACAACTCTGACACTTTTAGAACTCCTTGTGAGCAAGAAAAGAGAGCAAAAAATTTCACATATTTTAATAATGTTGATGATGAGTTAATTCTTGATTTTGAAGGAGAATCTGAAATTGATACTGAATCACTTAGAGATTGGTCTGTTAGCAATGGGACTCAATCACAATTTAATAAATATATCCCTCCTGGTGATAGAGGAAAATATTCATTCGAAAATGGTCTTGAAATAAATTCTGCTTTTGATGAGGGTCCATCATCTTTGAATATCAACGATTCCATTTCTGAACTATTTGTGACTGAGCAAGCAGTGAAGAATTTACAGCAAGATTTTAAAATCAGACGTACTCCTAAGTGGACAAGAATGAGTGGTTGCTCTTCTGAAGACTCGGATGATGATGAACATTCTTTTAAGAGGTAAATTGTTTTTAAAAATTCTGTTGGGTTTAGTTAACTCAAATAATGCTTTATTTATGCATTTTTTAAACTTTTTTTTTTATAAAAAGAACAATCATCATCAAAAATGTGTTTTTTTAAAAAAACCTCATTATATCCAGTTAAATTATTGTGGGACAATATCTAATCTGATGCAGATTAAATATTGTGAGATGGAATATATACAGGGTTGCCACTCCACGGGGAAAACCTGAAAAATACAGGGAATTTAAAAATAACCTAAAATAACAGATTTTTTTAATTTTTCTTTACAAACTGAGAAAATAGAGGTGGTGACCACTCAAAGTGCAATCTATGGCATATTTGAGGATGCTATTTCAGTTATACTAAACTATTTAATTTACTTTAGCATTATTTGTTTTAAATGTGTTCAGCAGTACCTTTTTTTCTCTAAATTTCCAGTAATTAAATTTAGTATAGTTAGCCAAATATAGCTCACACAAAAGTGCAGTGATAGTGTGTTTCCTATTAATACATTGTGTGTAATCCTATCTACAGGGAATTTTTTTTCCCAATTAGAGTGGCATTCCTTATATATAATATATACAGTGGAACTCCGGTTTTACATCACTTGTTTTGTACGTTATTCAGCTTCCCACGTCATTTCCCGTTGGACCGTGTCTATACCGATAATGTTAAATTATACTGGATTTTATATTACTACCCTTTTTAAGAAAATCCTGCTTAATATGTTTTTCTAACAGATCAAAATCATTCTTTTTCTACAAATTTTACACAAACTTTCTTTCAGTTCTTTTTTCCATTCGAAGAAAAATATTAGTTTATTAATGTTTAAATCTGTTCTAACATTCTTTTTATCGTATTGTCGTTTTTGTCAGTGAAAGAGGATTTTGCAAATCACAGAAAGGGTGGTTAAAAGAAGTATGAGAGCTTGACAGGGTTGGGTTTTTGCTGTCAAAAACTGGTTTTGACATGACAATGGTAAAAACCGTGTTTTTACCGGTAAAAACTGTCAAAAACCTACTGTTTTCATTAATTTATGGCATATAGCGGACAATATATTATTTTCACTTAATTGCCTTTATAAATGAATGTTGTAAACAATTGCTATTGATTTTGCAACTATATACATGTATTCTTATAGAAGGATATACATTCATACAGAAATATTGTAATATACTTATTGAAAATAGTGATACTTAACTTTAATCATTATAGCGTGATTTGCAAAGGATTCAAAATTTTGCACTTCTTAATTGTTAGAAATAAACAAACAAACAAAAAAAATTGGAACTATTAATAAATTCAAGAACTAAAGAGAAGAATTTAAAATTTGGCATTTCTTAATTATTAGAAATAAGCTAAACAAAACTTGTAACTAGTAACAAACTCTAAGTCAGGAATGACTTGACATTCTTCAGTAATGTAATATGCCAAACAAAATGATGCTTGGAAATGTTGAAAATTTTGTTTAGTATCCTAATATTTTACTTCAAATAGTATGATTTGATATAATCATGTTGGGAAAATGCAAAAATCTGTTCTTAAATATCTTTTAGCAACTTTTTTTCTAATTTTATTGCCCAAAAATGAATTAATTTTAAATCATAAGCAGTTAAACTCAAATTAAAATACAGTTTTCTCAAAACTATGGGTTTTTGACAGAGGGGTTTTTGACATGACGGTAAAAACCATGGTAAAAACCGTCATGTGTCAAAAACTTGCCAACCCTGGAGCTTGAATTGCAAAATTCGCCCGTGGAATTTTTTCCTGCAAATAATCCAATTACTTAAAGAATGTTACACTGAGCATTGGTCAAGTAATCATTTATTTTTCTTGATTCCGGTGACCTCCAAGATAGTTCTAAAACTAAAATAAAGCTTCCAGTTGGATTTCTACAATGTAGCACAATTTCGATTAAAATGCTGAAGGTGAGTAAAAAATATCAGAAGATATACCCTGCAACTGATAAAGAGTTTCTAACTGAAACAATATTTACTATTTGTGTATTTATACTAAAAAATAAATTTGCAAACAATAAGTATTGAGAGGGATATTGTTGAAATTGTATCTAAAAACAAGTGAAGAACGCAAATTTTTTCTTTAATTAGTTCAATCTCTTAATTGTCAGCTTTTAAAAAATAGGTTTTTTAATGCTAGTTGACGAAAAACGTAAAATCGGGGTTCCATTATATCTATCTATATAAACCTCAGCATATCCAGTATATTCATTGATTTAATTGCATACAGACCATACAAGATTTAAGTTAAGGTACTTGGAAAAGATTATTTGACTATTTCACCTGATATATAGGCACTTGGTTAAATTTTATTACTTCAAAGGGATTTGTCTTTATCAAGAGGATTTAGCCTCTATGTCCCTCTGAAATTTCTTTTAGTACCAAATTGAAAGCAAATAAGTGCTTCACTTATTTAAGTGCTGCACTTATGTTGATAGCAGTCACGTCTTGGACAATGCAGCATGTAACTGTCAGGGTTAGCAAAAAATAAAAATAATGATTTTTTTTATATTAGTCTGATTTTTTTTATTTCTCTAAATAAGATTTTTTTTTTTAGTTTTTGAATATATCAACAAAAGTACTGATAAAATTTATCAATTATACTTGATGCAATTCTAAAACTAAGTTATAACTAAAATGTATAATATTTCTAACTAAAATAGTTAAATTCATTTTATAAAATAAATGTAAAATAATCACTAAAGGAAATTATAGTTCTCTTTATTTAAGCCCAGTGCTTTCATAAATTTGTAAAAGATAAAGACTGTCAAGTAGATTTCAAATTAAAATACCGTAAAGATTAATATAAAAATCAATTATTCTAAATTACTATTGGCAGTGAATGTTTTAATTCATGTATAGCCTGTCTTTCTTTCTTTCTTTTTTTAGTCTAATTTAAACCTTAAATAATAATTTATGTTTATTACCCACTCATTTCTCTGGATAAAGCTTTCAATATCAATAAAATAAAACTAAAAGATTATACCTGAAGAGTATATATATAAATTATCCTAGAAGAAATTAATTTAATTTATAAAACAATTGTTCTAAAAGAAAATAAAAGTTTTAAAAAAAATACTTATTTCTTGAACATTGGAGAGGTGGTGTGAACGGTTATCTTCAATGTAAAAATTAATTGAGAATAATAATCCAGAAGTAATTTTTTTTTTCAACACTATTGCGACCTGTACATTCATTTTGTATGATGTATGATTAACCATCAATTTGACGGGTGAATATTTGGCTTCAATTTTTGCTGAACAATTAATTATTCATTCTATATCATCTGAATTACTAAGTCACATCATTGAATTGAAATGTCCAATAAAGGGATGTATTAGTATTTGTAATTAAAATTTTTACTATTAAAATATTTCAAAGGAGTTCCATTAAAGAAAAACTATTAGTAAATTTATACTGAGTTATAACTAACGAACAAGAAAGATTGTCTATTTTGAAGTTGGTGTAAGTGTGCCATTTTTCAGACATTTCACTTGCCATGACTTAACATTTGTTAAAATTCTTTGTTATTCCATTGAATAAGATGTTTTAAATCTATATTAAGTTCTTTGATATTCTAATAAGTTTTGCATAGTGTTTACATTTATTTTTTAAAATCAGTATTTTGCGGTAAATTTATTTTGTAGGAGAAGAGCTGACCAACAGGATGAAGATACCTCATCAAAATATAGTATTAGTACCAGTTCAGAAAAGTCACAGCAATCCAGAAAATCTTTTAAAAACCATGCACAAGAAACACTAACCAATAAGTGTGTACCTAGTTCTCCTTCCAGAAATGAATCTAACCCTCAGGTACTTTATTTCTAGAAATTTAATTTTTCATATGAAGTGTGTCAGATGTATATGTCATAGGCTTAACCCTTTCGCGACGGGAAGCGCGAAAGCTCGCTTACCGTTGAGACCAGCAGTCTCTCTCGCGTGTGTCTCTCCAGGGCCGGAGGGTTTTTTGCTGTTAAGCCTAATTCCATGAAATTTTCGAAATATCAATGCGTTGTTTAATATTGTTCTGTAGAGTATTTAAATGACATATGGTTTATATATATTTCTATGGATACTTTATTTACTTATGTTATTTCTTATTTAAATATATATTTTACACATTTTATTTTCTATTGTACTTATCATTTAATAACATTTAACATTGCATATCTGAAAACTAAATACAGTACACTCTCGATTATCCGTGCTCGGATTATTCGGTTTGCAGATTATCCGTGCTCATTCCGGAGTCAACAAAAAATTTAAAGAGAAACATTTCAAGATTTAAAAAATTTGATTCATGAAGTTATAACACTACCCAATTTTTGTAAACAATATTCGTTATTGGATTGCAGTATATGGAATATCAGCAGCATGGTCAAAGGTAAAATCGGCTACGTTATCACGATCGTGGAGAAAGATGATACCTCTTGTTGAACAATCTTCTTCAGATATTCAAGAAGAATATGATAATAGTATTCTTGAACAAGCAAAAGAAATAGAAGGTTTCGAAATTCTTGATGAAGAAAATTTAGAAGATTAGTTTCAAAGTGATGCATGTGAGCCTGGCTTCCAGTATTTGACAGATGAAGACATCGTTATGTTGTTAAATCAAATAATGATGATAGTATCTGATGCAGAAGATGTAGAAAATGAGGGAAATACAATTTCTCATTCTGCTGCTCTGTGGAAACTTTATTAGTTTATATGGGAGTATTTGATTACGGTGACATTAGTGCGGTTCGTAAAATATGCGACAATAAATGGCGCATTACACATTTTTTTAAAAGGAAAATTCCTAGTTTGATGTTATACAGCGAGCAAATGTCAGTTATATTTATATTTTTTGTATTGATATTGATTTTTTCTTTAAAATAATGAGTTTTCGGATTATCCGTGTTTTTCGATTGTCCGTGCTACCTGTCCCGGTGATTAACCCGGATAATCGGGAGTGCACTGTATATGACTTAAAGTTCTTTTTCCATATGAAAAATTTTAAAACAGGTATCTACAAAATCTAACTATCCACTAAAAATTAAATCGAAAGTAGCAAAAAAAAAAACTCCCCTGATAAATGTAAACAAATTCCACGTGCGAATTTAAGGAGCCGTCATAAAACATTCTTCCCCCCTTTCTTTCCCCCTAAAACCATGTGAACTTACTCTCATCTTGAGTAGAAGGTCAAATCTACATGTATCTGAAACTATATGGACATACAATGCCATCTTTTGGAATGTTATTTTTTGAAACGTTCCAAAACGCTGGCACAAATGAGTGACGGCCTGGGGTGAATGAGAAAACTCTCTGGCACGTGAATGTGTCGGCCAGGAAGTGAGCGTGTTTCTTGCTGGCACGTATATGTGGCAGTCGGAGCGAAAGGGTTAATGAAAAAAATTCTGTCTCTCTGCTATTCCCCATCATTTTGCAGTGTTCTATACTGATTGCAAGTCTTCAGTATAACTAATCAGCCGATGGTTTTTAAACCATCTGTTTTAGTTTTAAACCAGCCAATCTTTAAGCTTATTCATCCTTATATTCGACACATTAGCCCAGGTTGAGCTAAGGCTTTTATACTTCCTGGACAACCTCCCCATAGCAGAATCATGCGACATTCTCGCAGAACAATACATAGTTCTTGTAGAAAGAACTTTGAGAAGATTGAAAAACTTTGAGAAGATTGAAAACTGAACTTTGAACTTTGAAGAAGATTGAACTTTGAGAAGATTGAAAAATAAAAAATAATGAAGTTAATATTTTTGGTTTTCTCTTCTGCAGAGATTTTCAAAAAAATGTTCCTCCAGATATATGTAGTGTTTTGATAAATTTTTTTGGCAATTATTGCCTTAAATTTTTGCTTTTTTTTTGCGAAAACAAGATGTCTTTCATTGCTCAAGTATTTATATTCTCATGATTTTTTGAAATAGTATACCAATATTATTATGGCACGCAGAATTCGAAATTGTGAATTTAAAAAACCATTCTTCGACACAATCCTTTTGCACCGATATTATCGTTAATTCATGCGGTGTTTCAATCATTCTTATCGACAGTTATTGATATAAGTTTTAAAATTTTTGAAAGAAACAAATCCCAAAGCTTTTTATACTATTTAATTATACAAGAAACTCAAGTCAGCGATTTACTTTTAACATGACAATTTCATTTTTAAATTTTTTTTTTTGCTAATGCCACCAAATTTTATGGATTTTTAAAATTCCAATTATTTATCTATTATTATTATTTCTACTTGTAAAATTTAAATTGCGCATTTAAATAATCACTCTTTGACATACTCACTTTATGTTAATACTATCGCAAATCCATGTAGTGTTTCGACTGTATTTTTGGAAGTTATTAATATTTTTTTTCACATGGTTTTTAAATGTCCTGATATATTTCTGACAATTTGGGAAATTCAAATCGGTCATATGAATATTTACTTTTTTAAACAATGATTCTGGCGCTGTTTTTTTGAGGGGGGTGGCACTTATTTCCACATAATTTTTAAAATCCTATGTTTTTTAATATTGTATTGTTTATTATAACAACCGAATCTCGAAACGAAACACGCATTTAGTTTAAAGAGTCAGATTTGCGTAATTTCGCACTCGATATTTTGTGGTAGTTACTACTACTGGTTTCACGATTAAAGGTTGTTTTTTTTTTCGATTTGATGATGATGTGCGAAAAAGGAAATAATTAGTGTGTTTTTGTCCTACAAAATGTGTGAATATCGCCCATGATATTAGAATAAAAAAATACTGCATATTCATTTTTAAAAAAAATTATATACAATTTTATTTTATCCAAATAAGTTTTTTTTTTTGTAAACACAGTGTTTTTGTTCCTTTAAAGTAGTAGCATGTATATTTGTTAATATTATTAAAAGTATGTTGCAGAAAGATATTAGTGCTAGAGAGGTTTGTTGCAGAAAGCACAAAAAATTCTGCCTCAGAGGACACCCTATTTTTTGACCTGATCTGCCAGTCTCTTATCCCAATCACTTCCATTGTTGTTTTGGCCCAACTAGTGGAGGCCTTTCTTTTAGCTAATTAGAGAATATATATTCCATTACTTAATTAGCCTTTTTAAAGTTATTTGCAGCAATGAGCGAATTGAAATGACGACTTAAAAAGAGAATTTAAACGAAAGGAATAAGTTTAAATTAAAACTAGCTTAGACTTTCTATTCAATATGTTGGCAAAAAACAAGACTCATAAATAAATTCATCAAGCTAATTGAGTTATTATTTTTCTATTCTAATCAGTTTAAATAAGGCATTGGATGATTCTAATAAGCCTAGACAGCATTTTTTTGAATAAAAAATAGTGGAGACTTTCCTAACAGGCCTTGTATATTGTAAATTGACCTGGTAGCTGTATCTGCAACACTATCTTCATAAATCCAAATTTGTCTGCTATCTTAACTCAGTCAAACAGAGTATTATTATAAAAATTTAGTTTAATCTAGCATGCACGTAGCAAAATTTGCAAATCTAAGGTCCTTTAAAAATTATACATAAAAAAATTTTGTGGCTTAAATTTAAGTTCAACTTCAGACAATGATGCTAAAAAATAGAATAAATCCCTATACAGTTAAGCCTTAAATCAAGTAACAGGAAGAAAAAATATCTGTCCTTTATTTTTTTATTTATTTGCTATGTTCTCTCAATTCAGCTTTTTAATTCTTATTCGAAACAAGTTTAGATTATTTCAATAAGAAATGCAACAATCTCCCTTTCCATTTGTTTGTTTGCTTTAAAAAAAAAAAAAACTTAGATGAAAAATAACTAACTTTTTTGTTGGGGGTTTTCTGCTATTTCTTAGAAATATTTTTGTTTTAATCTGTGTTACACTCTTTCAGATACCTTTGGATGATGGGAAAAGTATGCATGAAATTTTAGATCTTATTGAAAGAAAATGTAGAAAAAGGAGCATAAATGAAGCTTTAGAAGTAGCTAGAAAGTACATACCAGTTAGTTCAGAAGATACCAAACTAGTTATTATTAAAAGATTGTTTACTAATACTATAGAGTGCTTAAAATCTCGTCACAGTTATGTGGACAGTGAAGCTTGTGAAAGAACTTTTGCTAGCATTTGTGAAATTATGCACAATTCTAATCTTTATGAAACTGAATTATGTTCTATGATAGTTTTTGAATGCATACAGATCGATAATTACAGCTATGCTGATAGCATATTATGTGCCTGCAAAGAAAAATATATACCTTTATTACCTGATGCTATATCATCTTATGCTAATCTTTTAATTTCAAGAGAATCTTCTATAATAGAAAGTTTAAATTTTCTTGAATTTGTTAAGTGTGTGTGCAATTTACCTTTACCAAAATATTTGTTGCACAAAGCTTTAGAGTCTTGTCTAAATGAGGAAAACGTTTTCCGCATTCCTATATCCGAAGAGCTTAAACTGATTTCAAGTGTTTTATGTGGTATAAATTCAGATGATGTTGATTGCTGTCTTATGCAAAAATTCCTACTTTGCTGCATTGACAATGAGCACTGGGGAAAGATTGCGGAACTCTTTCGAGCTTGGATTAAAAAAAGTGCATTATGTGATTGTTTGTGTCAGGTGTTAGTGATAAAAGCTGAAGATTGTGGCTCATCTTATGAAAAGTTTGCCGCTGCTCTTCATGGTAGGATTTTATCATTCATTCCCCTTTCTCTTTTTATCACAACTGAACAATATTATTTAGGGTTCTATGGCTGGAAAAAAAAAATTGGGAACCACTTCTCTATAATGGTTACTGGATTGTTGATAATGAACACTTTGAACAGATAAAATAGAGCCTGCAAAACCAGTATCTTTACTCAACAATTATGCTTAACTATTACTAATAGTATTTATGTCTGTGAGTGTGACTGCACTTCTAAAAAGATAATTTAAAACTACTTAATCCTTTTAGTTAGAAATTCATTTAGCTTTTTGGTAATTTCTTTTATCAAGTTTCTTAATGGTTACACTATTAAACAAAATTCTGATAATTTAATAAATGATATAAATTTTTACTATTTTTCTTCGTCTGCAAAAAATAAAGGGTGGACAGGTGTGTAGAACAGAAGTAGTGCTAGAATTTTGGGTAGCCTTATTTTTCATCTCACCTCCATTTTCCATGAAAATGAACTTCAAGCTGAAAACATTGAATCAACAATCCAGGTGCTCAGTCACGATCAATAATTATCAATAATTATTTTAATGACAATTACTTTTCTAAGCTCCTTTTTTAACAAATCTTTTTAAGGCATTTATAAAAAATTTTGTGTATATATATATATATATATCTATATTTAATTTTGGGAAATTTTTTAAAAATTAAAATGTGTATTTTTTGTTCCATATTTTGCCTTTATAACAACAAAATTTATAATTAGGATGTGATGTTAAGAAATATTGATCTGATTGATTTATGTTATTGTCATAATCTAAACTTTATCTGATTTTTCTTAAAGAAATAATAAATAAATTGAATGTAATAGTTTAAGTTCACTGACATTTTCGGGAGGAGAGAGGTATGCAAGCATATTATGTCAATTATTATGGTTCATTGCAGTTTAACTATATTACTCAATGTGTATAAGTGTTTATTTTTTCTTTTTAAGATTAATATGTAAAATGCTTATTTTTCTTATATTCTTCCTTAATGTGACATGCAAATATGTGCTAATTTAATTACTTTTTCTCACAAGGTGATATGAATGATGAACTTCCCATGCATCATGCTGCACGCTTTGGACAAATTGGTGTCCTGTTAATGTTGGAAGCCTTTTCAAACGGGCATCATAAGTCTGCTTTAGAAATTTTGTATATATTACACCAATATAAAATCAATTACTTTGAATTGCAAGCACCTGCCTACTACATTAATTACCCAACTTTATTTACTCAAGACTTGATTGATCCTTTGGAAGTATTTATTTTCCCTTATACTGTTGCTTTTACTGCTGTTGACATTTGTTTGCATTGTGAGAGACCAATAGATGCTTTTGATATATTTCGAAGTAAGTTTTTCTTAACTATTTTTATTCCTTTTATAAAGAATCAGTAGAGTAAGATCCTAGAGTAGCCGATCGGACTGTGTAGGGATCAGGGAACTGACCTTGCATCAGAAAGGTTCTGGGTTCAAATCCCGGAAACGACATGGATGTTTTTTTATTCCCTGTACTAACTGTCCTTACTGTGGGAGCAACATTGACCAACCAATCTACCCTTAGAGGCCTGAGTTGACGAATGCATGTCTGCATTGGGAAAAAAATTAATAAAAAGATCCTAGTGTTTAGTGACAAATGCCTCTTTTTATTTTTATTTTTTTTTTGATTTGATTATCTTTTGTGTCATTTTGGGGGTCTTGAATTTCTTATTTGTGGAATTTTTTTATTTGAAAATATTTTTTGAGATTTAGGAGTGTTTGTTTCCACCAGCAAAGTATGAAATTATTAAACTTCGCACATTGTGTAAGCATTCTATATAATGAGTTATGACAAACTGGCAAAACATTTAAAGATTTATATTTTACACATAGCGAAGTAAGTGACAAATGAGAAGCTTACACACATTCTGTTTTATGGCAAGGCAAAGTATAATATTTAATTCTCATATTTTATACTTTGCCTTTATAGCATTATATATCATTATATATAATGCCTAGGCAAATAATTCTATTAATCCCATCATATTTTTTTAAAATCATTGGCAAACGTTTTTAACAAATATTCTATAGAATACTGGCATTTCATACATCTGCCATATTGTATAAAATATGTTGGAGGGAAGTTTTAATTTATTATAAATTATAATTTTGATTATATGTTTTATGTTAATCGATTTTTGTTCTTATTACTTACAGATTTTTCCTATTTAACCACTGAGGAAATAAGTAACCCAAAGCTCAAGTCCCATGTAACTATTCACAGATTTAATTTTCTACTGAAAATAGCTGAACATCTAGTTCCAATTGATACCTTAAATCGGGGTGTTGACTGTATGCAACAGCTTTTGTCAACAGCTGAAAAGGGTATTTTTAAATTCATTATTAATTTTAAATCTTAATATTTCATTTTTAGTTGTATCTAATCTATATTTATCATTTTTTTAGACTTTGCCATGGAAGAAATAGTGGATTTTAAAAAAAGTAAATGCCTTTTTTCAATTATATTTTTTATTTCATTATTTATCAAAATCATAGTTTTTTTATTACTATTTTCATTCCTAAATATGAACCTAACTGCCTTTTTTGTACTTATATTTCTTCATGAATTTTGTAGGATTTAAATAAAATTATTAAGTATGGTCAATAAATAACAGATTAAGGTTAGGAAAAGGCTTTTATTGAAACTTTATGATTGTCTATTTACTGTAAGGTTTGAATAATTTTTTTATAAGCAGTTATTACTTTAATAATGAAAATTTTGGTTTGTTTTTTGAACTCAAGATATAAATCTTTGGATTTGAAACAATATGTTGGTGCATTGTAGTTTCATATAATGCTACCAGATAGTATGTAGGAATGATAATAATTTTGTATTGATATAAATGCTCTTTAGTTCTGTTGTTCTTTAATGTTATTTTCATGTTTTCTTAAATGATATGCATTGCTGCACGGTTTATTTGTTAGAATTGTCATGCTAGATATCCAAGGAAAATTCGGAAAAATAAATATTTCTTCCAGAAATTAAGTATGAACTTAGAAAAGCTATCAATTCATTCAATCGTTTTTCTAGAACAACTCTTAATTCAGTTTTCGAAAGAGAATTGACAGGGTGTTAATAGATCAAAACTTTTTGACAGGCAAAAATGTAAAAGGTGGTTACATTCATCCACAAATAAAAAGGATATAGTGTGAGATAAAGGGTTCATCAGTGGAGTAAATGATTTTACAAAGGGCACACAAAGCAGAGCAAGATCAATTTGTTACAAAAGTTAATGCTGATCAAGAAAAACCGCTAAATAACTGTTGAAGGCATTTATGCAGCAGAAAGCATTGAAATTCCGTAAAGTATACACACAATTTTTCATCATTTCTTGACTTTACACCATATGAAAAACTAAGGAGCTGAACCATGCGCTCTATAGTCAGATCTATCACTGTGTGTTACTGCCATATCTTCGGTGAACTAAAAAAATAAAAGGAAAGGGGGATGATTGTTTCATTGAATAATAAAGTTAAAGACAGGAGTACATGGGTTTGGTTAAAACAACAGCCATTTTTTTTGGGAGCCTGGCATTGTGGAACTTTTTATAATGGGATGGGATTACATATAAAACACTACATCTCACTTTGAGCTTTGGCCAAGCGATTCCGGACTCTCAGTTTTCCAGTCAGTTTTTATTGTTCCCGACTCTTCTATTTTTGGTTGAAGACTCAGTTTTTCACCTTCTAGGTGGTTAGATCTTTGGTGATATTGTCCAATCTTCTCTTACCTCATCTTCTTGATCTCGATTTCAATGGTTTCCAATTAAAAAGTTTTTTCATATTTATATAGTCATTTAATCTTTCAATGTGCCCAAGCCTAGCCAAAACTATGCATTTAATAAATTGTATTATGTTTTTTCATCTGAAGAAATATCTGATGAATGGTCAAGTTCACTATTACAGTACAGGACTCGTTATCCGGAAGTCGGAAAACCAAAAAACCGGAAAGAAATTCAATAAATTTTCCCACCATTTTTTAAAAAAAAAAATTTTTTTTCCTCATAAGATTTTAGGATTTTTCTTTCTTTTTTGAAAGATGTTTACCTTACCATCATTTTGGAAATAATCATTAGTGTATTACTTCATCGTTTTTTTCTTCTTTTTAAGATTATTTTCAAATATTTTTTTTTTTAGTTGGGCTTAACAATTAAAAAAACGGCTTTTTGTAGCGATTTAGAAAACTGGAAAAATCAGTTATCCGGGATAGCGATGGTCCCGATCGTTCCGGATAATTGGTTCCCTGCTGTATTTCTTATTCTCCACTATGTATTATTTACTTTAATTGCTTCGAAAATTCTCCTTAGAATTTTCCTTTTGAAGATTAGCAGGTTTGATTTGTCTTTATTAGTTAGAGTCCAAGTTTCACTACCATGCATAACTGAAGTCTTCAGTTATGCATGTATATCAGAAGTTATTCAGAAGATATGATAACTGTTTTATAGATCTACAATTTGATTTATAATGGGATTAACGTCTATTGAGAAGAATAGGAATAAGTTATATGAAATACCGTCTGCCTTGTAATTTATTGATTGTACCTTATAATTATAATTTTTTTGAAAGATGACTGGACCCAAGAAATAATTTTTATTAAATTTCTTTAGTAACCTCAAATGTAAATGTAATTATTACTTTCTCCCATCATAATAAGTTATAAGAACAATGTATTCAAATTAATACTATGAATTAACATTGACACATATTTGGTTCCAAACACATTTAAGGAAATGAGTATGCTTTTCTGCTACTTAAACCGCTGTTCTACTTAAGTTATTCGTTGTGTTATTATTTTCCCTTTAAATTTAATGCATTAGTTAAAAATCTATAATATCAATTCATTTTATTTTAGATTTAGGATTGGTCTATGATGAATGCTTGATACGTCTTTTGAATCTTGAGCAAATTAAAATTGCTCATGAGTTGTCCCAGCACAGTAATGGTCCTCTGCGAGAAATTTTGAAGCTCAAACCTCAAGTTTTAAGAGGTCTTGTTATCTCCTATGCGCAGACTGAACGATTAGCTGAAGCCAAAGAATTATTTAAAATGGGGTTATTTATGAGAAATGTATATTGTATTAAAAAAGTAAGTAAAAGTTTTCTTTTTTTAATTTCAATTAGTTTAATGTTGTTAGCATACTATGCAAATTAATTTAGGAAAGCATTTTGGGTATCTTAAAAATTCTGGCTATCATTATAAAGTATATGGTTGTTATTACAAATTTAATTTTTTTTATATTTTGCTCCAATTTAATCTTGTTGTGCTTCAAAACAAATTTTTATTTTGGAAAATTACTACTTAATTTTTATTTTGGAAAATAAGGTTACTTAAAATTACTTAATTTTGGTTCAGGGTTTTTAAAAGTCCTTAATTTTTAGCATCATTATAGTTGCTAGGAACAATTTTTCAGTCTAACAAAAATATTTTAAACAAAAAGTTGTTCTTTGTCACCTAGAATGAGACCATGCATCGTTGGTAGAGCATTTTGCAAGACAAGGAAGAAAGGTTATAGCCAAGAGAAAGAATTATTATATTAATTATTGATTCTTTGATTAATATCTTCTTTATTTTACAAAGAGTGAGACCACATGAGGTGAGTGGAGCATTCTGAAGGAAAAAGAAGGAAAAAAATAGGGTGTGGACGAGGGAAATACTGCAGCTGGAAGCGATCATACCTTTTGTGGGGGGGGGGAAGAGTTCTAAGGTACTGTTAGGGGTTAATAAATTTAATTTGGTGCGAATAAAGTAAAATTATTTATGTATTGAAATTGATAGATGGAATATTTGGTAAAGTACATGTATTTGGGTTTGTATCTGGATATAGTCATGCTTAAAAAATAGTAATGGTTAATTTTCGTAATAATTAGATTAAGGCCAAAAATAGTGTGAAATGGTAATTAAATTAAATTAAGGGGGATGTGATCTTTAAGGAAAGTGGTTGTACAATGCAATTGTGGGATAACAATAACCCAATAGGTTCAAAGGGTCACAAAGTGTAAGGTTTGAACAAATTGGATGAAATTGGTATCACCAAATTTGGAAAAAGGACGAAATTAAAATAAGTTAAATATTAAAGATAAATAAGATAAAGTCATGCTATATCCAAACATAAATGTGTGATTTAATACAGTAAGCTGATGTTCCCAATGAGAAAATTACAAATTCCCTTAACAATAAAAAAGGTACTCACCACACACATACAGGAGGAACAATCTAATATGTAATTTGGAAGCACTCTTAATCAAGGATATTTTGGGCTTCTAATATGTAAAGACTTAATCCTACTTAGCTGTGGTATTTAATTCAAATTAGTAAAAAACTTATTTGTGTTGTTATTATGTCTATAATTTCTTTGATTGTTTCAGCCTGAAATTGATGATCCATCTTGGTGTTTAACCATTGTTTCTTCATGGACAAAATATGAAATAAAATTAGCCATAGAAGTATATGTAGAAATGCTTTTTCCTGTCCTGTTTTTGAAACATAGTAAGTCAGATGATGAAGGTTACACCATTAGGATCAAATTTGAAGTAGGTATAGTTTTCTATCAAATTTTTCTGCTTATTTTTTATTATGATTGGTGTTAAATTGCAAAAAAAAAAACATTTCAGTTTAATGCAGATGCATTTATATTTTATATCAGTTCTTATTTAAAATTTCATTTATAGAGTCGACATGATTTAAATCATGAATAAAATCACCATTTAAGTGAGTTTTTGAAAATAAATCATTAAGGTTAAGAATAAACTTATAGAATTTTTTTTATAAATATACTCTTTAAATTGTGATTTTTAAAGTTGGATTTCATGGATAAGAAAGGTAAAGAAGTAAAGAAACGGAGATGTATGTAAATTATTACATTTTAAAATAGACTAATAAATTAAAAAAAGACAGAAACTTTTAAATTATAATTTTCTATTATCTATATGTAAAATAGTTCACTAGCAGTAAACCTATTTTAATTGTACCCATTTAGTTTTGTTTATTTAAAATACAAGTTCTTTTAAAGCTTTAAAAATACATAGTTTATTAGTGTATGTATATCTATGATGAAGAAAGACTTTTCTGCCCGGAGAAACTTTGAATGATTTTGATAATTTACTTTTCATCGATATCTAACCGATAAGCTGATTCCCTGTCTTGTGAAATTTTAAGATGTTTTGCTAGAAAAAAAAATTGAGATTTTATTGTTTTATAGTTTGTAATTTTAAACATTTTAACTATAACAGATGATTTGGTTGATGTATATATACATATATATAGAGAGAGAAAGATAGTGTGAAATAGAGTGTACCAGTTAACATATGATATATTGTTATGAAATATTTTCTTTCAGTTGCATTGTCTTGGGTTATTATTAGTTTGTTTAAATATTTATACAACAACTATTATTCATTATTACATTTCTGTTATCGTTATTATTAGTTTTATTCAGGGATGACAAGCTTTGATTTATGAAATTAAATTATATTTAACTGACATTTGATTAGTAGTGTTGTTTTGTGTTACATTTTAGCATGAATTTTTTTTTTTTTCTTTTGAATAGCTAACAACCCATTAAATGCTGATTTTCCTTTTTTATACAGTTAATGTTTTACCTGTATAGTGATAAGTAATTGAAACTCTATTTTTTCCCTTACCAAAAACATAAAAATCTTAATTATAAAGGTTTTTTTCATAAAAAGTGGTTTTACTAATATTAAGTTTTAGAATATGATTTATGTATTTTTTTCTATCATTTTAAACAGTCTTACTTTTTTGCGGAGCACTGAGAATTGTGAAAATTACTGTTTGCTTTTTTTTTTTTTTTCTATNGTTTTTTTTTTTTTTTTTTTTTCAATACATTGAGCTCTTTAGATTTGACTAAATAAAAAAATAGAGTCTATAAAAGAGCTTTGTTTTTTTGTAATATAGATACAAATCGATCATTGGATCGCAAACCATATTGCAGAGTTTTAAAAATTCATATTTTTTTAAAAAATAAGAAATTGTGACCTTTTAAATGCATCTCAAGTAAAACTTATTTTGTATGGAATTTTAAATATCTATCTTCACAGATTGCAATTTTCACAAAAGCTTTAGAATATTGATTTTTTTATATATATTTATAAAAATGATTTCACATTAATAATTATGATTTATGTTAATTTAAGGAGGACAAAATTATTTATTATGATGTTAATTGCTTGGAACAGCTATCAAAGCGTACTGAATCTGTAATGAATAGGACAAGGAATGTTTTAACAAATTTAGATTCAGAATTAACATGGACAGAGGATCCAGTTCATAAAGTTTTGATAGTTCAAGCTGAAACATTTTATAATTTCTGGAAAAAGGTAATTTACTTTTTACATTACTTGTCTTTTATTAAAAAATTTTTTAATTTTAGGTGCTGTTGGTCTTTTTTAATAGTGTTCCCATTTAAAATAAATAAATTGGCTTTTCTTAGTTAATAAGTTACTGGGATGTAGAGTTTGTCCGATCGTGTGAACAAAGTTTAGGGAAATTTAAGCAGCCCTGGGGGGGGGGGGGCTCTAATTTAAAAAAAATTACTTTAGTTTTTAATTCCTAATGCCATTACTGCCTAGGTAACAAAAGGAATCTTTTTTGTTTTGTTAAATCTAACACAAAAAACTTTCTTTGTTAGTTTGTCTATTTATTAGTTTGAATTTATGAGTGAGATCTTAATTTCAATTTTATAAATTATTAGTATCTCAATCAGGGTTGGCAAGGTTTAGGACAGAATGGATTAATCCACAGTTTAAACCGTACTGTCCAAAACCCTTTTACTCAAATTATGTCACAATTTTAAACAATATTTAAGAGGTAAAATAAACATAGAACTAATAAGATATTGATAATTAAATATACCAGAGAATATTTGTTTTTAAAAGTTTAATGTTTTATTAATATTGTTTGACTCTTCAATTTAAACAAAGGAAGATTAATTAGTAATCAAGTTCAATTGGTCCTCTCATTCAATAGTACATAACTGAAGTTTGGCCTTGCCATACAGGTTAAAATATTAGGGACTAAGTGCTTGGTTCGTCATAAACAGGTTTATTTATCTATAGCACTATTCAAGAATACTTTTATTTCATTCATGCTCAATTCTATTAGCATAGTGGAGATACATCACCAGTGTCAGTAACTGAAACTGATATTATGCCCTTCAAAACTGTTAATACATTTTTCAGTTATTTTGTATTTTCAATTTAAACTAATATATTCATATTTAAAAAACATTTTTTTTTAAAAATAGATGTCTTTTTTATCATCCTGTGATGCAGAAATTATAACATTTTTTTAAAAAAATATTGTGAAAAATAAATGGCTAACTTTTGACCAAATTTAGTATTTTTTTTAAGAAAAATTTTAATTTTTTAATATTGCCATATTTATATTTAAAGGATTAATTATTCACTTTTGTTGTTCAATGAATTGTGGAGCTTCAAAAACTATAAACCTTTTCCTATTATATTATATTCTTTTAATAAGTTATAGTAAATTGTATAAAAAATGTCAAATATTTATTGATACAAGTAATTATTATGTGTACAATGGTTACACCTATAGAATTTTTACCTTTTACCAAAGTTCAAGGTTTTGGGCAGTTTAACCCAGACAGTTCTTTAAGACAGTTTAACGCAGTTTAGGACAGTTTAACCCAGTTTAGGACAGTTTTACCCAGTTTAGGACAGTTTAAGACAGTAAAACCCACATGTCCTGTCCTAAACCAGTTTAGGACGTCTAAAACCACAACCCTGGTCTCAATGTATTTTTATATTTTAACATGTATGCTAATTTATTCAGTAATTTTTAAAATCAAATGGATTCTCTTTTTCTTTGTTAATAAAAAAAAATTTATCATAGCATTTTAACAATATATAAATGTAACTTTCTAAAGATATTTTGAAAAACTTATTATACTAAAAAAGGGGGCTATAATTTTGGGGGAAATTTCAAATGAAATTAAAATGTGTTCTGGGGAAAATATCAGGCTCTGAGAATTTCCTGCTGCCCCAGTTTATATATACTCTGCACTCTTAAAAATTAATGCACCACTTAAAACTTGTAAATTGGCTCTGATTTAAATTTTTTAGAGTGCTTAAGTAAGTAATATAACTTGAAATATAGTAGTAAAAAAATTTTTTTTCTATGAGTCTAATTAAATTGAATCACAAAAATTTTAGCTTGTAACATATGCCCTATGAGAAATGAGTATAATTCATTTGCTTATTCTCCAGCCCTACAATATATGCAACTTGGATTTTACTTTTAACAAAACATTATCTTTATAATATAGGTTATTTTATACTCACTCTGTGTTTTTATATCTCATAAATACATGCATTCTTATCCTTTTCTTCTTTTTTTTTCCTTTTTTAGAAAAACAATTCTGAAGGGTGTGTACCAGTAAGTACATTGTTATTTTTGGTTTGAATTGTATCTTTATTTTGGTAGATTTTGTGTACAGTGTGCAAAATAAAAAAGCGGACACCCTGAATAATTTTTACACTAGTGATCAAGAACTTAAATCTTAATAATCTCATTCCCCTCTCCCTTTACTAAAATTTATTCAAGTTGAGTCCCTTATGATTCTTATACAGTACAGAACCCGTTATCCGGAAAACCAAAAAACCGGAACGAAATGTGATGAATTTTCCTGCCATTTTTTTTAAAAAAAAATAATAATTTTTTTCCTCATTAGATTTTAGGATTTTTCTTTCTTTTTTTTTAAAGATTTTTACCTTACCATCATTTTGGAAATAATCATTAGTGTATTACTTCATCGTTTTTTCTTTTTTTTTAAGATTATTTCCAAATTTTTTTTTTTTAGTTGGGTTTAACAATAAAAAAAAAAAAGACTTTTTGTAGCGATTCAGAAAATTGGAAAAATCAGTTATCCGGAATAGCGATGGTCCCGATCGTTCCGGATAATCGGTTCCCTACTGTACCATTATATTCCATATCCAATCAATCTTTTTCTTCTAATACTGTCTTTCAAAATGCATAATTTAAGCCCAACCAGTAAATTATCCATTTTCAATCACTTTTTTCTGGTGCTTATACCATTAAATTTCACATTCAATTAATCTCTCTCTAATAGTCTTTAAAAATCCACAAGTTATCAGTAAATTATACATTTGTAACATCAGTTGCTGTTTTAATCTTCTTTTTTTTCTTCATCATAAAGCTTTACCTCACAGTGGAATTTAAATACTAAATTTAATAGGAAATTTTGTTTGAGAAAATTTTTATATAAAATAAAATGTATTTGTAACATATCAGATGTTCATGAATTAAGAACAATTGGAAAAATTTAAAGTAGGAGGTGAAAATTACACAATTTGCTGCTTTCAGCTTAGAAGGAAGAGAATTTATTCTTGATAAGTTTCGTTCGTAATTCATTTACGTCGCACTAGAGCTGCACAATGGGCTATTGGCGACGGTCTGGGAAACATCCCTGAGGATGATCCGAAGACATGCCATCACAATTTTGATCCTCTGCAAAGGGGATAACACCCCCGCTTTGGTAACCCGACGACCACACACACTGCACACAAAGTTGAGCACTTTACGGTAGAACAGTTTAACGAGGGCCAATACTGCACACCCTCGGTCCCAACGCAGACTAATCCAAGTGGTCACCCACCCACACACTGATCGCAGTCAGTGATGCTTGACTTCAATGATCTGCTGGGAACCGGTCCTTACGATCAGTCCACTGCAGCACCTCGTTAAGTTTCATTTCATTATCAGTGTTAAGTTTCAGTATCTGTGATAAAATTCATTTACAGATGGTGCTACTAACTAGGACAAACTATAAAACATCGTTTTTTACTGTATGTCAGACCATTCTTACTGAAAATATTTGCTTATTCAGACAATACTAAATTGTTGCTGCTAAGGATGGCTATTTAGAAAACATTAATTTATTGCTGCTCATTGTCAGCAGCTTTAGTTGATGAACTTAGTACCTTTTTAAGTTTAGTGAGAAAATCTGGTTTCACAAACAGAATGTAGGAAACCATACAATTAAAGTTTTTCTTAAATTGGTTTTCATGAAATCATTTGTTATTTTTTAGTACACCTGTAAAAGTGTTTGTTTTATAAATTTTAGTAAAATACTTTTATTGATTTTCTTTTCATTTGTTCTCTTTAGACATTTTTGAAGCTTCCCATCATAAGTTCAAGAAAAAAGATCTTACATACGTCAGAAAAATCAGATAATGTGATACCTTCTGGACAAAGTGAAACTATGGTGATGACAAACAGTCCTACCAGAGGAATAACTACAGGGAATAATTTAAGAAAGAGTTGTGATGATGAAATAGCTAGCTCTTCAGATGTTTCCTTATCCTCTTTAAGTTTACCAAACTCTGTAGAGTTATCTCCACTAAAGTATCATGTACCCAATGATACATGTTATAAAAGCAAGCTAAACTTCCAAAGTCAAGAAGTTGACGATACTGATAAAGTTGAATCAATAGGCATTTCAAACTCTCTGTCAGATAATCAGGGTGATTTAGATAGCAATGATGCATTTCACAATAACGTTGTAAATAAAGATTTTTTAAGCACCCTACAAAATTCTGGTTCATTAAATTCCAAAGCTCATTCATCTCCAGCGAAAAACTGTGTTTCATTGAAAGAACCATCTCCTTTTAGTGTTAAAAATAAAACTTCAGAATTAAAGTCTTCATCTATAAAATCGAATCCTTCTGAACAGACTGAATTACGCAAATCAACTAATCCGTTTTCTTCTCACATTGGGAACCAAGGTCCAATGAGTGCTAGAAGTTGTTTTAGAACTGGTAATAAAGTTCTTAAAAAACTGAAGGTTTCTGGGCAAAGTAAGACTATTCCTTTAACCTCAACCTCAAATCTGAATTTTGCACCTGCTAGTTCTGGTACCTTAAGTGTTGTGACTGCTTCTGAAGGATTGCCGCAACCTATTGTTCCAGGCAAATTTGCATCTAAATGTAGGCAAAAGCCTATTAACATTGATGGTAAGTGAGAAATATTAAGTATCTTTGTTTAGTTCTAACTTATTACTATTATATTGTGATTTTATTGCTATTATATGGCTGTGTATGTATCTCAGAGCTCTCACGGGCCTGAAAACAGGTTAAGCCAGGTATTGTCATGGAATTTTATTCTAAAAAGCTGGGGAAAAATGCAATTTCTTTCCAAAAAATTCCTATATCATATCTGGAAAATAACCAGTCTTAGAATTGTCACTAACAGTAATAAATTAATACGATTCGATTTAAATAATTCTAAGATCTGTGATCTTTTAACAAGTTCATCCCACCCACCTATTTTTATCACATGTGTTTATTCAGTATTTTTTATTTATGAAATATTTATTACACGATCGTAGAAACTTTTGTTAAAATCTTCTGACAAAGCATTGTTACACTATCTTATTTTTTTTTATTCTGATTAGCAAGACTGAACTTTCTTTAGTTATGTACCAAAGCCCCATTATAATGTAATGTGTCTGACGCTTTCAAAACAGTAAAGTCTATATACTATTGGGTGGGGGCTAGAGAGTGTAGGGTTAGTGAGCAGATGCACCTAGTATTGTTTTTGGATCACCATAAGATGAATCCCTGCCCGCCCTCAATAGTTCAGCTTTGATAAACAAATTTAATAAGCTGGGAGCTATAATTTATATTGTAAAAAGAAAATACTGAAGTACTTAGATTTAAAATTCTTGTGTATTTTTAGAAACTTTTGTTAAAATTCATTAAAATCTTCTGACAGAGCATTGTTACACTATCTTTTTTTTTTTTTTTATTTNGACTGCTATCTTTTTTTTTTTAATTCTGATTAGCAAGACTGAACTTTCTTTAGTTATGTACTAAAGCCCCATTATAATGTAATGTGTCTGACGCTTTCAAAACAGTAAAGTCTATATACTATTGGGTGGGGGCTAGAGAGTGTAGGGTTAGTGAGCAGATGCACCTAGTATTGTTTTTGGATCACCATAAGATGAATCCCTGCCCGCCCTCAATAGTTCAGCTTTGATAAACAAATTTAATAAGCTGGGAGCTATAATTTATATTGTAAAAAGAAAATACTGAAGTACTTAGANTTTTTTTTTTTTTTTTTTTTTGTAGACCTACTAGTGTAACTACAAATCTATGATATTTAAACTTTTATTTCTAGGTTTCTCTCATTTTAGTGATGAAGACCATTCTAAGATAATACAGTTTTTACGCACTAAAATACTTCTGAAACATAAAGAATTGAAAGCTGAGGAACTGTATGAGAAGGCTGCATCCCTAGCAAAGTCTTTTATTCAAGAGAACAATGTACAATATAAACTTGATAGAAAAGGCATGAAACTTCTTTCAGAGTTTGCGGTTAACAATGTGTGAGATCTATTGCACCACGGCTTGCTTTCTCTTTCCTTTTTAAATTTTAATGGTATTACTTTCAAAATATTTTTGTATTGTAAAATAATTCTAATTACTTGTGTATGTCTTTTTTATTCCCTGAAAAAAAAAATTTATCATGAGTTTTAGGTACAGTTAATTTTGTTCCTATGATAGCAGTAATCTAGTTCATAGATCTTTTATTTTGCATTTATTTTTAAGAAAAAGAATTCCGTTTCAAGCATTTATATTTCAATATGCCATATGTATATGAATATGTTAAAGTTGTTTTTCTTTATGTACAGTACATTATGTTTAAGACTAACTCAGGTGTGATATGTTATTGTTTATTCAGAAAATAAAGTTGTTTTCACTTGACTTGAAATATCTTTTGCATTAGGGGTAGTAAAGAAATTTTTTTTTTACTAGGCAAATTTGCATAGTCAAACTGATTAAGTTAAGGACAACTTATTTTGTCTACAAGTGCTAAATAGATCAAAAGATAAAAGGTTACTTTGTTTAAATATCAGACCCAGATAGTTTCCATAAGTGTGAAATCTTCGGGGTAGAAGATGTAAGTGAAATCTATTTCATGTGAACAAATACTACATTTTACTTCAAATATTTGTGTCAAATTGAAAAAGGTAAAGTACTCACATCAATAAACATCTTTGTCTTTTTGAATTAAATTTTTTAGGTGTACCAGATATGTGATAATTAATAGGTGCTATAAATCTTATCTAGTCAAGGCATACCTGATCTAGTGAAAGCTTTTCTTACATATTGTATCAGACGAACAAAAATTTTTTTCCAGTTAAAACACTGTTCGTCTAAAATCCAGCTCTAGTTAAAATAAAAGGTATTTCCATATAAAGGTGGCATAGAGAATATTGTATTTATGCAATTTGCACATATATATACAGTAAAAACATTTTTTATTCAAGAAAGTGCATATGCAATTTATGTTTTCATTACAAAATGCTAATTTTTTTTTCTCTCCATAACTGGCTAACACTGAGCATGTCTTTTTGACATCAACTTTGAGAAGCAAACAATTGATGACATTTTGTTACACTTTTTTTAGTTTTCATAACAGTTATTGAAGTGTAAATGGCATGGGGCATATCTATCTGATATAGTCTTTAAGGTGAAAAATATTGGGTGTACAAATAAGTTTCTACCGTTCGTCACAAGATGGCACTACCATAAGGTTATGTAGAATTTGACTGTTAAACGTCTTATTGTAAGTTTAGTCATCTTAAAGTATTAGTGATTTCGTATAGCATTACATAATTACACAAGCCTGCGAAATTGAACTTTTTGAAAAATACAAGAGAAGTTATTTGATGTGCTGATTTTGAAAATGACCTTCATTTTCCCCAATCACGTCAGGATTTTTTATAAAATCGATATTAATGTTTTTACTAAAATCCTATTTGGAAAGGAATTCTCTCGAATAATTTTGCATGTACTATCCGGTAACTGTTCTCTGCATTCATTCTGATCTATGAAAAATTTAATCTTGTGAAAGAAAATTGATTTTTGAGCTATCAACTGATTTTTTATAGGTTAAAATGAATAAAAAATACTGTTGCCAGACAGCAGAAGTCACCTCTGGTCAAGAGAAAAACAATAAGTTCCTTGTGTTCAAACTTTTTACACCAGTTTCTAGAAGAAAATCACCAACATACCATTTTAATTTGTTTTTATTGAGATAACTTACGTAAAATTGACGATTAACCAAGAATAACAAATATTGTGTATGTGTATATGGAAGTTTGAAACAAAAAACAAAAGAGAAAAGTTTCTATTTAAGTATATACTCGTTTTCCTCTGAAACTTATTTTTGATGATCTTCTTTCATGCTTAATCTCAGGTTTATCCCGAGCTATCATCCAACAGTAGTCAGTGAACATGTTCTTGTCCCACCTTCCTTGATATTTACGCTAAATATCTCTGATATCTTGATGGAACCTTTCCCCTTGTTCTTCGCTAACTGCTCCTGAATTTTCAGGGAAAAAGTCCACATGTGAGTGAAAGAAATGCATTTTTACACTCATGGAGCAACCCAACGTTTTAAATTTGTGGAGCATTTTCATTACAATTTCCTTATAATCAGGATCCTTGTAATTACCCAGAAATTTACTGACGACGTCTTTGAAAGCAACCCAAGCTTCTGTTTCTGTCATGTTATCCTTCATGAGTTTGCGGTTATCAGAACCAACAAATATTCCTTTTTTTAACTGACCTGGAAACTTTTTGCGCAGATATTTGAAACAATTGCCATCTTTTGGAACAGCCTTGACAGACTGCTTCATTACACCTAATTTTATGTGTAGCGGACGTAACAATACTTTTAGCCATTCTTTTTTGACCCATCAATGTTGAGTCTTGTCACGGCTGTCTCACTTACAAATGAAACATGGGTACTTTATATATCCCCCTTGTTAACCAAGAAGCATGGAGATAACTTTCAATTCACCGCAAATGGTCCAACTGTGGTCGATATATTTTATTTTGTTCAGGACGCGAGCCAGGTTTAGATATTAGTCTTTGATTTTTTCGGTTATACCCACGAACATGGCAGGAACAAAAATAACAATCATCAAAGTGGTTTTGGGGCTCTCTCCACGTCATAGGAATTCCAAATCGTAAAGCAGTCTTCTTTCCTTGATGCCATAAGCGTAGATCATTGAGACACTGCACACAAACTTTATGAGGTGACCCAGATTTGTCCTGATCTCCGAGTTTCATGTCAAAATATGCGAGATAAAGTTGTCTGTAATGCTCCTCATGCGATTTTTAACTGCACTATATTCGCCGCATGTATAACAAAAGTCATCTGGGAAATTTACACAATGTCTTGAACTCAAAGCCATGTTTCACGAAACGCACAGAAAAAAAAGCAAACTTTAAAATGACTCCCTATAACGCTTGCTAGTGTTTCTGAGAGGTCAGCGGACCTAGATAAGGATTCTCGTGACGCTATTGGTAGAGAAAGATTGCTACAGAGAGAGGGACTTTTATAGATTTGACCAAAGTAGAATGCTGGTCCATCAAAAAGGGAAGAAATTCAAAAATGAAAATTTTTTTATGGTGAATGTTCATAAAAATTTCAGTAAAATAGAATTTTTCTAAAAATCGTGACGTGATGGACATTTTTATTTTCCATTTCAGCACCAAAAAATACATTAAGTTCACCTATCAGACCCCTTGTATTTTTTTCATCGCAGGCCTGTGTTATTTGCTTGCAAAAATGTCAAGTTTTGTGCCAAATAAGCGTCATTTGTGAGAGCTTTTGAATTACTTTAATTTGAAAAAACCTGCAGCTGAGGCATGTCGATTGCTTGGAGAAGCATATGGTGAGGCTGCTAGAAGTTGTGAGTGGCTTCAGAAATTTTAAAATGGTGAGTTTGATGTGGAAGACAAAGAATGCAGTGGAAAGCAAAATTCTACGAAGACAAGAAATTGGAACAAGAGTCATCCCAAAGGCATAAAGAACTTGTTCTTACACTATAAATGACTCAGCAAGCAATTTCTCATCGTTTATAATTGTCGGGAATGATCCAAAAACAAGGCAGTTGGGTTACGTATAAACTGAAGCCAAGAGACATTGAATGTTGATTTTGCATGAGTGAAATGCTACTTGCCAGGCATAAAAAAAAAAAGCAGTTTCTGCATCATAAAGACCAGTGGTTCCCAACCTTTTGGCTGACACATATCGCCCTTTTCTTTTTTTGCTCAAAAAACCATTCATTGTTGCTTGTGAGCAACCAAACACTGAATATATGCAATGTTATTTGATTTTAATTGAAATTGTAATGCAAATAAGGAGGCACATTTATCCTGTCATTTTTATTAATTTAAAAAAAAAAATTGCATCTTTTTTTTTAATTCATATTTTAATGTAATCAAGAAAAAGTGAAAACGTTAACAACTAAAATTTGAGAAAAAAAATTACGATTGTGTAAGTACATTTTTACCACTTCAATGACTGCCCTGTGCTTGGTGTATTTCAAGTTAAAGCTTGAATGTCGGGTTTTATGCTCCTCAGATTTAAACGCGGGTCTCCTTTGAAGCAAATGTCCAACCTATTTCTTTGCATTGTGAGTAGCTGGAAGACAGAACTAAATCCTGTCTCTACTAAATATGTTGACGGGAACGAGATAAGAAGCGGCTCAAGTTTGTTTCCACAATTGTGGATAAGTGTCCATAAGCTTTACCCAAGCTAACTTGTAACCGTATTTTTTAAAGACGACTTTAGCCTCACAGTCATACTTCAAATCTAAAATCTCAGTCTACAAAGAGGAAGTGAGCTTATCCACAACTTCAAAAGAGAAAGGATCGAAAATCCAATCCGGAATTTCTAATTTCATTAAATCTTGATTCCATAACTGATCAAGGTGATCAGTAAAAATTAAGATTTTATTTTAGAGAATCTCGATATCTGCCATTGAACACTTTTTAAGAGTTGGAAGTTGCATTAGCTCTTTGCGACCAATGTTTGACTTGTAGATATCAAACTTGGCGATGATTGAAGATATGATTCCCTTAGCCTTGATAATGTTCACTTTATTTCCTTGAAGTTTTACGTTGATTTCCTTCATTCTTTCAAGACTATGAGTGAGGTACGCAGTTTCCAACTTGCGTTGCGTCAAACTCTCACTTAAAATAGGATCAGTGGTGTCGAGAAACTCAGTAACCGAATCCAGCAATTCGAAGAAACGGCTCAGTTTCCTTTTGAAAGCCATCTCACAGCTGTATGTAGGAGCAGAAATTCGAAATCTTCATCATTTTCATGGCAAAGTTCTCGGAACAAACGGTTATTAGGAGAATTAGCTTTTATTTTATTGATGCCAGAAATAACCAATTTTTCGCAGCCAAAAGTTGACGATGAATGACATAATGAATGGTGAGATAACTGCCGGTACTTCTTTTTTAAGGTGACCAGAATCTGACAACCTGACATGGTTGGAGCACCATCTGTTGCACAAGCACTTACATTTGTGAGGGGAATTTCTTTCACCTCAAAATAATCTTTGACCAATTTAAAAATCGACGATCCTTTTGTATCTGTGTTCAAAGTTCTTGTAAACAACATTTCCTCGTTAATCTCCTTACTCTAATTTTTGAATCTCACGTAAGCTAAAACAGCTTTGTTATCTATCACAGTTGATTCATCAATCTGCAACGCAAATTTACCTTCTTTCAGAAATTTGATGAGTTTCGATTCAACGTCGGCGGCCATCTCATCAATACGCCTGGAAACAGTATTATTGCTCAGAGGAACAGAGTGACTTATCAGATTTCCGCCTGCGATACCAAAACGTATGACGAAAACGATCCTGCACTTGAATTTTTTTTTTAATTTTTAACTATCATAATTCTTTGTCTACACCAGAACCATAGGTTTCATATATATTTTCAATCTCAAATAGCTTTTATTATTAATATTATTAGCAATTTTTATCTTTTGAGTACTCGTCGCCCCCTTGAGGAGCTCTATCGCCCCCAGGTTGGGAACCACTGGTATAGACACTGGTGATGAAAAATGGATTTACTACGATAACCTAAAGAGAGATCGTGGGGAGCACCTGGCTATACCAAGCCAAATACCTATGGAAAAAAACTTATTTGGTGGAATCAAATTGTCGATATCTATTACTGAAACTCTCTACCTAACAAAATTAATGAGATTAAGCCAAGCATCAAAGAAAATCGTGCCCAGTACTACTCCAGACATAATTATGCTCGTCCACATGTTACGAAACCGGTCAAAACCTATTTGGAAACACTTATATGGATGGGTAGGTCTACCCCACCCTCCGAATTTGCCAGACCTTGCCCCTTCAGATTATCGCCTATTCCAATCCATGACACATGATCTGTCAAAACCGAAATTTAATAATTTGAAGAAACCAAGCAGTAGGTCGATTCGTGGATATCCTCGAAAGATGGGAAATAGTAGTGTCTCTTAATGGAGAAAACTTAGAATAAAAGATAATGTACCGTTTTTTCACAATAAGCTGCTAATATTTGGACTTATTTATACTCCCAATAGTTTGTGGCATTTCATTATGAAAACATAAATGGCTTAGTATGCATATTTTTCTTGTGCTTATGTTACTTTATATTTCCTTCTGACACAATGTAATACTTGCTAAATAAGTATCAACAACAAAATCAGAACTTGAAATTTTAAAACAGTACTTCAAAATTTCCTCACATTGAATTCAACAGCTTTTATCTAAGTAGTTAAGCATACCATACAAATATTTGCAAGAACTCTCTATAGTTAATTTTTCCACCTAAACTCTTGTCAAAGTATTCAAGAATGAAGAATTCCTCTTCAGGAGAAAATCTTACACCAGATTTGTCTAAGATACCAGTTAAAACACTGAAATCTACAACTCCAGATAATTTGGGATCAGCTCGATTGAGATGGTAACGAATCGTTCTGATGTTTCTTATTATAACTGGTTCAATGGCTACAATTATTTTCTTCAAATGAGGTGCTTCGGAGAATAATATGTCCTGTCAAAGAAAAATTTTGTGTTTAAAAAAATATTCTAACGTATCTTATTGTTTCTATTTGAAAAGTTTTTACCAAAATATTTTACAGAAAAGCCGATATTTGATATTTGATCTAGGGTTGCAAACAAACCAGCCTTTCTGAAAAAGGCCAAGTCGGTTTTCATTAAAAGACTGGCTTTATTTAAAAAAGCTGGTCTTTAGTAACTGCTTAATATTTTATATGTTACTAGCTGAGTACCCCCGTTCTTCGCATGGGGATATTAAAAAATAAAATTTAAAAAATCAATAAATCAGTATTGAGAAAAGCTACAAAACTGAAAATCATATACCGACACAATTAAAGAACTTGGTGGAAGAACCAGGTAAGTGAAATTTTTAGGGGAATTATTGAATTAGAGATAATAAAAAAAAAAAGTGGTACGGGTATGTTTAATGTAACAGAACTGCTTTTTGCTTTCACTTAAATCTTAACATAACTAATTACATCAGTTTTCAGTATGCTTGCATGATTTTTATTTCAAATTAGGCAGTGGTAAATAAATAAAAACTAAGAAATATTTGTCCCTCTTTCTAATAAATTGGTAATAAAATAGTTCTGATGCAAGTTTATTTTAGTTCTGAAAATGTCACTTACCTGGTTCTTCCACTAAGTTTCTCAATTAATGTAGTAAAAACAATTTATTTTAAAAAAATTTTTTTAATATTATTTGATGCCCTTTTCGGTGGCTTTGCATGATTGAAGTAAACAAAACTCGTTTTTTGTAGTTTATTCCATTAGAATAAAGATAAAATGTATTTAGTATCACTTCGCATGATGCTTATTGCACTATCAAGTAATTTTTTAAGGTACATACGGTTACCTTTTTTACTTCACTTTTTAACACATAGCTTGTTTTATTTTATTTCAATTAATATTATCAATATTAATTAAGCATTAGTGTCAATAATAATATCGTGATTTTATACGGCTCCCCAAAATGAATAAGTATACTTTCTCCATTATTTTTGCTTTTAAGTACGAAAGTTGTTTTTTTTTATTTTTTATATCAATTAACATCTTACTAACATTAATTCAGCATCATTGTCGTCAATGATAGTATGACGATTTTTCATAGTTCTTCTAGTTAAATATCTTTACTCCATTACTTTTGCATTCCAGTACATAGTTTATTTCATTTCAATATGCATATATTACCTAAATAAATTAAGCAGCGTTGTCGTCAATAATGATATGGCGATTTCTTTTACGTTTCTTTGAAGCAAATAAGTACCAGTTTTCCATTAATTTTGCCTTTTAATACATAAATATATGTTTATTCAATTACTGTTGTTTCTAAATAATTATTTTTTAGAAAGACGTTTTAAAATAATTTATGTAAATAAAAAATAGAGTGTGGTATCAGACAACTTTAAAAGTATAAATTTGGTGACATAGGCCATGTGTGCTACTACGTAATAATGTTTATTTAATTTATCTAATACAACGAATATAAAATAATTAAATATTTAAATTCGTGTAATAAACTGCTAATCAAATAGAGCTATAAGCAAGAAATTATGACTAATTTTATTTTTAAACTATATGAACACTGAATTGCTTATAGTGAAATTTAAAACAATGAATAACACTTAACCAATCAGAAAATTTCATTTCGTTTTTCACTCATCCCACTTGAACAGTTTATCATAGATTGTTCTAATGTTGATAGTGACCTTCCCCGCACTTTAAACTACGAGGGTTATTTTTTTTTCAAGGTCCCATTGGTAGCTAAAGGAAATTCCAGACAGAATCAAGAAAATTTTATATGGAACAATGTGATACAACAATGAGCTACTGTTTGATGCAATCGCCGTTCCGATTCATACATTTCTCAGCATGGTATCAATTTTTCAATACCTTCATTATAGATAGCAGCCGTCTGTATTTTCGGCCAATTCTGTACGCTGGTTTTCAGCTCGTGATCTGTGGGAAAAGTTTGTCCTCCTAGCCAGCGTTTCATGTGAGCAAAGAGATGAAAATCTGAGGAAGCCAAGTCAGGAATGTATGGTGGGTGATCAAAACTTTTCAGGAGGATCGTTGTTGCAGTGTGCGGTTGTGCATTGTCATGAAGAAGGACAATGCCTGACGACAACATTCCTCTTATCTTGTTCTGAATTGCCCTCCGAAGACGTTGAAGAGTCTTGTTGTACAAAGCTGCAGTGATCGTTGCACCATGTGGCATAAATTCCACCAAGAGAACACCTTTACGGTCCCAGAGCACTGTAGCCATACACTTTTTAGTGGAGAACGTGCGCTTGACCTTCACTGGCTTACGACTCGAGGGAGTGTGAATGCATCCACTGTTTGGATTGCTCTTTCATTTCTTCAGTTTCGTAATGGACCCATGTCTCATCTCCTATGACAACTTTGTCCAAAAACTCATCTCCGTCGTGATGGTAGAGCTGGAGGAAGGTTAATGTGGCGCCCATTCGTTGAGTTTTGTGATGGTCAGACAGCATCTTGGGAAACCATCTCGAACAGAGTTTGCGATACTCGAGTGTTTCACTCACAAAGGTATAGAGAGCTGTCCGTGACATTTCCGGAAGCCATTCACTCAACCCAGAAATTGTGAACCGACAATTTCCGCGAATTGCTTGATATCCACGCGCTGGAGAAGATTATAGGTTGACACTGACTTCCTTCCCTGGCCGCATGCATCATGAACATCTGTGCGTCCAGCATCAAAGTTCCTGCACCATTTCCACACTTTGCTATTACTCATGAACGGTTCTCCGTACACTTTACTCATTCGTTCATGGCTTTCAGCTGCATTGCTTCCTTCAGCATGCAGAAATCGAATGACTGAACACAATTCACATTTGGCGGGAGACTATTATTCAAAGCATGTTTATGTGCGCTATACGTACTCAAAATTGACAACCGCTGATCCACGTTTTCCCCTGACCAACTACAGACCCAGAGAAAGACGTCTGCGCACAGACCTTTCTCTTCTTCCTTTTGCGACCAATCAGACCTTGAAAAAACATAACCCTCGTATCTGTATGCTAAGTTTCATTGCTTCTTTCGGATGTTTAGGAGCCTATAACGGATGCACACAACCACACACGGACATTCATTTTTATAGATAAGGCAGTGGTAAATAAAATAATGCAAAGAATTATTAGTCCCAACTTCTAGTAAATTGGTAATGAAATAATTCGGATACATGTGTTCTTTTTTCGTCCTGAAAATTTCCCTTACCTGGTTCTTCCACTAAGCTTTTCAATTAATGGCTAAAATAATTTCTAATTTTTTTATTTAATGTTATATGTTGTAATCTTCGGTGGCTTAATGTTAATGAAGTAAGCAAAATTCATACCATCATTGGAATAAAGATAAAATGTATTTAGCATCTCTTAACATGATGCTTGCTGCGATTCATGATAGTTAAAATTTACCACTATTAAGTGATTTTCTCAAGTATATATCCCTTTAGAGGGGCCGTAAAACACTTAATTCCAAAATATCGCTATTAAAACTGCTTAGTATTGGTGCAGTTTTAATAATACCTTTTTCCTTTCCTCCAGACGTGGATACGTACCTAGGTTTGCAAAACCCTTACCCGTATAGTCCACATCTGGCTACCAGTCCAGCTCGCCACAACCCAGTGGGCTGGCCTGATCAGTAGGAATTTATTATAAAAAATTGCATATTACATAATACATATAAAAAATTTTACAATAAAATTTAGTAGACAACATTTAGTAGTTTTAATAATACCAAATATATCAATATATTTTATACCTATATAAGTATATTTGGTAACATTTGAGTTTTAATGTATTTCTCAGTGGCCGCCAACTAAAACCGCATTAATTTTAAAAAAAGAGAACCTTTTAAGGATTTTGGAACATGACCATTTCTCTATCTGAACTTAAATTTACTGTTAAAAGTAGTGATGGAAAAAAGTTATTTTAATTCTAATTCATTAAAATATTAATACACTATCTTAGCTACCACTGAAAAAAAAATTTCTGAAACTACAGAAAACTCGTTGTAGAATTGTTATCAAAACCAAATCGAGAATTAGTATAATACCAGTAGTACATATTACCGTCAGGGTTACATATGAGTTAAGCGTCATCTGTGAATGGCAATATTTTAATGTTTTCTTAAGCGAATTTCCTTTTAATCTTTCTTCCATGGGCATAATAAAATAAGCCCATTTTTTTATATTCCATCATGGAATACATAAAAAAAATTGCAACCAGAAAGTAATGTAGTTTTGGCGCATTAAATATTCGTTACTCTTAAAAACCAATTCATTTTCAATCAGGCATTGAAAGGTTGTTGCTAACAAGGGTGAATACATTGATTAAAAATAAAATCTTGATAACAAATATCAAATGAAATGAAACGACATTACTTTCTGATCCTCCTTATACTTATGCTCAACAACCGTTTATTAAAAATCTCGTCATTACACCAATGAATTAAGTAGACTTCAAAAGAAACAAATACAATCATAATAAAGGTATGTAGAAGTTTTTTTTTTTGGGTGCAAATTAATAAAACCATACACAATTTTTCAAACTGATTATTGCTGATTACTAGTAGCCATACTCCAGTTTACAAGATTCTAACAGTTATTAATTTGAAAGTTATTATTTAAAACAGTTATAAAATATATTTTCATGGTTAAAATAATGTTGAATCAAATAGATAGCGTACCTTTGCACTCTTTCGATTAACAGTTTCTCTTTTCTTCATCATATTTTCATTGAAAGTTACATGTACAACTCCAGATTTGCCAAAGTCACCAGCCACTGATTTATCATCTGCATCTGGTTGAAATTCAGATATTGAATACTCCTCTAAAAATTTGTCATACAACAATTGGTCAAACTTGTTGCGAGGAAGTTTTTTCCATAATTCACAAAACTGAAAATAAATAAAATTACAATTATAAACTAATATACAACAGTTTTAACATAAACTAGAAGGGAGACAGATTTTTTTATCATATCGTTTAATACACATCGACATTTTTTATTACCTTAAAATACATTTTCTAATGATGTATTTATTCACATTGTAAATGGGCAGTGTTGTACAATTTATTTTACGTTTATAAAATCGTTTTTCTAATTTTATTACATTTCATTTATTAACTTTCATACTTCCATAAAAATACAAATTACATTGGAAGTTATTAAAATTTTTAACTTATAGTTGAAATAAACAAAAGTAAATGTACAGTAGATACAGCTGGAACACTGTACTAGTACCTTCTATGTCTTTAGTTGTTGCAGTTGTAGTTAATTTACATCGCTCTAGAGCTGCACAATGGGCTAATGTGGCTCTATGTCTTTAAGTCACAGAAATGAATAAAAAGAAATATTGTATCTATCATTTAATAATAGGAAGAGCCAAGATAGCCTGGTTGATAAGGCGCTGGACTCATGTCCTTGAGTTCAAATCCAGCCTGCCAAATACTCCCCATGTAGTAAATGGTGACTGGTGCACAGTTAATCTGCCTGGTCACAAAGTCTTCTATGTTCCCATAACAAATCAATACCTCTTGGGGTAATGAATTGGAGATTGATCACTCTCTGGTTTGGGCAAAATTACAATCTGTGGATGAATGAATAGGTCCGCCCTATAAATGGTTGTGATGTTTAATTGTGGCAGAAGTCGAATTCTTGGCCATAGATGGCGCCACTGGAAAACCCCTTACCTTAATGCCCTATGAGGACAGCAACAACAATAGGAGACAGTTCACAAAAAGTCAGTTTTTATTTAATCAATGATTTTAAAAATAAACAAAAAATCTGGTATTATCAAACTAATGGATTAGAATGTGATTACCCATAACCCATAATCTAAAGGCAATACTAGAACAGGCATAAACTACACTAAATTTGATCTTAAATTGCAACATTTTATAAGTTTATATAAAAATATTGAGTCACATTTATCAAGCATGGAGATGAAAGTACTTACTTGTTTGTCATTGAATCTGAATGAAAATTTGCTAAACACATTTCTAACATCATCTTTGCAAATTACACCAACATTGCATACATCAAGAGTTTTAAAATCTCTAAGCATAGCACTTTTTCTAGACTGCACACATTCCCTTAACATTTCCTCTGCTTCATCCAGAGGCAACTCGGGTGGGCATCTTGATTTATAAGTAGCCAATTTATTTACTTTAGCTGTCCATTTTTTAGCATCCTGCAAGTTCAATAACTAGTTATTTAAGGATATAAATAGTATTTTTAGTGTGTCGTGCTATTTTAAAATGTTAAGATAAGTACCTTTTAAACCTTGCAAAATATTTTTAATCCCTTTTAAAAAATCATAATGAGGGTCTGCGCCTAAATTAAAAAAGTTTTCCTATTGTTTAAAGCTAGTCATTTACGTACACAATATCAACAAAATGTAAAACAATTTTTAATGACTTTGCATAATCATGATAAAATAATCAGGATCTGATTTATATTGCACAGAAAATTGTAAAAGTCATGTTTTTTTCGTAATTTATGACGTCAGAGAAAAATCTAATTTAAAAGAAAGAAAATTAAACACTTTTTACAAATCTTCCAAATAAAAAAGGCTTTTAAAAAAGGCAAGTCAAAATAAGCACCTTTTAAAAACACCACTTCTATTGAAATCGAAAAAATACATTAGAAATTGTTTTACAAAACCTTATCCAAAACACCAAATATATTATTTTATAAACTCAATTAACTTTAATAACTCTAATCTTTAAAATAAGTAGAGTTCATGACAACAATGAAAATTGAGATGATAATAGGTATTTATTTAGTGGTTGAAAAATTTCAAATGATAGACGAACTAGAGCACTGAGGCCATGTCCTAGAGAGGTCGTGGGTTTGATCCCACGACCTCCAAAATTACAAAATAATACTATTTTGTAAATTTCAAACATATTTCAAGGCGACAAATTTGCAGAACATATGGCGATAATTGTTCCCACACTGGCATGAACCTTAAAAATAAGAATTAGTAATTCGCAATATGAGTTTGGATTACCAAAGTTTGTGTTATAATTTACATTGTGTTATCATTACATTTTATCATTTACCAGCTGACTGTTCAATTCCTGTAATTTTGCATTGAGAATTTTAAAACAAATCTAATTTGTTTGGCCTATCCATTTCAAGCAACAAGATTGAAAGAAAATTTTACATTATATAATTAAAATGTAACATTTTCTTTTTAACCCATAAAGTACAATACTTTTACTATGCATCATTTATTTAATCAATACTTTTTAAAGTAAGTACATTTAAATGTGTGATGAATAGTGATTAAAGATTATTTGTTTTATAACTGACAGATTATTTTTAAGGTTATGAGGTGTTAGAACCTATTAATTTAAGAAATAAAACTCAACATACCTCACCAGGTTTTTTGTAGAAAACATTTAGAAACTCTCGGTAATTTAAGCTGTCTCCATACACTCTAAATCCAGAAAAAATTTCTTCATATTGTTCATAGGTCAGAGGAATACATAATCCATTTAGGATGTTCTTGAGTTTCTCTGTAGTAATGAATCCGCTCTGGTTAGGATCACAAATAAAAATAGCCTGTTGTGAAAAAGATAAAAGCAAATAAAAAAAAGGCATTAAAATTAGGTAAAAATAAATATTTGAAAAGTACCATAAGTTTAATATATCCAGTTCCTACCTTTTCAACATCTTTGAAAACTTTGTTAAAATGGTGCTTGAATTTAGATTTCAATTTATTACCTTTGAGGCATAAATATTTTTCCTCATCAGGTGAAAACTTTATTGAACTTGAGCTCTCTTTTTCCTAAATCGAAAGGAAAAAAAGAAGAAAGAGTAAATTTATGATTCAATATTTTATTTATATATATGTAATACAAAAAGCTTAAACAAACCTTTTTATATTATTTCTTTGTTTAAATTCTTTCAATTTATTATTTAGAATGAAACCTATTCATATAATTAATAATTCACATCCTGTTTTAAAAATAGATTAAAGAATGCAGTTCTGACAATTACAAGTTTTTCCCTTAAGGAAACGTGAGATTTAGTGAAATCTTTATCTATTTAGTGAACCTATTATAATTATAATGTTTCCTTTTTGTAAGAGATATTAAGAAAAAACTCATGAGACTTTTCCTAACATAAAACTCGAGTACACTGATATTAATGTGTGATTTTCTACTCTCCCAATATTCCAATATGTCTAAATAAAGAGCGTATTTTTTTCATACAGCCCCTGATTTCCTGAGTGCCAGAAGACACACCCATGACCGTCATATATATATTTCCAGTGGCGCCATCTATGGCCAAGAATTCGACTTCTGTCACACAGGTTTATAGGGCGGACCCATTCATACATCCATTCATTCATCCACAGATCGTAATTTTGACCTGAATCAGAGAATGATCGATCTCCAATCCAGTACCCCCAGAGGTACTGATTTGTTATGGGAACATGGAGGACTTTTGCGACTCGACAGATTTAACGTGCATCAGTCACTTTACCGCCCGGTGGGGTTCGAACCCACGAACTCTCGGACATGGGCCCAGCGCTCTACCAACCAGGCTATCCCCGCCACATCCTCAATAATTGGTTTAACTGTACAAACCAAAACAGAATTTTACATAAATATACGTTCTATCAGAAAGCTTTATGAAAAAAGTTGCTTAAGCAGTTTGAAGGATTTGGCAAACATTTTAAAAAAGCTTGAGAAATATCTTATTTTTTATTTCCTAATTATAAAACTATCAGATTATAAGAATTACCACTGTTACAGTTTCATAATTTTTCTTCTATAATAAACTTTTTATATTTTCTTTAAAAAAAACTTTAAAGGTTTCGAACACTTAGTCTAATTTAGTATCTTTCCCACACAACTCCATTAACAAAAAAAGAAAAAAAACGAAGTAAAAAATCCACTTTTAAAAATTATCATTTTTTGAAGGTTTTTAAATTAAGATAGAATTCAACATTTAAGTTTCATAGAAGTACAAGCGGACCCAATAAGATATAAATTTGATACCATGTTTGATAATAACATTTTATTTTTCTATTTTTTTCTCAACAAATGAGTTCAATGAATTAGTTTTAAATAAAATATTTACACTTACCACACAAGCACAATCCTCTTCAGGATGTTCAAACAGTTTGAGAAAACTTTTACATTGAATTATATTAGTATTACCAGGATCCAGAACTTCTAAGAGATCTTTAAACTCTTCATCAGACAAATGCAGTTTAAGTCCAGTTTTCAATGTTCTCCTAAGTTCTTTTCTGGTTATTTGCTCTCTTAGTCCCTAAATTGAACATTAATAAATCATTCTGTATATCTATTTATAATGTTAGTTTTATCTGCCAATATTTGTTTTTGTATGTTTGTATAAGAGTGTGTTTTTGTATATGATATCTTTCTCCTCATGTTTACTTTGAATAATACTAACTGGCAACAATATTCTAGAATTTTTTCTAGCTGGCATGTAATGCAGAAGTACCAATTTTTCAATCAGAAGTACAATACAGAAATATATACAACTAGCTTTTATAAAATTTAAATTAGTGCAATTTTATATGGTGTGACTACTTAATTCGATACTGATACATATTATTAGAGAAAACTATACATGAGTTTGCAACAAAGATGCCAACTTGCTCCAGACAGTGGGCTCCAGACATTTAAGAAAGTATGATTATTTTAATGTATAATTCTTTGCTTAAAAAGTTTGATTTATAGGGTTTTTACATACCCCTACTTCTAAATAGTTTAAAGGCTTATGTGATACTCCACTTTGCTACAATTAAGTCATTTGAGCATTCTAAAATGTTGGCAAAATTAACTGAAAATAAGCAAATTTTAGTTTGCAATTCTCAATTGAATTTTAAAATGCATGAAATGTTAATAGGTCTGTAGGCCTTTAATTTTTTTAAGGCATGAAGTTGAAATTAAGCATAGTTCTGATCACGAATACTATTTTTAATGTTACAAAGTCTAGAATACAGACATTGTATAGAACACCTAGATAATATATAAAATGCCAAAAACTAAAAGGCAAGCATAAAAAGAAAATATTTCATTACTTATCTATGCATATTATTATAAAATTCAATAATGTTTAAAAAAATTTATAACAAAATTATTATATGCCATGTATTATATATATTTCAAACTTGATGACTCTAACCTGATCTGGAAATGTGGGGACCCCTTGGGCGTTACTTTAAACATAAATTTACATTGTTTAATTATAAAGTGTTTAAAATTATTTGTAATTCAAGTAAATTACGATATACAGTTGGACCTCTATTTAACGAAGTTGCTAAATCCCGATAATAAGTTCGTTATATGGAAAATTTGTTAAATAGAAAACTACCGTTTGAAATACTTAAACAACACAAAAGAGGTTTTAAATTCATGAACACTAGACATAATTAAAATAGCAGTTGATGCACCTTTATCTTGTAAACTAGTATCTACTATTTATTTTACAAATCTCAGCCATAAAAGAAATCTGCATGGAAAGCAAGAATAGAGCAAAACATTATCCAGTGTTACACTATCATACTACATACTTTTTCAACCAAAAAAAGTGAAATTTATGAATAAAATTATAGCTGCATTTATTTGCTGTATAAAATTATAACTGCAAAGTAATTTTAAACATGCATTACCACATGCGTTTTTAAGTTTTAGTGCTACTGATAAAATCTGTTAATTCTGTTTTCATTTGAAATGCAAACAAAAAGGGAAAGGGATTTCACTGCTTTCTCTAAAAGTTTAAGTGGCTTCGAAAATCAATTGCAGGTCATTTCTCCCATAAAATGCATTGAAGTTTGAAATGTTCTAAAATATTTTGGAAAATAAGGAAAGTGTATTTCATAGAAAATTTCGTTACATAGAAAATTCGCTTCACTATTTGGAAGTCTTTTTACGAAGAAATTTCTAAATTGTTCTTGGTTCCTCGAAAAAATTCGCAAAATAGATAAATTAGCAAAGTGAAAGTTTGTTAAATAGAAGTCCGACTGTATTAGTAAATTTGAGCTAATATTTGTTACAATTTCTATGAACTCATAACTCTAATAAACAATTCTTAAGGAAAAACATAAAAAGAAATTATTTGTAATATTTAGGGGGCTCCAAAAATGTTGGGAGCCTGGGCCTGGGCTTCTCAGGCCTAATGATAAATCAGGCACTGTTCCCAAGTATTTTATGGAATACAATATAAATGAGCACAAATTTTGAATCCAAAAATAGGATAGAGCATACTTTGAGAAATGTAGACTGAAGCCAAGAACATTGTTAACAAAGTACAGAAATGGACATACTATAGTTTTGGTTCTCTAAATTAGAGCTGCACTGACAGTCTAAACACCAAATGATTGAAGAAAAGTAAATAGATATATGTGCAAAGTGGCTTAACAAACTCTGCAGACCAAGAAGTTTAGACAACATTGGTTAAGCCACTATGAACTTGTTTATATTATTCTGTCATTTGGTGTTTAGACACTAAGGAAGGTTTTTGTTAGAGAACCAAAACTATAGTATGTCCATTTCTGTACATTTTTTATGCTTTATTCACTTTGTTTTTTCTAAAATCACAAATAATGAAGTTAATAGTGATAGGTGAGTAACGACACTTTCAATTATGAGCCAGTAAACAATATAACTAAAGCTATTTCTAATAGCATCATAAAATAAATTGGAGCAAAAAAACTACTTCCAAGATTTGAAGAAAGGGTAAATTTTATACTATATGTGAATAAAACTACCAAGTGAAAAAGGCATGAAAAATACCAAACAACTAGACATAGTATAGTTTTGGTTCTTCATTTTAGAATCAAAACAATAGTAATAGATGGTTATGATACTCGATTGTGCACAATTTAGTTTATAAAAAAACTGCTCAAAAAAGAATAGAATACAAATAAACACAGAAAAAAACAGAGCTTCAAATATTTCTGTTTTTTAGCTTGGAAAGTGTGTTTGATTGAATTGAAAATCTTAATTCAACAACTGCTATGAAACTTTAAAATAAGAAAAATATCAAAACTGAACAAATCTGCATTTATATAAAATAAAATAAAAATTAAGCGTTAAATTATAAAATGACACTAAAATAAGCTTACTGAATTTTTTATAGTCAGCAAAGAGTGCAAACGCTCGTTTGGGTTCAAAACATGATTTTTTATATGTTGCACTACAGGCAAACAATCCAGTTTTGTGGCCCTATAAAAAAAGTTGTACATAAAATAAGTCAATTCTTGCTTCATATTACTCAGAAAATTTCTTTGAAATAAGATATAGAAAGAAATTAAGTAACAGGAAAGAAAAAAAATTCAAATGCATTTTATTGTAGAAAATTTTTGAAAAAATATTTTAAAAAAGCAACTTTTAGATCAAGATGTCAGTGGTATTTGCATTTGAAATATTATTTACTAGTTAGAAAAAGTTGAGAAACTTGAATACTCTAAATTTTCCTCATAAAGCCCTTCGACATATTTTTTTAAACAAAGATTTATGTCTCTTGAAGAAATAAAGAGTTATTGAATATTTGTGAAATTTTGTATTAAAAATATCACAACTTGCTTAATGAATAACAGATTTGTAAAAAAAAATAGAAACAATAAAAAATATATATGTATCGAAATTTATTTAAAGTTTTATCAAAAGACAGTAGTTCAGTTACTTTTCGATTAACTAATATTTTTTTCTTCTTTTTTTTGTTAAATAGAATTGCAAAAGTAATTTGATCTTTAACAAAATTATAAATATATATAAGGAGAAATAATATATTTTAGGACTCAAAATAACTATTTCTTATCTGGAGTAAAAAGTTTTAATTCAATTATTAATTCAGTAAATCATTCATACAGTGTGCATTAAATAATAAAAAGAGAAAACACTTTAAATTTAACATGCCTAATTCTGTGCTTTAAAAAATTTAAAAAAAAACCTATTATAAATTTGATATTGCTAAAAAAATCATTATATGCAAAATTAAATCTATGTATTTAAACATAAATGCATTGCACATAAAGTTTATGAGCTTAGTGTGCATGACATCTGTAAAATAACAAATAAAATTTATATTGGAAGATTATCCATTGAAACAAATTAGTATTCACCCACTATTTTTATTGAGAAAAAGTAAAAAAGAATTATAAATACATACTTATTATTGCAGTAAATTTTAAGAAAGTATAATATTAGAAAAGTAACCCCTAGATATTTGTATCTAGATTCAAAAATCATTCTATAATTCTTATCATATAGTCCTTATAGATTTCAAAATAAATAAATATTTATTTTTGTTTTTAAAGAAATAAAGATTAAGTTTCTTTTGTACACAAATTGCAGTAAAAATAAAAATAAATAAAACTGTTAAAAAAATAATTAGAAATTTATTTAAGAAGGATTCAACAAAAGACAGTTGTTTGATATTTACTTGAAACCTTTTGTTCCTGATTGACTGCATTTTTCAAGAAAACATTTATAATCTATTTTACTATCGGGACAAAGACAAATACCTATTCTGAAAGAAAAAAAAAACATCACAATTATTATCTATGGAAGTGCACTTTACAAGAAGAAGGAAAAAATATATATTAATTATTCATATCAAATTTCTACACATTAAAAATAAGAAAAGAATTGTTGTGTAATTATTACATTATTGTTTATAAAATTATAATTCTATAAAGAAAACCAGCTAACTAGCAAAGTTTACAAGGAAGTCATTTGTTCATAGTAGCAAAATAATTGTGCATGTGAGAGTTATGCCTTCAGAATTAATGTAAGAGTCAACATTATACATTAAAAAATTTAACAATGCATTCAATTTTGTGCATTGTTGTCTCTCTACAGTAAATATTTAAGTGATCAAAATGTCACGATAAATCAGGATACAAATCGAAATTTGGTTTGTTGGCGCAACGCCACTAGTATCTGACTGAGAGTTATTATGAAACAATAATTTGAGCTGAAATCAAATTGCAGAATTGGTTTTTTTTTTTTAATCTTTAATCTACGTTTCTTTATCACAATTGTGAATAGTACACTATTTTTGTACTTTTTCATTCAATTTCACTCTAACCACTTTATGTGAACTTTAACAACTTTATGTTAACTGCAAAAATATGTAAGGATTAGGGAAGTATTTGAATTGTCAGTTCTTTGCAGTGGTGAAGGTTATAAAGAGTTTGGGGATTAAAACCTTTTTCTGAAATTCCTGTGAAGATTTAAATCAGTTATTATCCACAAGAAAAAAAGATTAAATTCATAAAAAGACAGTAATAAGAAAAGTAATAAAATTACAATAATGCATTAATAAACACAATGCAAATAAACACAAAGTTTTGCAGTATTAAAAAAAATTACAATTGTTTCCAGCTCATTTTGCTTAAATGTAAAGTTGTTTACTTCAATCATTATGAATCATTATGAAAATTATGAATGAGGCTGATAAAAAAAAATTTAAAAAATGAGGACAGTTAAGTCAGTTCCTTATCATTCAAAATTAAGCATAAAAGGTTGGGCAAAATAACGAAAATTTAGGTTGGACAAAATAACGAAAACACTTTCTATAATGACAGATTTTTTTAGCCATTTCAAAAAAATACTTAGAGAACAATTTCTTAAATTTCGAAGTCTTTAGGTTAGGCGATTTCTCATAACTTATCATGAATACAAAAGGAAAAAAGTGTTTTGAACACCCTATGCCAAAAAATGTAGCAATAAATTTGTAACTTCACAGTTATTTTGGTTATTATATGCAATAATTGCACAAAATGTCCTAAATGCAGCTTAAATATTTATGGTGATATGGACATTTTCATTAAATAAACTAATTTTTTTATCTTACGTTTGTTTTGCTATAACTTTAAAAATTTTCAATAAAATTAAACAAAATTTCTGGAGCAATTTAAAATTAATAAAAAAATTATTATTTCAAAATTTGAGAAAAATTTGTTTAAAACTGCAAAAGATATGAGTAATTAAAATAGTTCTTCTATATATAGTCCATGCACCAGGAAAAATTATAATTATTCCGTTACTTTATTTTGTAGTGAAACGTATTTGGCAACAAAAGTCCAGTTAAATATTTCGATAGTTAAAAAAAAATTCAGATTTAAATATTTTTAAAATTTAAAAAGTTTCAAGGAATTTTCTAAGTAGTTTTCATATTCTTTAAAAGAAAGTATGAACGTTTATTGTAAGGTATTATCATTTGTTATTTAATTGTGTCTCATCATACAAAATAATATTTATAGAAAATCCCGTATCCTTTTGAGTTTCTTTTAAAAAGTACAAAAGCTACTTAGAAAATTGCTTGAAACTTTTTAAATTTGTAAGATATTCAAATCAGACTTTTTTCATTAAATGTCAAAATACGCTACAAAAATATGGCAATTTTTTTTTTTTTTTTACATTTTTCCTGCACATGAGAAGTATAAAAGAACTACTTTAATTATACTTATATATTGCACAGTTTTCAATGATTTTTTTCCTTCAAATTTCAAATAAAAATTTTAATTACCTAATTTTAAATTGCTCTAAGAATTTAATTGATTGTTTTTAAACTTATAGCAAAAAACACTCTTAATGTTATAAAATTATATTAAGTATCGCTAGAGAAATATGAAAAAATGCATTAGTATAGAAGTGTTTCCGTTATTTTGACACCCCCTGCACGTTTAGGTTACATTAAGTAATCTATGAGTTGAAGAATTCATAGAAGGAAAAAAATTACAATTGTTTATCTGACACTCTATAGAAATTCTGTCATTTGTTATGAGTGTTCAAATGTAATTATTTCGTTTCTTTTATTCAAAAATAAAAATAAATAATACAATCTTGCATCGAAATTTTATAATTATTAAAAATTCCTTACCAATTGAAGAAAATATACAGTTCTTGTTACTTTATTATTTAAATATTTTAAATAACTGACAATGTATTTCATTTTATTTAAAATAATTTTGTAAACATTTGTTTCAAAAATTATGATGTTCTAATTAAAAAATATTGTCAACTTCTCTTAACAATTCTTTTTATTTTTAATTTAACTATTATTGACAGATTTTTCTGAAGACTTAGAAACATGAACAAATTGATATTAATAATAAATCAATACTCAAATTATAAAATCCATTGAAACTAGAGAGAAATTCTCAGATCATCCTTTAATAATTAATGTGCTGATACTAGAAGACCTTAGAATAGTTTACTTTGATGAATATTATCAACAAAAGTATTGGTTATTGAATATTCTGACTAACCTTTTCATCACTTGGTGGAACATTGGTGGAGACAAAGGCATCAAAAAGAAATTTATTGCTCCAATAAAATCAGATAATGCTATAATGCCATTTTTTTCATAGTCAAACACATTAAAAATTCTCTTTAAAAGTTTTGATTTATAATAAAGCTGTTAGAAGGAAAAAATATTTTATTACTTTAGTGAAAATAAGCATGATTTTTTTAAATAACATTTTTATTTTCAAATTAGAGTTTGTACTGAATGTTAATTAATGTTACATTTGAACTTAATATTGCATTAGATGACTGTTAAGCCATGATAATAATGGTTGATAATACTATCGTGTCTTTATAATTTGTAGAGAAATTTTAACAACACTGATCCCTAACTCAGTAATATATGCACTTGATTTTAAGATAATAGTTCAAAACATAGATGATAGTTAGGGCTGCAGGTCTGTCGCGGCGCGAATTTCCGTGAAATTGTCATCTTTTTTCCTAAAATCCACAAATTTCTCAATATGTCTTGACTTGTGCGAAAATTGCTTAAAATTTGATTTTTTTTCTTTCATTTTTTATTTATTATTTTTATTAAACAGAATTTTTTATTTTCCTGAACCTTAAATTGAACATGTAAAATTGATTAGATATTTAGGGGAGTGAATCAATAGCAAAATGACATGAAAATAGTTCAGAGATAATCACAATCTTGTCAACTAAGGTGGTCTTTCTACACTTAGGAATGGTAATTACCTTTCTGAAGTCAGTAAGAGTACAAAAGAAATTGGAATCACAAAAGAAGGAAAATGTTATAAATCAAATCTTTGACAGAAAAATTGTTATACATGCTATTGCACTGGGCAATGAAATTTCTACTGCCTTTCTACATATCCAGCTAATTTTTCCTAGACGGCTTCTTGTGATTTCTTAAATATGGATCAGTTTCTTAGATGAAGGGGGGGGACTAGTAGTTAGTAGGGACTTGTAACTAGTAGTTTGAATGTAAAATGCTTGAGTTTTTAGAGCAATTACTTCTTACAAAGCAAAGGAATTGAGCGTTGGTGAAGGAAAATTGATCGAGTTTTGGAAATCAAAGACCGAACGCTCCAAAATTGGCAAAAGTGGCAATTCGAAGTTTGTCGTTGCCTAAAAACAGCGTTGACGCAGAAAGATCGTTTTCTAAGTATAAAAATGTATTAAGTGATGAAAGGCGAAGCATAAATGAGAATAATCTGACAATGTGCAATACTTTGTACCAAAATTCTGTTCATTTAAATAAAAATATTAATATTGCTTGAAATTCAAAGAAATACTTTTGTTGTGTATTTTTAAGCTTTTTTTTATTGTTTGCACAGTTTCTGTCTTTTGCATCATTTATATAACAGGGGTGATTGTGAGCCCAAGTCAAAATTCCAGAAAATTTCTTGAGTTAAAAAAAAACAAAAAACAGTTGATTGAAAAAAAATTTAAGCAAGGTTTTTTTCCTATATTTCTTAGTTTACTTAAGATATATTTAAAATTTTACACATACCTATACCATTTACACATAGCTATGATGACCTGGAGAGGTAATTAAAATTTACAAATATGTCTTTCTTTCTTGAGTTTATGATTATAACAACTATTTACTGATAAAAAAGGAATATTAATCATGAATATAAGCTTATAAAGTATCTCTCTAGCTCTCCTTTACAAACAAATAAAATAAACTGTGTTTTTAAGTTCCACCTTTGAAAATTTGATTTCCGGAAACTTCTGCGATAAATGATATTTTGAAACGTCTGGACCTTCGATCTCTGGAATCTTCCAGATCACTGTTAGCGAAAATTCCGGAAATCCGGATTTTTTCCGGAGCACAATCACCCCTGATATAATAAAATTTTTTATGTTTAGAATTTGTGTAATTTTCAAAATTTCCCGCGATTTTTCAGCGAATTTGGGGTCTTTTTTCCCGCGACAAACTTGCAGTCCTAATGATAGCTTTATAAATAAAATCTTCAAAGGATTTTTTGCTTCCGGTGATAGAAATTCTTTTTACAGTGTTTAGCGCATATACAAAAATGCTCCTTATTTTTACTTAAAAATTGCCAGATAAAAAGAAAATAATACTAATGATAATTGTTTTTGCTAGATCTTACACATAATAAAAAAAATAAACAAGTGTTTTAAAATTTTACATTAATATTTTTAAAAAAAGTAGTGGAACTAGTCAGACACAAAAGAAAGTAAGATTAAAAATAGATTATGATAATCATTTTGTTGTGAGATGAAATTACAATTAGTTAGACACTAGTATTGAATAAAAAATTAGACGTTAATACATTTACTGTTAAAAAAAAAGAATAGAAGTATTTATAATTGCTTTCATGAAATTCATAAAAAAATTATTTGATTTCTTTACTTAGAATAGGATTAGGAATGATTAAAAAAATTATAAATTTATGAGAATAAAAAGGATTTTAAAAGTTAGGAAATATGCAATGTCTATAATGACATCATAATGACATTTCGTATCATTAGATTTTAAAAAATGTTTTTTAATGAGATACTATTTAAAAAAGTAGTCATGATAGAATTTCACTAAAATTTTTGCATCTGCTTTTAGAATAAAACTGATTATGTAACAAAATTCAAGATCATTTGCATTCCACAAAAAAGATTATTAAAATCCTTTTATACCAGTACATATGCTAAAATGATGTTGAATAGTTGGTATAACTTTCTGGTGAACATCTCTTAAGATTGCATAGGAACTAAATAATGATTTTCCTAAAATGTACCAGAACTTAAAATTTAATATAACTTATAAATAATAAATGTAGACAGTAAAATTTCTACTTCGCAATCATTTGCAAAGTAGAATGTGCAATTATTGGGTTGTTCGGTTTTTATGTTTGTTATTTCCCAACACAGGACTTTACTGTATTTTTTTACACTTCACATTTAAGCCGCATAATTATCATATATTTTAGCAAGGCTTAAGTGTATAAAAGTTGGATTGATTCTATGCAGCAGTTTTTGGTTGGAGTTCTTTTAAATATGGAAAGCAAAAAGCTGCATTTTGGTATATTTTTCTTTGAAAAAAAAATTATCCAATGATTATAGAGAAGATGTATTGGCTGGTTTGCAAAGTTTTGATCCCGCAATATTGATGCTTAATATACACCAGATTCTGAAAATCCAGTTAAGAAATAATAAAAGCATTAATTGATGCAAACCTGCAAATAACAATTCGTGAGATTACTGAGAGATTAAATTTATTGAATTTAAGCATTTATGATCATTTGAAATGTCTAGGTTTAATATCAAAGCTCAACATATTAAGCTCCTCAAGTTCTTAAGGAAAGAAATTTGTGCCACTATGTCGACATCTATGATTTGCTTCTTAAACGGCAAGAAAAGTATCTACTTTTTAAGCTCATTATCACTTGGAAACGAAAAATGGGTTGTCTACATATATGTTCTGGTCTCTAAAAAATTTTTAGATGGTAAAATCTTTACCCCAAGTCAGGAGATTAAAAATCACCTAGATCTGTTTTTTGGCAACAAAGAACAAAAATTTTATGTACGTGGAATAATGCCACTGTCAGAAAAAGATGGAAAAGGGCATTGGACTAGAATGGATGATTTATAATTCAATTAAATATATTTATTTACTGTAAGAAAATAATTTTTCATTTTATAAAAAAAAAACTTTATGAACCCAATATTTGTTTTCCCTCTAATATCACAAATACAGAAGAAAAAAATTATTATTATTAATTTAAATAATAGCAACAGACTAAGAATGAATCAGAATAATGATGTTTAGAATTTAACAAAGCTAGAACTAAAAATGAAGACTTAGTGACATTTCTTTGATGAGAAGTGAAAATTCAGAACATAAATTGACTAATTAATGGACCATGAAAACATAATACATAAAAACTAAAAACACAATATTACTCGCTTAAGGAATTCAGAAACAATTTCTTCAAGCGGAAGCCCCATAATAGCCGGATCATCCTTATTCTCAAGAGCAAAACGCCTAGTTCTTCTATCAAAGCTGAAACGTGAAACAAAAAATTTAAATAAATTTCTAAATTACGAAGAAAATAATAAAATTAAATAAAATCATGCCTTAATTGATTTAGCATCCCAAAAAATATTTATTTTTTACTGTTAATATTTAAAGAATAAAAAACTGTACTATTTTATGTTAATTCATACATTTTATAAAGCCTTCATTTTAATAAAAGTCCACCTTCATCTTTATTCATTTAAACCAGGGGTTGCCAAACTTTTTTGATCATCGACCCCTACATAATTTTTCGAAATCTCCATCGACCCCCATAAAAGTAATTTTCTGTTAATTAAAATAAAACTCTATTAGATACTGTGTTTGTACATTTATTTTATGATTTTGAACATTTATTAAAGTAATAGTACATAGTGTAACAATAGTTTTATGAAAAATATATTAATGTTGAAACATAAATACCTTAATATTTATGAAATAATAAGTAATTATAAGTAAGTAGAAATAATAAGTAAAATAACTACGGATTCATTGCTTCTTAATCAATGACATGGGTGTGCCTGGTGTTTTTTTATTTTTTTTATTGTCAATTTTAATCTTAAATCCCCCTCGAAACTCCACACTTAATTTATTTCTGTTCTTAGTTAAGATTGAATTAACAGGACTGAAACCGGCTTCAACCATATAGGAACTTGGAAATGCTATCATAAATAAGGGAGCTATTTCGTAAAGTCTTACATATTTTTGCATTATATTTATATTTGTCCAAAATTTGCTTATTGCTAAATTTTTAAAAAGCGTCTTTGCTTCAAATCCCCATAATAATTCAGCAAGCTTATCTTGCAGGTTGATGTCCACGTTTTCAATTTGAGCAGAAAATGGCACAATAATCCAATCAGGGATGTCAATGTTTTCCAAATCAACAAAACGCAGTTTAAAATAGTCGCTCAATTTTTGAAGTTTACCTGTATATATTTCCAAGTCTTCTTCTTTTATTTCTAATTCTCACATATCTGAAAAATACTGTTAATCCTTCGACCAATCGACCCTTCCGGTTCGGATCGACCCCCGCTTATGTTAAATAGACCCCTGGGGGTCTATATAGACCACTATCGACCTCTGATTTAAACATACTGAGATATTAAGTCTATTGAATATAGTGTTTTTATAATTTGTCTGATTTGTGGAGCCTCTATTTGGCAGCAGAAATAGGCTAGAGGTGTATTAGTTTTAGAAAAAAATAGAAATGACTCATATGAACATGAATCCGAGGCCATCTTTATTTTTAATATTTTTAATTACTAAAGTGGAGTTGATCAACTGTTCAAATAAGGATTTCTAACAATATGCGTAAGATTCCAACTTACCAATAACTCAAAAACCAGCTAAATAAATACAAATAAATGAAAATTTTGACATTTAATTAATAATAATTATTTCAACAAAATCTAAAAATATCAAGAAAGACTTAAGTTTGTAGTGAACATAAGAGAAAGTGAATTGGGTACTGCCATTTTCCCATCTGTATGGTAGTCTTTTACTTCTTATTTTCTTCTTCCAACATCTACACACTTCTAATCCTACATGTATGACAAACGTAATTCCAGAAAATTTTTTTAATACTTACTTTAAAGCATGTATGTCAAGTTTAAATATCATGAAAATGATAATTATAACTTTATATATATAGCTTACAACAACTAAATCTCTGTTCAAAATCATCATAAAAATTCTGTAGATTCAAAGGACATATTTCATACGATTATAAATTTATTAATAATCAATTAAATCAAATAATCAATAAAAAAAATAAAAATTATTATGAAAAAAGTTTTTTGTTTGGCATTGTTCGTGGAGCGGTGCATTGTTTAGTGTCGTTGTGTTAGTGGAGCAGACTGACATAACGAAAGGGTTAAAAACTATGCAGAAAATGTGCTCATTCCATTATAAATTTCTTTGTTAAACATAATACAAAGAGGCTCAGGGGATAGAGAATTGGCCTTCCAATGAGGTGAAACGGACTCGAATAACAGGGATGGCTGGTTAATACGAATTCGGCTTGCACCGATCCCAGTGCTGACTTGATATATCCTCAGTGATAGATGAATCATGAGTTAGAGTATCCTCTTACTGTCAGGCTAACCGTAGAAAGTTTTCATGATTTTCCTTGCCATGTAATGCAAATGCGGGTTAGTTCAATCAAAAAGTCCCCCGCAAGGGCAAATTTCTCCCAATACTTGATCCAGGAGTTCCCTTGTCTTTTGTATTGGGTTCAAAATTACAAGGCTGCGGAGTTGAACATTACAAAATCTTAAACGCAAAATTGGGTCAGCTGTTCAATGACAATTATAAAATAAAATATAATACACCTTTATTTTACTTAATTTCTAACTTTTATTTAGTGATAAATAACAGAACAAGATATTTAAGAATTTAATTTAGAACAAGATATTTAAGAATAAAACATCAAGAGTGCTACTTCTTACTTTAAATCCTGTGTTAAATTTTTTGATTGTTTGTCTGACCAACACAAAGCTTGAGCAACAGTCTCTGATGGCATAAAAGTCCTATATCGATCAGCATTGATACCTAGTTTTATCAGAAAGTCTTTATAACTTATTGTTCCTTTACATTTCGGATCATGAACCTTCCACAACCTTTTAATAATACAAAAATGTTTGATCATAAATATCTTAAAACTCATCACAGATACAATAAAGCAAAATAAATATATATATATATAATTGAAATGTAGCAATTGCCATTTATAAGTAAAATATTTTAAGGTATTTCATTTTTAATATTTTTTATACATTAATACATACAAAGGAATGGTTTTAAAATATTATGGATATTGTATAATTTATAGTTGTACAAAACAGCTATCTTGTACAATCTTGTTTTTTTCTTGAAGTTTTTAGCAAAGAAAAATGATTAAATAAACAGTAATTAATAATTTGGGAGTGATATTTAAAAATGAAAGTAAAGTGATAATTTCCAAAATAGCGAGCTGAGAATAAAATTTGCTTATAAAAATATATCTTTTAAAAGATGGAGAAGATTTAAAACTTTTTTATACATACTCATTGAATAAATGTTCACTGAGATCAAAGCAGTAGTTTTTAATTATTCGTCGCAATTCTGATTTTTGAACCATACCATCTTTATTTACATCAAACAGCCAAAAAGATCGAATCACATCTCGAAGAATGGGCATAATCTATTAAAATACAATTAGAAATTCTTCATTTTAGATATGAGAGCATTAAAAATAAAAATATTATTACAGATGAAATATCAAACAAACTAATAAGTTCCCATTATATTTTACTATAATTTTAATAAAGCTGTTTAATTTTATCAATTAACAATTTTGAGGAAGAGTAAGAAATGATAAAAACTAAAAAATGATTGTGATAAATATTTCGTTAACATAGAACATATGTACTTTACTCTCTAACATGAACATTGATGCAAAAGATTAACATAAATACAAGTTCATAAAAGGAAGGCATAAAAGCGGATAAAAGTAAAAAAAGCTGAACTTTTACAATGTAGACACTGGAAGGTGGAGGGGAGAGTGTTTTATATTGTGACATAAGATATATAATAACATAACTCAGGCTGAGATTTTTAATTTATATTAAAAGTAGTAGAAGAATTTAGACAGTGAAATTTAAATTTTTCTTAAATATAATTTAAAATATCTTTGACCACAATGATATTAAAGAAAATTAAGTAATATATAAGACTTAATAATCATCATTTTAAATTAATTACCAGTCAATCATTTTAAATTAAAACAGCCACCAACTTTAACCTCAATATCTTCTAAAAGAGTGTTATTAACAGTTTTAGTCACTTTGACTGTTTTATTTAACCAATCAAACTTGAATTAATTTTTTTCTGCAGGATCAATCGTACGCACTTTGAGTTCGCCTATCAAATTGACTTTCATTGTCAAAATACATTCATCTTACGATACACCACGTAAAAAAGACACAAGTAAACGAAAAAGAAATATACGCACGGACAAACACAGGACAACCAAAAGGAAGAGCTAGTAGAGTCGAGAGAAGTATAATGTACGGATGCGCAAATTCAATATGTGTCATACCAAGGAGTAAAACCCTGGATATCAGTAGCCAAAATGAAACTGCTTAGAAATCAAGAACCTCATCCTTTCCACTCTACAGCGGAAGTTGCGGTTGTCAAGGCAATGGAACCAATCAAAGCCCACTAATCTACACCAGACAACCATTCTTTCCCAGGAGGCTACTGCATGGGAAAAAAAGTTTGTTCCAAGTAGGGATAGCGGGCGGCTTGGATTTCGGCAGCTATGGGGACTGTAAAAATTCTGTAATAATTGTACAAAAGTTGGGAGAAAAAGCGAATTTTTGGTTTTTCTCAGAAATCTGTCATCTCTGAAGAGGTATGAAAATATATAATGGATTTTCTAGAGAAGCATCTCAAAATTTATTTTTATTGCATACCTCTTTCATTCAATTTTTTCAAAAAATATACTTATAGCTAGAAAATCAAGACATTTTGTCTGAAATTTGTCTAAGAAAAATACCTACATAAAATGAGAATACATGAAATCAGGCATTACAAAACAATCAATTTAGACTAATTTTCAACTATTACTCCAGAGCAAAAGTCCTTTTTAAAAAAATCAACTTTATTTAAATGGATAATACAATTATCAATAAAATTAGTTTTCAATTGAGAGAAAACACCTTTTCTTTTATTCGGAGTTCTACTTCATCAATGGGCAAATTATCAAGCCTAAAACATAAAATAAATGTAATTATAGATAAAATTATTCATAAATCAAGTTTAAAACAAATAATAAAACTTTATACAAATGCCTTGCTTGAATTCAGTGAAGGATTAGATGTTACAATAATGTTTCAATCAATTTTAATATTAAGGGAAGCCACTGTTCCTCTTCAGTTTCTTAATTTTTCTTCTAAATCATTGCTTACCTATAACTTTAGCAGTTGAGTAAAAATGCAGTTTAAATTAAAATTAGTCAAATCTATGTAAATATGTTGAGTTATATAACACATCTCAGCTCATTTGTCAAAAAATTATACAAAGGTTTGGCAACCCCTGATAAAATCATGATTGCAACATAAATTTCCAACAAAAAAAAACATGTCAAAAAACAAATATGGAATTCGTGAAATGTAAAAAAGACTGCATGTGCAAATGCAACTTTCTATCCTCAAGACCATCAAAGAGTTGACATTTTATAGGATGGGACAGATAAGGCCTAACATAAAAATGAGAAGAATTTTGGTAGAAAAATAATAATTTTTCTTTATTTTTGGATAAATTTTTTGAAAAATAATTTCCCAAATTATTAAAAACAATTTATTTATTTCATTTTAAATTATGTTGGAGAAGTAATAATCACAATAACAAAGAATTTTTCATTGTGGAATCAATTAGACTTAATTCAGATTTTGAGAAGAGAATGTGTAAAAAAGTGAATAGTCTTATTATTAAATTCATTTGTTTACTTATACAAACTTCAAAATAGTATTTTATTTTTAAAAAGCAAGATCTACTACTACTTCATGATTAAACTTCAAGAAGAGGTGATAAACAAGGATATATACTGCAGAGGCATGGTGTATAACAAAATAAATAACCCATCATCTTATTTTTCATTCAACCCCTATTTTGATGAAATCCAAATAAACCAGGCAAATGCACAAATGAATAGAAGGTCTTCAGATATGAAAATATACAATAAGTACTGAGTTTAGGGTTTATATATATAAGAGATAGTATAAAATTTAAAGTTTTTTTTCCGTTAAAGGCGTAAATTCTGCAACCAATGATAAAATTGAAAAATTAAAAAGCACCTAAGGGGTATTTTATACTTGCTATTATACCAGCTAATTATTAAAACCACAACAGCTAATTTCCACAAGCGTCTATTAAAAGGTCCTCCTAAAATCTGCAATAGCTAAATTTGAGCAATAATAAATTATTTATTCTAAATAAGTGTTTGTATTCAAAATCATTACCTTCTGAGTGTTTAAATTAATAAAAATTAATCTCCTAGATTTTTGACCTTCAACAAGTCAGCAATTTATTTCAATTATTATGCTTACTTTCAGTTCAGTACTAACCTTTCAGTAGATTTTTCATAAGTAATGCTTTTTCCATTTGTTAAATTTGAGAAAAAATCCATATAGTTAATTTTTCCACTTTGATAAAGGTTATGCTATAGAAGAAAATAGCAAATTTGAAGTATTTTTAGCAACAAAAAAAGAATTAAAAAACTGGAAATTCTTTAAACTTTTAGTATTTTTAAAATTATGTGTACGATACATATACATAAGTAAGCTTGATCAATCAATGGCAGCTTGAAGCTCTCCAGTTTCAGATCAATAGATGCCAACTTGGCTCGAAAGTAAAGATGGCATTGCTCGCAATGTTGGTCCCCTTGTTAGAATCATGTTGTTGGTCATGAAATTGTGGAGTCTTAACCTCCATGAGTCCCTTTGCCCACAATGGACTGCTTCAGATTTTTTTTTTTATATACAAATAAACAATTTAGATTTTAACCATTAAATACATTTAAACCAATCTAAAATGTATCAAAACAAAATATGTACAAATTTCAAATTAAGTGAAACTAAGCTGTGTGTTCTAACTAGAGTTATAATAATAGAAGTCTAATTAGAACAAAAATACATGATAACTGTACAATATTTAAACAGTCTTAGAGTCATTCATTTTTAATTTGATTATAGTTAACTTATATAATTTTAGTCTGTCTTATGTCAGTGTGCCTTTGTTTGGATTATTTTTTTCCTCTCAGAATGTATCTCTCAGAATTACTAGAGTAGATTTATCAAGTATTTAATTTCGAATTAAATTTTATTATCTTTTTGTTTATGCTTTTAGAAGGATATTGACATCATCTTAAAAACTGTTTCTGCAGTATAAGAGGATTTTTTTCCTTTCTTTTTTTCTTTTAATTTGGAGTATGTCGCTAATCGCAAGTAACTTATCATAATCAGTGAAGGACCAAATATTTGCGTATAGAGAAGAACCTGAATCGTTTTTTTCTTCTCAAGAAACCATTCATTACGAACGATAGATATGGGGAAATGATGAATGCGTGTAAATTTTATACTGATAATTACTACAAATAATGATATACAAATGATTAAAAAATGATGAAAATTAATAATCTTACAATAAGTAGAAAATTTAAATGAAAAAATTAAGTACTATCAGCAAAAAATTTTTACGATGCGAAAGGATAAATAAATACATTTATTTATTTAAAATATTTGAAAATTTTTGATGTCTTTCTTCTCAGCATGAACAATAAATTTTAGCCAATTATTTGCACAATTGCTGCTCATTTTCTGAAAGTTTGCCTGAATACAAAAAGTTCCCCATAGTTGTAAAGGCCTTCCACAAATGTTTGCGCTAATTTATTGCGTTAAGTTCGGTCCTCATCCGTGTGCCTATGCCTTTCTTCAAACATTTCTTGAATTGACAACATCACAAGAATCAACATTTTTTCAAATGAAGCATAAATATCAAACCTACTATTTGAGGCGTTTTACTTAAACTGTATAAAATCCACATTTTCTTGAAATAAACTGGTAGAATTTCTGAACACTATATGCAGCAATATACTAGTTTAAAAAAATGATCTAAAAGGGTATTATTAATATAATTAGAATAGTATTTATGACGGGACTTTTAAAACAATACGATACATACGGGAAAACAAAAAATGAAGAAGAGATGGATCAAGATTTGACTGTATTAAGTAATGGATAAAATAATCCAGGAATCCCATTTGTAAATTGGTTTACAAAAATTTCAGGTTGTTCACAGTTTCACCTGCTTTGGTTCTAAAGTTACTGCTGACAATAGCATAATCAAAGAGATCCAAAATCGCCTAATGTATGCAAATAAAGTCTTTTTTTTTAATTGAAGCAATTCATTAAATTCTTATTACTATCAAGAAATACAAAAACTTTATTAAATAAAACAATCAGGTCAATAATCATTAAGTGTTCAGAAACCTTAACTCTAACAAAGGCTGAAAATATATAATAGCCATTTTCAAATGGAAAATTCAGTGGATCATTCTTGATTAAGATAGAAATCAACTATGTTTGAAGAAGATTATAGCTTCAAATGATCAAAGATAGTCAAATATTGTAAAAAATATATAAAAATAAGTTAGCTGAATGAGCTAAGTGGCTCATATTGAAAAGATAATATTCAATATGAGTAGATATATAGTATGAGTAGAACAAGTACAGCGAACTGATGATGATTTTCCATTAAAAAAATTTTTTAAAAAAAACTCTTCTCTAATAACCATTTACAAGCAGAAAAATAGGGAGATCCAGATTGAGATGGCAGACACCGAATTATTTGCTATCTGATTGAAGAACTGGCACAAAAAATGTCAAAGGTGGAAGAAAACTCAAAGAAGACACATGACAATCTAGAAGAAGATTCAAATTACTATCAGTCTCCAGTTAGGAAAATGTATGCCCAGGAACAGTTTATACATAGAAAACTGCTGGGAATTTTAAACACTTTTGTAATGTCAAATGTTGACCTTGGTAGTGTGTCCATATAATGAGGTTTACATGTTCATTGTATATCCCACATGAACTGAGGAAGTTCTACTAAATTGATTGATTTGAAGTTCAATTACAATTGTTAATATAACAAACAAATTATGAATTCCATATTTTTTTAATTAAAGAGCAGTTCTATATGTTCGTAAATTTTTTTGTTAACATTTTTAAGTAATTGCAACAAAAATGGATGAGAAAAAAATTTAACAATAATTAAAACTAAATTAATCAAATATAAATAGCTTCCTCGTATTATATTCCTTGATGATATACACAATTAAATTTAACATGTTCTTCACTGAAAAATAGTAAAGGATAAAAAGCTAACAGTGAAATAGAAAGAGAATATTAGTATTAAAAATATAATTATTAAAGCTAATTCAACCATAATAAATTGTGAGAAGAGAAATAAGTCATACTTCATTTAAGAGAGCATCAAACTGAGCTGCAGTAATTGGAAAACAAAAAGTTCTTAGAACTTGTCTTAAGTGTGTCTTTTGTATCTTTCTGGTAGCTCTTCGGTCAAAGTTTCTACAAGCCTGAAATAAAAAATTTAAATATTTTTTCAAAATATAATGAAATTAATATATTTGTTATAAAGATTTAAAACATGTATATAGATACGCACAATAGGATTCTTCTTCTCTTGCAAGAGGTATTAATTTCACAGTTTTAATAATTTAAGTAGTTGATAGATTGGCTGCACATTAGTATTTGTTAAGTGAATCAATTTTATAAATAGAATGCTGCTCGTTTTTTCGTCCCATTCATTTTCATTTGCTTTACATGATTTTTTTTTATCAATTTCAAAAAAGGGAACAAAAATTTTAAAGAAGATTATAAATGCTATAGGTTAAACAATATTGAAAAAAAAACAAGAAAAATAATTATATAAACAACACGAAAAAAATAACCGAATTAGTTACTTTTCATAACAAATATAGAAAACATTCAGTTAAAAAAAAACTTTAGAAAAATACATGTAACCATACCATTTAATTTATTTTATAAAACAACCAGAAAGGAAAAGAAAAGAGTGGGAACTGTCAAGGTTTAAAAAAAATTTTTTTAATAACAGGACAGTTTTTTTTTCTTGTAGCTTATGAACCATTTTTTTTTTAATTGAAGAACACCTATTTAGCTAAATGCTAAAATTAGATTCAGGAAAATAGAATTAAAACTGTTATACAAATAGAAATCTGCAAGAATTGTGAGAAGTTTATTAAAGCAGAAAAGTTGGCAGTGGTAGTGTCATTGCGACAGTCGAGCCAAGCTCCTACTCTTCGAAAATAACTTCCAACTTTCACTTGCCTTGATGTAGGAGATTTAAACAATCTCTTTTCACAGCTTTTGACAGACACACTTGATACCTTACGCTGAAATTTGATGCGCTGAACATTTCATATTTCTTAACTAATCAAATGTTATTTTCTTAATTATTATGTAAATATTTAATTATTTCTTTCAATTCCAATTAGTATTATTTATTCATTTTTATTAAATTTATAATCAATATTAAACTGGTACCTTAAAACATGAATGTGTAACTCATGCTTAAAAGATATAGCGCTCACTGCTCAACCTTACTTTTGGTTCACCAAAATTTTTTCCAGTAAGTTTACTCTTTTATTGGTTTATGCTAAGAGAGTCCTGCAGAATTTTTTTTCTAAATCTTGTGTGACTTTATTTCTCTCATTGTTATTTAATGTTAACATTTTTTTTCCATAATTAGGCATGGCCAAATTTGTTGTATAAATGTTTCAAACCTCAACCTTTAACCCTAAGTACTTGCAATATTTGCCGGAGTCATGGTCTAGCCTATCTCCCACTCTTCTAAAATAACTTCAACTTTAAATTGCCTTGACAAATGAGATATAAAAAATCTCTCTCTCCACAGCTCTTAACAGATACACTCGATACCTTATGCTGCGTGGTGATGTGTTGAGCGTTTAGTATTTCTTATTTAACTTTTAACTATTTAACTGCAATTTTATTATTCAATCTTTATGTAAATATTAAATTGTTTCGTTTAAATTCTAATTAATATTGTTTATTTATTTTTATTATTTATTGAAATTATAATTAACGCTAAACAATAATAAAATTAATTAGAAAATATAGATTTTCTTCCATAGAAATTTAGCACCACAGTTCAAAGACACTGCAGAGAGAATTATATTAAAAAAAATTTAAAAGTTTTACTTTTCATATTAATATATTTTTATGAAATTTGTTTTTAGCTCACAACTTATATTAAACTAATCATGCGCACTATAAAGTTTTTTTTAATAAAGAAAATTGTCATTAAAACTTCCTTTTCTTCATTTTGTTTTGCATCCATCACTAGGCTTTAAAAACAATTTCAAGTATTTTATTTTTCTCATTGCAAATACATCATTAACATAATATTTTTTAGAAGATTAGTGTATTACATTGCATATTATACAAATATAATATAGATTGTTAGTTACAAATTCGATCTAAAACAATTAAAAAAAATTATTATGGAAATGAAATTGATCATTAAAAATAGATAACTTCAATGTTTAACAACAATACATTGAATTCAAACCTGTACTATATCGCTTCCTCTGAGATCTATTAATTCTATCAGACGTTCCTTGATCTGTGAAACAGGCATGTTCGGTTTCAAATCATACTCAGGAAATGAGGCAATTGATGACAAACTTGCAGATGATGCTAAAAATTATTAAACAATTAAAATTATTATTTTTATTAACAAACAAATTAATAGTTTTCACAGGCTAGAACACGATAGTGATAATGTCCAACTTAAACTTAGGGACTTTTCTGACAATCCAACTCCAACTTAGATTGTATTCTAGGAAAGTATAAATATTTTATTAAGCATAAAAACGTTATAATTTCAAACTATGTATTCCTCTTTTTTTCAGTACAATTGAAATAAAAAATATTTTATTTAAAAATTACATTTTATACTATATCATACCAGAGCGTGAAACAAATTTTAATAAACATATTACTATAAAATCTTGAAATAGTGCAAAATCATCATAAGGAAAATCTAGATATAAATATCTCACAAGCGCATACATAAGCATCTTATGGTAAGAAGATATTTAAGTGAATATTTAGGACCTACAAATGACTCATTAAATTCATTTGTGTTATCTTTTTAAATATCTTTATAATTTAGCTAATTAACATCAATTTTTTAGTACTTTAAGTAATTTTTGAGCATATTTTAAATTGTTCAATCAAGAATCGAAAATGTTCAACTATAATTATTTAAAGAAAAAGTCGCGATTTAAATAATTTTAATAATATTTACTCGAGTATTTTTTTCGTATAATTATAAACATTTGTCTAAATAATTTTCATAAGATCAAAGACTTTTCTTTTTTAAACCAATAGGACCCAACATTTAACTAAATGGAGTCAGAGTGAGAAATTTTTACCGCTCTAATTTTACAGCCCTGTTTTTTTTTTCATCAATAAATATATAAACCAGAGATTATTGTATTTTATTATTTGCATTTATTATTTGTATTCTATCATGCTATTACAATTATATCCTGTATTGTATCATGTTCATTTATCGTATCATTTGATCAAAATCAATCCATACAGAAATTACTTGATACAGAATACAGAACTTGCAATAATTTACTACTTGAATACAGAAATTTGCAATAATTTCTGTATTCAAGTAACTTAGAAATATTGCAAAAAAGACAAAATTTTAATAATTATAACCAACAGTTGAAGATTGTATATCAACCATTTATAAAGTCAAGGGAAGTATACTATCCGTAAATTTCATTAATTTTTAACTATGGATGGGAAACTATTTTCCCAACTATGATTTGCGTGACCATCTGCTGATAAATTCAGAAAATACTAAAATAAACTTCAAGAAATACTAAACTTAATTTTAGAAAATACTAAGATAAACTTCAGGAAATACTAAAACAATCTTCAGGAAATGCTAAAATAAACTTCAGAAAATACAAAATTTTAAAAAATGAAGGACATTTTTTACAGGAGTAACAGTAAACTTAATAGATAAATAGTACATAAGCAGACTTAATTAGAAGAAGAAAGGTGTTTATTTGTCGTTATAAACACAGCATTTTTAAATTCAGTTATTTATAAGTATAGAAGTTAAAATTTATACCAATTTTTTTACAGAAGGTAAAATCGTAAAAATCCTACTCAAATTCCGATCAAAACAAATGGTTTGAAAAATCAGATCAATTTCAGATAATAAGCTAAATAAATTTTGTTTTATAAATCAATCTCAAAAATATTTTAACATAACAGGAAAAAATTGTCCCATAAAAGGGTAACCAATACAGCATTAAAGAAAGAATATGTCCCTTAATTTATTGCAGATGTGATATGACTAGAGATTAAAAAGAGTTTTTGCTAATTTCCCAACCCTATAATGTTATCCTAATTAAACAGATGAATACTGCACACATGCCTGCCAACAAATACATCATTAAAGCATTTGGAGAGAAAACAAGTTTGTCAAATCATTTTAGTATTCATATCCATCTACCCAGCATACCTAATATTTTCAATATTACAAAGTATTTTTTTTTTAACAGATAATAAAAACAAAGTCTTTTTTGAAGTATTTTCATTAAAAGTACTATTTTTTCCTAAATCTTAAAGAAAAGAGTCGAGAAAGTTGAGACACCACTTTTTTAAAGTTGAACTAGAGTTTTGAAACGAGATAGCTTTTCGTTTTCACAAAGTGCTACCATTTAGTTACAACTATACAAAAATAAAAGTTTGTTAACCATCTACTTGCAGAGTATAGTTCTCCTTAAAAATTCCACTAAATTCTTTAAAAACACGTATCATTGAAATGAAAATTCACATTTGCTTTATTATTTTTTTATTCAATTCATACCCAAAACCTGCACTGTATCAGGGAAAAATATAGTTATCTGACAATTGCTACCAATTTATTATTATTTTGCTTTTTTTAAATGCTCTTCTTAAATTCAAAAAATTTTGGTTCTCTTAGAAATAGATACATTCAGGTTGAAACTTAAAAATCTCATGTTTTAAGAGAGAGAAAAAAAAACATAAAAAGAGGGAGCGAAATCACAACTGCAAAACACCCATACCTGGGCGTTTCCCAAGTTTTTTAAGTATTGCTGAAATTTTGAGACATTTATGCATGATTTTGCAGAAACTAAATTGAATTAGTGATATTCAGTAAAATGTATGTAATGTTTTTTTTTATAAAAAAACTTAGTTATAAATTAATAAAACTAAACAAATTTATGTATAAATAAATTTTAAGAAAATGAGTATTTTATTTATAGAAGGTAAATTTCCAAGCATAAAATAACAAATATTTTTAAAGAAAAACTTATGTGCAAAATGATATGAATTCACAAAATTAATATTGCAGACAAAAAAGCGTAGAATGTTTCTTTATTCTTTGAAACCTGTCTGTTAATATCTATCATTATTTTAATTTTTTTATGTACATAAAATGTCAATTTACTTTTGCCTTGTGATTAAAGAATCTTGTACATAGGTTGTTTATTCAATACTCTTACTCATTTACTCTACAGAAAGATTCACAAAACTCAGTGATTAACAATTTAAAAAAAAAAATTAATATTATGCCAAATTCATCTGTTACATCCACAAATTTATTTAATAAAAATGGCATTATGTATGATCAAAAGTTATTAAAGATATTTTTTTATATTTTTCAGAATTAATGATTAAAATATTACCTATTTTAGAAAGAGCCGGGCTTAAACTTCTATTTAAAGAGCTTTTATCTTCTTCATGACACACACACTTAGGTTCTAAGAATAGAAAGATAGATTCAATGTATGTAACTCAAACGTTTAGCATTATTACATTAAAGAGGAAATTTAAAAATAAAATGCACACTCTAAAGTATTTGAGGTTTTGGTGAAATATTTCCTTCATTGTGATAATAAACTAAAGCTGAAAATTCTAAAACAGATAGAATTTTTGTAAAATTTTATACTAATTTAAGAATATGAACATTAACTTATCTTATTATTTTTTATACATTTGTTTGAATTGTTTTTATATAGTGGTGAGCGAAATTCTTTAAATTCCAATTCATTAAAATATTAATACATTGCATATTATCCATTTACATTGACTGCTAGTCCAGGGGACAACTGATTATAATTGTATGGTAATCTGAAATAAGACTTATACTTTTTATTGACTAAATAATTAAGTACATAGATGTAGCTTAAAAGAAATTTTTGAGGGAGCACAAGGTTTTTTTAAGGACACACACATATATAGATATACATTTATATATAGATACATATATATAGATAGATATAAATATGCACAATACAATTTTTACTAAGTATTTTTAAGTATCTGCCACTGTTATGCCTTTTTTGCAATGCAAGTTGTTCTTCATCTTCCAAATTTTTATTTGATAAGGCAATAAAAAAAATAGTTTGGAACATATTATAACAAAACATCCCAACAAAACGTAAGTAGTAAAAAATATTATATTTCGTATATTAATGGATTTTAATAGTAATAATTATCGAAATATTGAAAAATTATCTGGAAATTTACATAAACATTTAGGCTTGAAACAAATCAGAACATAAACTTCAAGCTTAAAACATGCTGAAGTTATTTGCTGCTATAAAACAAAACTATCTGGATATAAAAAAATTTTGTGAGAACTTATACCTCCTCTGTTTTGGCATAGAAACTTGTAATCACGAACATATTTGTTAAAAATTGTATAGGGATTATAATGAAATGAAGGAATTTATAATTAGTCTGAGATTTATACATTGCTGAACTTGCAGTAAAAAAATACCATGCATGTTGCTCTGTGGGCCGCATGAATGCAACTGTAGAGCTACAGAGTTATCCATGCCAAATTCGGATTGATCAAAATGACGAGATGAGGTTGATAACTTTTTTTAGCTTTAATACCAGCAATTCTGAAATAATTCCATAGGATTGCAATATTTATAAAAGAATGCTTTTAAAATTATAGTGATCTTATAAAAAGAAAAAAAAGTGTTTAACCTCCTACACTTATTTTGTTTGATGCAAATTTTGCACACCTAAAAAGGACACCATTTCTAAAAGCTTCAAGCATCTCTTACAGATTGTGCAAACAGTTTTGCCACAGAAAGCCTTCCAAAACATTTGCTGCTAAAAGAAAGATTGCTTACATAGAGTTCATATAGAAGTGCTTCCATATTTTTCCCAACCCCGACACTATGCTTATGATAAAAGTATACCTATTTCACATGGAGAAGGAATAGGTTTCCCATCTTCTTCTTCATGGCACTCACATTCAGGTTCTAGGAAGAGCAAAATAAAATAGATAAATTAAAGTAAAGAAAAGAAGAAAAAAATTACTATAATTCACATTAAACAAGACTTTAAATGCTAAATGTTTTGCTCAGAGGGTTAAAAGAATGTTTTTTAATAACACACAAAAAACCCCAATTTATTCATGAAAATTTTGGGAATATTGATTGAAAACTTTAGAAATAAAGTTTTACTCTAGATAGTGACATTTTAGTGTCTATAACTTACTCCAAAAAATTGCAATTAAAAAGTGTTGATGTATACTGTCGCAATTTACTTATAATATTTACCTTTCTTATTTTAAGTTTTAATAAGATTCTTTTCAAATTAAAAATAAAAGCAAAATAATGACCTCAGTTCCTACTCATTTACCTCAGTTCTTTTCATAGGGTCTCCACTTTAAGTTTATATATTCTTTCACATGACTTGAAATATTCAAGCAGTACTAAATGGCTTTCAATTTAACTAATCAAATAATTTTTATTTAAAATTCATTGGTGACAATAATCTGTCAGTCATTTACATTTCAGTGTCAGAAAAACAAATTAACATTTGCACCTCTTTTCATTTAGATCATTACCAGGATAGGTTACAAATAGTTTCCCTCATTAAAAAAGAGTTTATTCCCTTTGCTAACATAGTCATAAACAAATGAGTTTCTGTGAAAACTAAAATTTGTCGTCCTATTAAAAATGGTTGAATAATTTTATCAAAGAGATTTGGTCCTGTGGATAATTGAGGAAATATTCAATCTTATTTATGATCTAGGAAAATGTTAGCTAATTTTTATAAAGAGAAATGCCTGATAATAAATCCATATGATTCAAATTTTAATTATTTTGATTTAACAATTGATGATGAGATTTATAAAATATGTGTCGTGCCTGAAAATAATTGGGCGAAATGATAAATAATAGCATTTTTTTGAATTTCAGAAAGTAAAACTAACCAAAATAATATAAATATAATTAATATTTTTGATTATAAGTATTTATTTCATATTGAATTTTACTTTTTAAATTACAGGAGTATAAATGTTACTTTTGGAATTACTTAAATTTATTATTAGAGGTAATGATTTAAGTATTATTAATCAATTTGAAAAATTTTTATTTTTAGCTGCCTAACCCACTGCACTAACTCTAAACTTAATTTGTAATTTATTCAAAGGCCAATTTAATTTACTTTGAATTATATTGAAACTTAAATGGTTAAATAATTTTTGCTATTAAAAACAACAATTCTACTTGATTCCGATGTTATTTAAACATAATTGTATCAGATTTAAAACATTAAATTTTGTTCATTTAGATTTAGCCCACAATGGTGCTTTGCAAATTTAAATAAATTTTGCAGAGAAATAAATAGTTTTTTCTATTTCGGTCCTTGTTAATTTGCTTTTGAACAGCTTCTTCTGACATTGACAATTTTTGGATACGAAGGGGTGAGAAGTATTGTTTTCATTTTATTAGATTTGTCACAAATATTATGAGTATATGAAAATATGTATCTATCACAGTATGTATATTATATAGTATGAATGCATATAATATGCATGCATGATATTATCTATATATATATTTCTCTTACACGGCGACAAAAAAAAGCCTCATTACAACTCCCCAAATGGCAACGCTAGAAAATCGACCAATGATTGCCGTTAAAAATGTCACATGCCAAATCTAGCTGAAGTGGCTCAACATATAGCGCTTTTAAAAACGGAAACTGAAATAACAATTCAGCTGCTGCAATCTCATACCATTAAGCTAGGTAGAAGTGAGTAGTCTTTGTCGATAGATTTCTATTTTAGTATTTTGTCGAAAGCGCTTTTTTTCACGAATTTATTTGACGATTTTAGATTTATATCATGAATTTATTTGTTTTATTATTGTTTTTAGTTATTCATTGAAAAATGAGTCTCAGTCGTGCTGTTACACTTTTGAAGTATAATCAAAAGAAGCGTGCTAGCCAAAATTTTAACCTTTTTAAAAAGATATCAGTTTTAGAAATTTTATCTTAAGATTTTATACTATAGCACATTTCTAATAGGTTTAACGAATTACATGTCATTTATTTGAATTCAAATTTATTTTAATGATTTAGTATTTACTAAAAATATGTAATTTTTTTTTAAAAAAAAGTTTTTATATGGCTTTGAATGATTGTTTTGAATTCTAAGAATTTTGTGCATTCGCAATGCACCTAAGTTAGAAGCGAGCTTGGTTTGCGAAGCAAACCATATAAGATTGCGTAGCAATTTTCGGGGGTTCGCGAGCATTAACGAGCAGGGGGCGCAGCCCACTAGTTTATAATATTAAGTATCACAGTAGACCAACTGGTTCATAATGACAAATCAGGTGATTTATGCCAAACAATCAGCAATAGTACTTACTACTAAATTCCACTTTTCACTACAATTCCACTTTTATTTTACTCACGTGCCTAAAATAACTGTTAAGGTTAAGTATCTTACCATGGTTATTAAGTGTATTAATGACTCTTCTAACATCTATAACTTAATAATTTCCTAATTACAATAAGTACCATTGTGAATAGTTAAATTTTACAAATAACTTCCTAATTGTGACACATATCAAACATGACAGGAAAGACTTAATAAGACATATTAAATCTTCAGAATTCAAAACCTACATAATAACAAATTTTTTTCCCTTAAAAAATGTTTTATTTCCTACGTATTTGAGATTTAACAGCTGATATGTTATCACAATTTTCATCAACCGCAATGGAACATATTTCTTCTTTTGTAAATAAGGGAGAAAAAGAAACATCAAAATTTAGCAGTAAAATACTTTAAAAAAATAATAATTTTAACACACTACACTACAGATTTAATAGCTTACCTACTTGAGACTGAACAGCAGACCTGTTATGACAGTTTCCATCAGTCGCATTGCAGCATGTTGCTTCTGTTTTAAATAAGGACAAAATGGTTAAAAATAAAAATTAGCAAGGCAATTAGCAAGATATAAAAAGAGAAAACAATTTCAACTCATTACAAAAATGTAATCACCAACCTATTTGAGACTGAACAGCAGATTTGTGACAATCTTCCTCATCAACTGCATCACAGTATGTCTCTTCTATTGTAAACAAGGAAGGGTTAAAAATTCATAACTTATTGAAACACTAAAAATTAATTTTAAGGTTAGAAATATTTAATTTCCTATTTTATTAAAAAACTATTAGACAATGTTCTTACCTATTTGAGATGTAAAAGCAGGTCTATTACAACAGTTTTCTTCATCTGTACTACAGCAAGCCACTTCTATAGAAAAAAAGAAGAAAAAAATCTTAGCAGTTTTCATCTTATTCAGAAAAAAAGGCTAAATGCAGTATACTCTCGAAAATACGGACTGCAAGAAGGCCGCCACGAAGCCAAATTTCTCCCAATACTTGATCCAGGAGTTCCCTTGCCTTCCGGATTGGGTTCAAAATTACAAGGCTACGCAAGTTGAACACTAGAAGTCGTAAACCCAAAAATTGGGTAGGCTGTTCAACGACGAATATAAAAAATAAAATAAATTAGACTTTTAAAAAAATGTTGCATCAGTAACAATATGGACGAGAGTGAAGATCATTTAGGGCAGTGTTCCCCAACCTTTTATCAAAGCGGACCTGTCAACGTTTGACAATTTTACTGCGGCCCGATGGAAGAGGGGGGAATTGATTGATTATATTCTAGATTATTTTGATTTATTAATTTAATTTAATTGTATTTAAACATGCCTTTAAAATAAAATACAATAATACCAAAAAATAAGCACAAAGTGATTTAACATTTTAACTTACTAGAACTTTAAATCAATGTGAACAATGAGCATGTCTCTTTGCAATGAGTTGGGTTCATCTGGGGGTAATAGGAGACAATGATACATTACGAACATTAAATAATTAATGTCACTACCTTCGGGGGTCCCTTTTTTTAAATAAATAAAATTTTAATTGAACACAGATATTTTTAATTTGGGGTATAAATCTAGAATTTAAATTTAGTTTTAATAAAATGGGCGGCCCGGCACCATTTGAGCAGCGGACCGGGGGTTGGGGATCACTGATTTAGGGTATGAAGACACAAGAGAAAATGAAGACATCGGAAGTAAGGACAATGTATTACATCCGGCATTCTGATGACTGGAAAGGAATTTGCTGAACTTTACGGAGAATCTGATTCTGATGCAGAATTCATTAGATAGTGTATTTTTTCTCTTTGTTTATGCATTGTCCTTTACCTAAACCTATGCAAGCTAGAAGATTTAAAAATTATACTATTCCCTTTAAATCGTCCAGCACAAAAAAGTGTTTATTCTAAAAATTTCATATTTAGGCATTCCGTTTTCAACGATTATTTTATGTTTTGTATGTACGCTTCACGATATCTACTGACAATAGCTGATACTTGATAAAAAAGTATTTCTGCTAAAAATGTCCTCCTGGAATTTTTCAAAGTTAGTTGATTCAATTATAAGCCACTTTAAATTTCGTAAATTTTCTAAACATTATTGACTAATATTCTGAAATATTCAAGTCCTGTATCTAGAATCTTCGGGACTTTGGCAACGGTCGGAAATAGATTTTTCTAGATAAAAGGTCTTTAAGATGAAAAAACATTATAGCATAATGTTTTTCAACTGAAACAAAACATAAAAAATTAATGATAATTCATAATAATTTCATGCAACGTTTTCTCAGAGATTTTAAAAAAATTAATAAAATTGGGTAAAAGATAATTTGAACTTTCTTTTTAATGAATAAAGACAAATTTTTCCTTTCCTTTAAAAAAAAATTAATTACTATTTTCACTTTTTCAATCTGATGTATACTTCTCAAAATATTTGACCATTTCAAAACTTTTTTTTACACCTTCTTGCGTATATATATATGCGTGTGTGTGCGCGTATACACCTGAAGACCAAAGCCCTGCAAAAAAAAGTAACTTTTTTTAAACCAGAAGGTACAAGAAAAAGGGGTCGTTCATCGACTAGGTGGCTGGATGCATTGAGAGGGACCTAAAGATAATGGGAATAACTAACTGGAAGGTCATGGCACAGAATAGATCAAAATGGCAAAAACTTATTGGCATGGCCTGCCATAGGCTGTAGTGTCCAAGAAGAAGAAGATATATACACACACATATATATCATACATGTAATAATAATATCACATACAATAAATAAAAGACAAAGTGTAATAATTTTAAAAATCAAATTAATTTTTAAGTAACTTAAATTTAGAAGATAACTTCCTATCAGTAGACAGCAACTGAAATCGCATAGCTAGTGCCTTTGCCTGTACAAACTTACATTCGATTGAAAGGAAATAAACATCTTACTGTCTTGCCTGGCAGAGAATAGAAGTTTTTACTACTCTTTGATCACTATTAATTTTTCTTATTCATTTTTCTATTTCAGTTTCTCCCCTGCCACTGCTTGATTAATATCATAACTTTTAGAAGAAACATCAATTTTAAAATATTTTATAATTTTGATTGAAAAGGTTCTGATTCACTTAAAATTAATCAGCACAGTTAAAAATAATTTTAGACATAATGAGATAAAGAATTGTAATTATTGTTTTATGATTGTTTAAGTATTATTGAATTTTTTTAAATTAGCTATAAAAAAACACATAAATTTATAAAAATAGACTATATTTTCTGAAATGAGGAAATTCAAGTTTAATTACCTGCTTCCAACTGAGAAGAGCAGACATTTTCCTCTGAAATTTTATCATCCTCTCTTGATGAATATATTGGCTGTTGACAGCAACAATCCATTTTCTAGGGAGAAAGAAAAGTAACATACAATTTATGCATTTTTTTAAAGAATTGTGGGGGAATTAATCTTAGACTATGTCAACCTTCATCTATCAAAAGGTTCATCATGATAGAATCAAGTTAACATGTCTTATATACTAGTGAATTGGTATTTAATATTTATAGTGGTAGTTACGCGACAGAATCACAAGAGAAAATGTAGGAAAGCTTGAAATAGAATTTATTCTTAACATTTTATACCAAAAGCAGTTTATATTTAAATAAGACTTAACATTAAAACGTTTTTATTTTTCTATTGTAGAATAACTGAAATACAAAATCGTCTTTTTCTTTTCTATGTAGTTACTAAAAAAACAGCACGGTTTAATGAAAAATCTTTTATAGCATTATTTATTTTGTGAACTTTCTTAGAAAATGAGGAGGTTCAATATAAATTAATTATTATTCGTACCTAATACAGTTTTTAAAATAGTGCACTTAAAATAAAAATTTAGTTCATAAAAATAGGCAAAAACATCAGATTTTAAAGACTAAAATCAAATTCTCAATTCTAATAATGAAAATAAGTTATCTTTGATTTAAACTAGTTTAAATTTTCCAACATCAACAAATCCGCGAGGAAAACGAAACTTTCGAACGTTACTTCTGAAAGGTGAACCAAAAAATAAAAACTCATCATAATTTTTAAGTTTCCTTCGTACATCTTTTCGTATGTAATAGATATTAACTGCTCAGATTTATGAACTAAAACGGTTTAAACCGTTTAGATGTAACTATTTGTTTAAAACAAAACATTGCCAGATGCAATCTTATAAATTATATTTAATTCTTTTTTAACTTTTTTTTTTTAAAAAAGTAATAAGAAAACCTAACAAACGTTATTTACCATTTTGTTTCATCACGAAGATAATTTTTCGATGTGATATGAAAGTATGATATCGAATCAAACTATGCAGTTGAGAGGTGGCAGCAGAGCAGTCAATTATTGTTATTGTTGTGCTTAGGATTGTACTTGTATTGACCTGCTTAGATGTAAAATAAAAAATTGTGTTTACTTTATTTTAAAAAGCCTTCATTATTAAAATGATCTAAAATATGCAACAGAAAGAGAAAAATATTAACTATTGGTGTGTTTATCTAATGTGTGTCATGATTCTTCATTCATAACTACAGCCAAAACTAAGTTTGACGTTAGTCACCAGTTACAGTAAACCGTTTTCTTTCTTTTTGTTTCTATTTTCACTCGAAATGTCACATCCTCGCAATGATGATGATGTACTTTCGGAGGGCAATAGTTTATCCGTGCAGTCGAACGATGCCGATTCGGATGATTCTAGTTGGAACGATGAGTCTGATGTGAAAAGAAAACCTAATCCTCCACGTTCTCAATCAAAACCACACAAATCTAAATGTAAATCATCCAAAAAGAAACGTCGTTCCAACAGAAAAAATATCGAAAAAACTTATAGTGACGTTGAGATCGCAGAAACTGTTAGTACTAGTAAAAGCAACAATGCTAAGCAAGAACTAAAAGAAGAATCATCAATTAAATCTGATCACTTCTCAGATGATGTTAATTCTGTTATGTCGGATATAAATCCCCCTTCTTTTGCGACTCGTTCAAGAAGGCGAAGATTTTATAATCGGCAAGCTTGGAAAGGCCCTGGTAGTACTAGTAGTAATTATACATTAGAATCAGAAGGGAAAAAAGCCAAAAGTGAGCCTATTTTGATAACAATTGATTCAGACAGTGAGGATGATCATGTTTCTACTGTGAGCAGTCTTCCTAGCCGTAGTGCACGGCTTAAAGGAGAAATGCTTAGGAAATTACAAAGAATGTCCGGACTTAAAAAGAATGTGGTAAATGGTTCTTCATCATCATCAGACTCAGAAAATCCGAGAAAAAGCAAAAAGAAAACAAAGTCTTCAGCACCTTTGAAAAAAATAGGACATAAATCTAGTACTAAAGGTAATCACAGACATTTAAAACACAAAAAAAGTCGTAAAGCACTTATTTTCACGCCTAGTCATAAACGACATTTAAAAATACACAGAATTAAAAAACGCTTGGAGAGGCAAAAAATTGAGAAAAGGGTTATACCTATGCGGCAAAGCCGTATTACACCGAGTCAGTCGAATACGCAGCCTGCGATTAATAGGGCATCGAGTTCCGGAAGACGAAGCTTACGAAATAATAGTAGTGGTCATATTAATTATCAAGAGGAAGAAGAAGATAAAGTTGTTGTAAAACTTGAGCGTCGTACAAGGAGAAGTTTAAGCGATTATAAAAACATTAAAGAGGAACCTGCTGATAATACTAGCAAAAGGAGGATAAGTAAGAGTAATGTTCACGTAAATGATGAATTTGTTGAAGAAAGTAAATTTAAAGAAACTGTTGTAAATGAAAAAGAATCTGAGCAAGTTCCTGAGGATAAAAACGAAAATATTGATTCTGAACTTCAAAACACCGTAACAGAGAACTCTGAAAACACTAAAAAGATAGAAGAAAAATTAGAGGATATTAAGAATGATATTGATCTTATTAACAATATGATTAGTAATAAAGATATTAATGAAGATAAAAGTTCAGATGTAGTTAAACCTGAAAATTCTGGAACAAAAGAGGCAAGTTCAAAAGTGGAAAATAAATTAAAAGGATCCCTTCGTTCGAAGATTATAGTGAAGAAAAAGTTGGGTAGGAAGAAAAAAATCATAGCTCCACCACCAAGCAATATTCGCAGGCCAGGACGAGGCCGCCCTCGTAAAATAATACCGGAAAATAAATCGGAGTCAAAACCAGACACAGAGACTTTCAATATATTAAATATCAAGCCTCAAGTTCCTTTTTTGCAAAACTCTTTCTGCTTTGATGTTGCACCAAAGCTTGCAAAATGCAGAGAATGTAGACTTGCCATTTATAAAAGCAGTAAAAGAATGTATAATTCATATTGCCGCTTCATGGAATATCGTAAATTGTGCTACAATAAGAGTGGCATGATTTCCAGTGCTGGGTTTTCAAATCCTAATGATGCTGCAGCTGAGCATCTTAGTTTATGGTTTCCTCAGTTTCTAAAGCCTCCCAAAGATTTAAATATTGAGACTGCAAAATCTCTGTTAGAACATATTGGTGATCAGTTTTGTGATCTAGTTGGGCAAGAAAGAGAAGCACTCAATTTGCATATTGGATTGCAGCAATTAATAACGTGGAAGCGTGTCGTTCAAGGTGTGAGAGAAATGTGTGATGTGTGTTCGACAACCATTTTTAACATACATTGGGTCTGCCCTCAGTGTGGACTTGCAGTTTGTATTGATTGCTATAAGGTGCGCAAACAGGGAGAAGTGGCTTCTTACGATGATGATGAACAACCTAAAGATAGAGATGAATTCAAATGGTTATTATGTACCATGCGAACCCCTCATAGGCAAGATAGCCTGGTGATGGCACAAATCATACCTGGTACTGCATTATGGATGATGAGAGACTGGTTGCATAAAGCGAGGGAAAAATGGAATATTCCATCTTATTGCAAATGTACCAAACCTCAAGAATCTCCTGCTGATAATTTAGTTTCAACTGGAATCGTTAAGCAACTAATGTGCCATGTGAGTAGTTCTTTCAACCCTGAAAGAATTCAAACATCAATGCCAGAGAAAAGTCTTTCTAAGCCTGAAAACTATGATGAACTGGATGTTGAAGTTAGTGGATCAGCTTTGAGGTGGTTAGACAATTCAAGCATTATGAATGAAAATCCGAATAGAAATTCAAGAATATCGGATGATTATTTTAATAGCTTTGAGGATCTTATTATGCTAAGAGGTGCAGAACTAATACATGATTCCCCTCCATCAGAGTCTGATAACGAGTTATCTAACTTCTCTTTAGACGATATTATTGCAAGTGTAAAAAGTATGCAGAACAATGAAGAAAAAGAGAATTCAGAAAAATTTTCTGCAAAACATTTCAGCCAGCGTTATCCCCAACAAAAGAGTGGACGAGATCCTCTACCTATTCGTATTTACACAAAAATAGAGAGCAAAATAGCTTTTCCAAGTGTGCCTCATTCTTGGTTTTGTAATGGAAGACTCCTATTTCTTCATCAGGCTACTCATCCAGAAAATCTGACCTTGTTCCAAGAACAGTGGAAACGTGGTCAGCCAATATTAGTCAAAAGCGTGGATGAAAATCTGGACATGGATTTATGGACTCCAGATGGTTTTTCTCGTGATTTTGGTGAAGTAAAAAATGACTTGGTTGATTGTAAAACTGGAAACATTATAAAAAATTTGCCTATGAAGAAATTCTGGGAAGGTTTTGAAAATCTGAGGAAACGTCTAACCGATGAAAATGATGAACCTTTACTTCTCAAATTGAAAGATTGGCCTCCCGGAGAAGATTTTAGTGAAAAACTGCCTACCAGATTTGAAAATTTGATGAAAGGATTACCTCTACCAGAATACACGCATAGAGATGGAATCCTTAATTTGGCTGGCCGATTACCATCTTCTTTTGTAAGACCTGATCTTGGACCTAAAATGTATAATGCTTATGGTTCTGCTTTATTCCCTACTAAAGGAACCACGAATCTTCATTTAGATGTTAGTGATGCCGTTAATGTAATGGTTTATGTTGGAATTCCATCAGATGACAATTCTCAAATCCATGTTCAAGAGGCTTTAAAAGCCATTGATGAGGGAGGATGTGATTCTTTGATGAGAGCGAGAGTCAGAGGAAAAAATTGCAAACCCGGAGCACTTTGGCATATATACAATGCTAGGGATGCTGATAAAATTCGACAAATGCTGAACAAAGTAGCCATTGAAAGGGGTGAAAAACTTGAACCAAATCATGATCCAATTCACGATCAGAGCTGGTATATAGATTCTGAACTTCGATTGAAACTGTATCGAGAGTATGGTGTTGAAGGTTATGCTATTGCACAGTGTCTCGGAGATGCTGTTTTTATACCTGCTGGGGCACCTCATCAAGTGCGTAATTTACATAGCTGTGTGAAAGTTGCTGAGGACTTTGTTTCTCCAGAAAATATTGCTCATTGCTTTAAATTAACTCAAGAATTTCGACAATTATCTGACACTCATACTAATCATGAAGATAAGTTGCAGATAAAAAACATTATTTATCATGTAGTGAAAGATGCACTTTCTCATTTACTTACTGACCCTGAAGCGCAGAGTGCTCAAGCCAGTTTATTGTAAAAATCTGTACAATTATCGGACACTCATATTAATGAAGATAAGTTGCAGATAAAAAACATTATCTATCATGTAGTAAAAGATGCACTTTCTCATTTATTTACTGACCCTGAAACGCGGAATGCTCAGGCCAGTTTATTATAAAAATCTGTACATAAGCAAAATAGTTGCATTGGTAAACAAAAGTTGTATATTTTGTTATGTATAAAAGAAGCTCTGTACATAGCATTGTAAAGTTATTTAAGTGAAGATGTTCATTCTGAGTTTATTGTTTAATTATTTGTTTGGTAGTAATGTGTTAAGATAAAGTTTCACTTTTTTCATTTCAAATAATATTCCAGAATTATTTTTTAATGCAATAAAACTAAGAATTTTGTTAAGTCAAGCCCATAATTAACCAGAAAGTACAGAACATAATTCTAACTAACATACTGATATCTTTCTTATTTTTTTTAGGCAATTGTATTTAATGAAATGAATGTTATTTTTGTCTAAAATATTTTACTTATTTTCTTGAGAAAAATACGTTTTGAAACATTATGTTTAAGAAAATTTTTTTAATTATCATTATACCTACCAACTGCTGATTTGTAATTCTATCTATATTTATGTTTGCTGCCTTGTGTATGTGTCTACTATTTTTTTTAAAATGTTTACGTTAATATAAACAACAAAAAAATATGTATTAAAAAAAAGCATTGTAGACATGTGTAAAAAATCTTTATATCTTCAAAGCAAACTAGATTGTAGACTTTTAATATAAATTTTATGCTGTTGGGGATGATTTTTTTTTTCAAGTATACAAGCTAAAATAAAACAATATTGACTTTATGGTTCTACTTTGAGCCAATATGTTAAATAAATATTCAATTATTACGTAAAATGCAGTTGTGTTCTTTAAATTTGAAGAAACCAGTTACATTCAAATAATTGATTAATATTTGATATTGCTGCATCTTTAATCATAATAACGTTCTAATCTTCTGTAAACCTATTAAAGTATTAAACTCAAGTAATTGCTTTTCTTAATAAAAATGGAAGAATTTAAGGGTTTTTAAACGGTTCGAATAAAATTCATCTGGAGGTCAAATGGTTGAATTAATGTTCATCTGAGACTCTATTAAAATTGCTACTCTGGTTAACATTATGATCCAAGATTCAACTTTACTTTTAATAGTACTCAACAAGTTTTCATGCATGTTAAATGCACAAAAAATAAACATTTATTTATTTAATTTCTTTTGATACATTTTTTATTTATTTATTTTTTTGATAAAATTACTTGCAGCCCATTGAATTATCAATCTATTAGTAATTATTGATAAATTATGCAAACCTTATTCAAACTTTTTTCCTGTTTTTTTTCCCATCTTTTTTAATATTCTGTAGGTAGTATTTTATTAGTTTCAATGTATTTTTTTCTCAGAATTTTTGCCAGTATTACAGATATTATGATGTAATGGGTATGTATTCCATTCGATGTATATGTGCAGCAGAAACATGTACCAAAAATATTAATTTCTTATAGAATCCAGCCATGTGGTAGACTTTTTCAAACTTCAAAGGAACTTTTTTTGAAAATACATTATGTTTACAATACTTAATTTTTATGAATATAATTTTTAATGAAATTTAAATTTGGTGAATATCAAAACAAGAGAGTAAAGGATTTAAAAGTCACCAAGTAACAACTTGTACACAGTTAAGAAATTGTTCCATAATGTCCATATAATATTGAGAGTATTAAATTGTGTTTGGTTTTTATTGAAAAACTGTACCAGTAAATAATAATAAATAAATATATGTATCCTATGTACTTGTGATGTAAAAGCCATAAAATCTAAAAATATAAGTATAAAAGTAAAATTTGCATTTTACCATTTTAATATAATCATGTAAAGTTCTTATGTAAACATTTTATTTCTTACATAAACAAGAATGCTCTTTGTCAATAACTCAGATTTGAGACAATCTTATAGAATAAAATCAGCATGACTCTGATAGTTTGGTGGTATGGGAGAAGTTTTCAAAACCATTAGTGGATGGTAAGCATATGGCCTCCCTCAATAATTAGTGAGCTCTAGAAACTGCCCTTTATATTTCAGACAAATAAGAAAAATAAATTTGAAAGCAGATTTTTTAAATCTGCATTGTTTTCTTACTCTTAATGTTATATCCTCATTTTAAAAATGTATATTATGTAATTACCTAATTCTATTATTTATGGGTTTTTTTACTTAAATAAATAATTTTTTTTTACTTTTTCGAATAATAAAATTTCGATTTTAATTCAACTACGCTAAAAGCGAGTTAAGAAATAAAAAAAAATATCTGATTGAAGAAATTTTTTTTATAATGAATTATCTATGTATTATTACCACCTCCTAGTTCCCTTATTAAGGAACTGAAATTATAGTACATGTTTATGCAGCATAATTTGTTCTCTTTTTACATTGTTTAACTTTCTTAATTTATGCAATTTTTTCCTCTTTATAATTGATCAGTTTTTTGTGATTATATTAAATATTACTTTGAAAGGAATTTTATCATGTATTTTATATTCAAGAGAAGCTGAAATGTGATCTATGTTCGTTAAATGTAATTTTCTGTCTTCATCTTTAATGTTAGCATTTGACTAGCTTTTTTCTGCATTATAAAACTCAATGTAAATATGTAACTCACAAACATATAATATGTATATTACTTAATGCGTAGTTAGTTCTTTAAAGAAGTTATGTCTTTTAATTTAATTATGTTTCTATTAATGTGTGCAATGTAATTTTGCTTGAGTGTCTTTCTGTAAAAATACTATTGAATGAACATATTAATAAAGTTTTTAATATATTTGCTTTCAACCAAAAAAATTACTTAGAATTTTAACATCTTTCTTCATTTTTAGCAGTAGTTTTTGCACATGCTCTTTTCTTAATTGGTTGAAGGACTATTTATAGATCAAGCATGCATAACCAATGGCCTGCGGACCAAAAGTGGCCCCAAAAGCATTTTAACTTGGTCCATGAATGTCTAAAATATTAATAAAAATGTAACGAAAAAGAGCAACAGAACGTTACTGATCTCGTTTACAGCCTTTCTCAAAGTATCAGAATGTGACCATTTCAGTTTCACTATAAAAGTTCTATTTAAGCAATTGGTTCAGAGTTTGCAATATAAATTTATAAATAAACTAAAAGAGAAAAAAAGAAAATTACGAAGTATAGTGCGGCTTTCAGGAGAACTCCTCCAGACATCAGTCTCGCGTCGTGGCGGGTACCATGGTTACGAGGGAAAGTCAATTCGAATAGGGGTGAATAATTTTGTCTTGATCTTTGCATAGGTCAGCTTCAGTAAACCAATCGACACCATCATTCCTCCATTTCACCCCCATTAGAAATGTGCTCTCGCTTGTCACCATAGCAGCAGGCAGCCCCAGACTTTTAGTCTAGAGGAGTTCTCCTCAAAGCCGCACTATAGATAAGATGAATAAAAAAAAATTTAAAAATTCTAGCAACTGTCATCACATTAATCTGTTGCTGTATTAGTAACAAAATTTTTTTTTTAAGTAATAGTAAAAGTTTTTAATACTAACTTTTAGGATGAATGCAAATTTAAGTATCTTTTTGTTGTATGCCAATGCTTACATAATGTACTATAATTTTCTTCTGTAATCTAATAAGTATAATTGTTTAAATTTCTTCACATTAGTTATTTTTATTATCTGCACAGGAGCAAAAGATTAATTATTCACATAACTTTCAAATAAAACTCGAGTATTCTTTGCTTATGTATAATTACAGCATTATGTTAATGTTGGCTCATGACTGTATTTTATAGTTTTTGTGGCCCAAAAATGGTTGTGCTTTCCTGCTATAAATAATGATCTTCACTTGAAAGGTGTTTCTGAATTTGTCTCAAAGAAAGTGGGCATTTCGGTTAAAACATGAAGTAAAGATACAATTTAAAGCTCTTTAATATGTAAAGTTCATAAAACGAAACATATTGAATACCCCCAAAAAGAGTGTTTTAAATTGCTATTTTATGTTTATATTTTATTACCATTATATATTGTTTTGTTTTTTTCAGATCTTAATTTTATTTAAGATGTATAGCAGATTTTTATTTTTGTGTTTTATCTTTCATTTAATGTGTGCTTTGCAATTTTGCTTAAAATATATCTTTCAGTAAAAATAAAAGAAAAAATTTAATATAAATGTTAATAAAATTTTTAATATATTTGCTTCCAAATAAGAATTACTCAGAGTTTTAATATGTTAGTATTTTCTTGGCAATAGTTTTTATTTATTTTTTTATTATTTTGTAAATTGGTTTAGGGGCTATCCACAGATGATGTACGCTTGGATGGGATAAATGAAATTGTGACAAGAAGGATGGGAAAACATACATTTTGGTTATAACAAAAGCATCGTAAAGTAGAGACGCAATTTAAAACTAATTTGTGATGTAAAGAGTAAGTTCTTAATATGTGTCATCATTTGAAATGTAAAAATATAAAACTAAGTGGGAGCTTTTTGGTAATTTTTTTGCATCATAGTAATTTTTTCGGAGCAATTTTTTTTTTTTTTTTTTTTTTTTTTTTTTTTTTTTTTACGACTACTTTTATTTCTTGACCTTTAAATGATTGGGGTGACTGCAATTAGGAAAATTTTGTCCCAATGTTAATTTTACTTTTTGGGTAAAAGTCCATTAAACAAAATATTTTTTTTATTGTCATTGTATGAATATAATAATGGTAAAAAAAAATACTGTATTGTTAGGTACAAACATTTTTACATTTTAAACTATGTAATTTTAAATCACAAAATACGATTGAAATCGGTTAAATATTTATTGGAAAATGTACATTTAAAAATACAAGTTTTTTGAAATTTCATTGCTCAGAAATTGTTCAACTGGTTTCGCTTAAATTTTTTTTATACTTGAAATTACGTAATTTAAGTTGTAAAACTTGTATGCTTTACAATTCAAAAGAATTCTCGACCATTATAAAATTGTATGTTAGTAAATAGTTTAAAAATTATCTTTTTCATGTTTACCTATGGATAAACTTGTTTAGAATTGTGTGCACTTTTTTATTTTTATTTTATTCGTTTAAATAACTTCCGAGATGGAGAAAAATACGGAAAAAATGAAATTAACACAAGGGGTGGGGCAAATTTCGACCGTTCTCCAAACTAAACTGTTTTGGACTTCGTTTTCCCGATTGTGCCAATTCTCCGTAGAGTTGAGAATCCGAATTCGCCAGAAAAAATTTCGTTTGTCAGAGAAAGAACATTTTTGTGATAATTTCTTTACTCAAAATATTATCTGTATTGATGAATTTGCATATTTAAGGTAAATCCTCTTCAACCTAAAGATTACATCTTCTTGTGTGCAAGTCCAATCAAAAGTTACAATTAATAAGGTGTTCTGTTTCTTTTATTTTAGGTACTCCTCATTTTATGCGCTTTGCACAACATTTTTGCTTCAGCAAAATATTTCTCTGTTGGAAAGTTTTAAAATAGAAAACATAATAATATAATTGAGCTTGAACTTCAGAATATTCTAAATATAAATTTAGCACAGGAAGTTATCTTTGAAGATGGAATTTGTTTCAACATTGCTTCCTCAGTTGAGTTCAAAATTAAAAAATAGGGAGACGGAAGTTATTTTCCTCCTTGAATGAAATATAATTAAAAAACAATAATAATAAATTTTCTTCAATAATAAATCTTCCAATAATAAACTTTCCGAATTTTCTTTCAATAAGAAATTTCAATTCAAAGGGGATTGAAGTTATCGAAATTCCATCTATAAGTGCTGCCATTTTTCTCACTAGTTGAATAAATACAAAATTGATAAATGGAGAAATCGAAGTTATTTCCTTATTGATGGTAATTGAATGAAGTATAAATTAAAAACAATGACAAAGCATGTTTCAGCAATAATTTTCTGTTTCAAATTTATGTGGATAGAAGACTACGAAGTTCTCTCTGAAAAAAGAATATCTACCAATACATTTCTCCTGCGTTTAATCCAAATTAATAAATGGGGTNAACTTTATTAATTTGCATAATATCCTATAATTGACATTTGCTGCGAATTTCATTTGATTCTGATGATTCTTTCATGGTGTTGCATTTTCTACAAACAGCAGTTTAATAAATGGGGTAATCTGTGTTATTTTCCTTATTGTAGGTAATTGAATAAAATATAATTTAAAAACAATGATAATAAATCTTGTTTCAGCAATAATTTTCTGTTTCTGTGAATAGACTATGAAGTTCTCTCCGAGAAAAGATAAATATGTTCTGATACATTTCTCCTCAGTTTAGTTCAAATTAATAGATAGGGAAATCGATGTTATTTCTTATTGATGGTAATTGAATGAAATATAATTTAAAAACAATGATAATAAATCTTGTTTCAGCAATAATTTTCTGTTTCTGTGGATAGACTATGAAGTTCTCTCCGAGAAAAGAAAAATATGTTCTGATACATTTCTCCTCAGTTTAGTTCATATTAATAAGTAGGGAAATCGTTGTTATTTCCTTATTGAGGACAAATAAATCAAACATTATTAAAAAACAAAGATAATAAATCTTGTTTCAATAATAGTTTTTCGTTTCAGTGCGAGATACAAAGACATCATGAAACAAAAAAAGAAAACATTGAAAGTTTGTGATTCGAATACTCAAGAATTTCACGAAAAATTGCAGTAATAAATAAATGAAAAAAATAATTAAAAAAAAAAACACCTGAAAGGAAGTTGGAAATACATTAAAACTACACAATGTTGCAGTAACGTAGATTGCATGGTTTTGAATCATTGTTCATAACTCCCTCTATTAACCAGTCCAATTAGTAGCTCATTACATAAATTTTCGTGAAATCGATGACAAATGAAAAGAAACATATATAATCTTTTTCTAACAAAATTACTGTTTTAAATAAATTTTGATACAAAAAAAATTATGCGTTTTTCGCTTTTGAAATCTTTTACTTTTGAAAAAACTAGCTAAATTACGTTTAATTTCTTTTTTCCTCAGTTGGTTACATAATACGATTATTATATACACTTATTATTGTGCACTATTACTGCCAAAAGTCATTTTCCGAATGAATTATTAATTTATTCAAAAGCTATGCAGTATATGGGTATAGATTAAATGCACTTCTAGAATAAATTGGAGGGAGATTTTAAGTTATATTCGGCTAAAATGCCTGTTATCACGGACGGTAATATTCGGCTGATGTTTTTATTCTTTAAAATAATTTTTCCTCGCAGTTTAAAATTGAATTGAGTATTTCCCGTAAGAATTGTTGTACACCAGGCTGCAAGAAGAATCAGGTAAGTTTTTAAACTGTTGTTGATTTTCCCTTTCATTTCTCTCATTAAGCAAAGTAACACAATTTATTCTTTTAATTAAAAAAATGTTTTGTATTCTTATGGCTTTTGTTTACTAATGTTAAAATATAAGCTTTAATATTAATTCTGCATTCATGTTTTCAACTAGAAAGATGGTTACAAAAATTTGCGCAACTAGAAAAATAATTAAGAGTAATTTATGTCCCAAAAGTAGGAATTAATAAATTAAAGTATAAAATAAATAAATATTAATTTCAATTACTGATTCTAATTAAAATAAAGTATTTCAGAATAATTTCAGGTGTATTTTTTGAGTTATATTAAAATAAACCTTGCTAGATATATACATTTTCGATGAGAAGTATATCAAGACTAGCTCTTATATTTTGCATATCTAACGAACTCAAGAACAATTCTTTAAAAAATACCTTGATCTGTCTCACTTTAATTAAAAACAAAACTTAATTAAAAATGAAAATTATAAAAAGC